TTGAATATAAATTTTCAAAAACCGAGAAAAAAAATTAAGGTTTTTAGTTTTAGGGTAAAGTAGTTTATGCATGAAACATTCAGACAGACAAAATATTGTTTTTTTATGTGAGAGAACAAAATTTCAAATTATATTTTGACATATTATTAAAGAAAACCGTAATCAAAATTTCAATTTCAATTTCAATTTTAATTTCATTTTCATAGAATAGAGATCTAAGCTTTTTTAATTTTAAACAAACTTTAAACTTACTGTAGTCTAATCTTAGATATTTAGTAATCTATTCAAGAATGAATGATTACATACAAAAACTTTAAAATTTCTATTGTCAAAACATTACCCTTAAAATATAATCTAGAAGACTATCCCCTTTTTTCTCTTTATTCACATAATAAAAGCAATTGACCAACGACGCTCAAATAGAAAAATTTGAAATTACAATTATCCATTAACATTGTATCAAAGTATTCTCATTTCACAATTTCCCACTTTTTTGATAGTTAATAGTTAATCATGGTTAAGATCTCACGGTTTACTACAAAATTATAAAGTTACGATGTTGTACATTACTACCTTGCAAAAATTGAATCAAGTATTGGTGATAATATAAGGAAAAAATTATACTTTTGGCTTTATTATCTATGGACGCCTTAGCATTATACTTCATGACAGATTTGTTCGTTCTAAGATTTTCCATCATTACTCATTAAATCCCCTTAATTCAAAAAAAGGCTTAGGGCATCAGTTTTGAATATGAATGATTTTATATTTATCAAAATGATACTGAAATTTTCAAACGAGGAAGTTTGTTTGATATTCACGATTCTAGCCTAAACCCATATACATTTCAAACTTAATTGAATCTCATCACGATTATTCTATTGAAAGTAATGGTCCAGTATTAATACTCAGTTTGAATAAACTTGATAGTCGAAAGCAAATTCCTTACGAATGAAGTAAAGATATTCAGATGGATCTAATCAAGTTTTGAATTTTGAATTACGAAAGTTTGATTTGTCCACTGGCACTCGTTACCTTTCCCAAATGATCCCATTTCGATTATCATCTTTAGTATTTAGATAATAGTTAGTAAGCAAGTCCACTTATATTTTCAAACTCAAGGATCATAATCATCATTTCGTAAATTATTAATAGTATGAAAAAGTCTGGAGAATTAGATTTACAACATAATGTTCCTTTTGAACTTCGTTATTCTTCAAGGCGGACATTTTGGTTTGTAATAAAGGTTAAATATTATTTTTCTTTTGGATTATCGACTAGTCTTATATTAATGCAAAAAAACCGGTCTCAGGATCGTATCACGAAGATCAACAATCTAGAATCTAGATAGATAATAATTCGTAAAAGGACTAAGGGTCGATTCCCAATGAGAAATCAACAGGACTACAATTCATACTTTTACTATTCTTCTCCTGAATGCTTTTTTCAAGTAAATGAAAATTCACAAATTCTATAGGTTACACTTTCAACGTCTCAGCAAATTTGATCTTCAATCATAAGATACCAAAAATTTTGAACGAAAAAACATAACCATAATTAATAGGAGGTAAATCGATAAAATTATTTCAAAGATTTTGTGTTCGTTTCAATCCATTGAGTGATATTCTTTTGACATAGAAGAAATTTTATAAATAATACTTCAAAATATAATATTCTTTATCTTCAATTAACTTATTTCATCACCTGGCTTATTATGAAAATGTGGCATATTTATGTTAATGTAATAATTACTTTTTAGAACAACTTATTTTCAAAGTGCCCTCTAGGCCAGTTGGACTATAGTTTGCAAATGAACGTGCTTTTTTAAACTAAAGTTGTGCTTACCATTAGTTGTCCATGTATAAAATATGGATAAACTTTTTTTTATTTTTTTTCGTAAATTTAATTTTTACTTAGTGTTATAGTGAATAGTAATTGTTAGAACAATAGGTTTAATGCTCTAAATTTCTCGTAATCTTCTATCAAAGAAATTCAATTGTGTATTGTTTTTACAATTGTATAGTCAAATAACTTTATTCATTGCTAGAAAGCTACAAAAAACGAATTGATTGTTATCAATAATCCTTGAGATAACCAATGTTTACAAAGGCTAAGGTATGAACCTTTCAATTGTCTTGCGGTTTATGAAAAAAGCTGAAAATATGAAAAGTGGAGATTTGGATATCAATGGAACAATTGTAAATATTAATTGATCCGTGTTAGGAATTATTGGATTAAGAAATCTATCATAACTACAACAGTTTTTTTTCAGACACTTTTTTCTAAGTTATATATCACAACAGTTTGCCTCAATTATAAGCAATTCAGCCTCAAATACAAAGTCTGAATTTCCAGTCGCCCGTAGTAGTATTGGTGGGTTATGAATCTGGGGGAATTAGGCGATAACATCATAATATTCCGAATACTTGTCTATTAATTAACCTAAGTATATCCATTTTTCCCTAATCTATTACACAAAATCTCTGTAAAGTAAAATGTACGAATTATTTCAATTTACGAGATTTCATCAAATGACACAAAATAACGGTGATTTATTAGGTTCCCAAAAAAAAAAAAAAAAATCAATTAAAACGCCTTCTTTCATTCAATTCGTTAAAAAATTAACTGTCTGAAAGTTCGATTTGTTTTGATCATGGGTCCCACGAGACTAAAAAACAACCATCAATTATTTTTAGACCCCTCCTTTAATGAATTGGTTTTTGTGATTTCCTAAATGAAAGAGATAGGATGAATAAATTATAAACATGCTTTTAAAAATTCCAAAATCTATAACTCATACACAATTCTATTTAACAAAAACAATGAGCAATCACGTATTTTCATAATTAAATCTGATAGCTAACAATTCCTTAGAACATTATGAAAGAGGCTAAAAAACACATAAATTAGTCTAGAACAACGAAATGCAATAATTTTCAATTCCATTTTAAAATTATAATTTAATCCGAAATTCAAGTAATAACCATAACTCTAAGTTTTTCCATTCATTTGTCGGATTAATTTATTCGTTCCGCTTATGTAAGGTTAGAATGCAGTGGGGTTGCTCGCTTCTAACCATTAGCCTACAAAAAAAAGAAAAATGGATAAATTACTGAAAACACTTTGATCGAGTGGCTCGAAAATCAAGAATTAGAGAAAGTCAATAAAACGAGCAAATTACAAAAGCAAATTTCAAAATTTAGTTAAGGTTTTGTGTTTGACATATAATTTGTCATATTCTTACATAGTTATTATTAATATTACAATAACATTAATCTTGATTATTTTTATTGTTTTCCAAAGCTATATGCTCATATAGGAAGTTACAAAATTTGCTAAAGTGGACTCTACTTTTATATTGTATTTGATAAAATACGCCTTGTTTCTTTCAGGACTTTCCAAATGTCTGAACATTATTAGTAAATTCAATTATTCGACGGGATTTGAAGTTTAGGGGTACTTCAGACACTAATGAAATCATACTAAATGGTGTATTTTGATTTGTCATAACTTTCTCTCACTCCAAAGCCATAGGAAGATTGATTCTGAACTTAAGTTTAAAACTACTTTACATCAATATCACTTCAAGTCACCACGAAAGATATACATCCGCATGAAAAATTGAGAATAACGTTGAGGAATTGATTGAGGTTAAGAACAACATGAAAAATTGATCTTAGCTTATCATCACATTGATTTTGAACTGAATATTTCCAACTTGTACTTTAAGATCGTTTAAATTCTTACTATCTTGCAATATAATCTCAAATTAGCTTTTACATGTCACCATCTAAAAATCTTTGCATCTCGGTGAGAAAATCATACTATCATGTAGTAGTTACTTGGTCTATCTGGAAATCATATTTACTAACTCAATGATCACCCAAGAGTTGTTGTGTCTTGTGTCTCCAACTTATTTTATGCCAGTTGCCAAAGAAAATAGTTCAAGTTTTGTTAGACACGCACAACTGGCACAACATGGAGACACTTGAAATATTATCTTTGGCAACTGGCACAACATCATATGGAGACCCAACTTACAACACTTGAAATATTATCTTTAACCTTGGAGTTGGTGATTGATGTCTAACAAATCCGTAGCTTCCGTGATATTTCAAAATCGTTCTTATCTCGATTCATGTTCCTTTGACTGCTTTAAGCAAATTTTTCATGATTTAAAGTATTTGTTTTGATTTCATTGGAAAAACAATTCATCTCAGTCAAACCGAAGTTATTAAAACACCAACAAGGTAAATTTCAAAACATCACGACCATCTTTGGGGCTGTTTCACCTCCAGTTGAAAAATTAAATGTTTAGGAAGTTGAAAGTGATGACACTAAACGTATTGATGCTATAGTAGCTAACCCCGATTTGACTGAGAAGAATTGACGTCCGAATATCCCTTTCTCAATACCTTTCTCATACCTTAATATCCCCCTTCAACCATTTCGAATGCAAGGATTTGTTTAACAAAATTACAAAACACTTATATACCATCATGCTAAAACAAACACCAGTTCATTTGCAAGCAGCTGGATATAATAATTTTTTTTTCATATCCATATTACTCCGACATCATGATTCCAATAAAACCAATCAAAAAGGGAAAAACATGAAGCTTACAATTGAATCTATTATTTCTCAAATAGAAAGTACATTCAAAACTTATGTCCACTTAACAATCTTTTTCTTTGTTTGATTCACCAAATGAACTAAAAGAACATTGTTACAAAAAAATCTGGTTAGAACCGTCTAACTATTCAACCAAAGTTGGTTAGAAATTAGATCCTCTATGAAGTTTGTTTATGATGCTAATGCTAAAAAAATACATCGTTACGATATCTCGACGAGATCTTAAAATATGGAATATAAATTTACGCTACCAATGTTTTTATTGGAGATGTAGAATCGTTTTGTGATAAAGAAAGATAAAGATCTAAGGTACAACTTGATATCAATATTAGATCAACCATATTCTCTTAATAAATCCCTATCAAAAATGCTTTCATGGATATATTCATTTTTCCAAAGTCCAGAAGTAACACCAGAACTAAAAAAATCAATAGAATCAACCATTAATTCAAATAAAATTGTCATATATTCAAAATCATATTGCCCATATTGTATAAAAGCTAAACAAATTTTTGATAAATATTCAGTTGATTATAAAGTAATTGAATTGAATCAGTTACAAAATGGATCAAGTATTCAACAAGGTTTATTAGATATTACTGGTCAAAGAACTGTTCCAAATATTTTCATCGATGGTAATCATGTTGGTGGATGTGATCAATTAACTCAATGGTATGGAACTGGAAAACTTAGAGAAGTGTTAAATAAATTAAACGGCATAAACAAGGAATCAATTCATTAATCATACATATATATAATATATCAAGTATTTATTTTTATTCATCGTATTGCATCTTTCAATACTTCAATAGCCCATAAATGAAATTTTACGAATATTTGATCATCATTAGTTAATTCAATCAACAGTTTTGGTCTAATCATTGATCTTCTTAAATATTTTTCATTATTTTGATTTTCATTTTCAATATAATTTTTTTCATTTGTTTCATTTATTTTAAATTGTAATAAATTAATAAATTCATTAAAATATAATGTTATAATATCCCAATTTTGTAAAATTTTAATTTCATTATCTCCAATTAATATTAAACCATATTTTCTTTCTAAACCTCTTGAATTTATATCATAAATTTTAAAAATTTTATTTATACAATATCCATTTATATTATCTCCAAAAAAATTTGGTTTTGTTAAATCTAAATTTGTTTCAACTGATAAAGATTTCATAACTAATTTTGTTAATGCTGCATATCTCTTTTGTGAAGTTGGATATTGAGTTGATATAAATTCTTTATCATCAATAGTTGTTGTCAAATTAACTACATTTTCTGGTAAAATTAATTGACATGATAAACATGAATTATTAGTAGTTTTAGAATTTGATTGTAATAAATAATTTTGCTTTTTATCCTTTGTTGTTAGTTGTGTACATATGATTATTGATGGACCGTGTAATTCACAGAAATGACATAAACAGACTATATAATTGGCCATTGAGACATATTTGTTGATGTTAGTTGATAAGAAGTTGAACTTATTGCATTATTTGATCTTGTAATAAAGTACACTACGGAACAATTTCATAAAAGAAGAGACTCGTCTGAAAAATTTATTACCTTTTAATTTCCCCAATAATCATATACACCATAGTAACAAATAAAATATGTCTACCACTACTACCAAAAGTATGTCTTTCTTAATTCAATCAATTCAGTTTTTCAATTACTAACTAATCTTCCAGAACCAACTGAAGTTGATCACTCAATTGCAAACTCAGATGTTGTTTTTAAATATAAAACTGCAGGTAAAATTGCTAATAGAGTTATAGCTCAAGTTAAAGAATTAGCAATTGAAGGTTCAAATACTTTTGATTTATCAGTTAAAGGTGATGAATTATTGGAAGAAGAATTATCCAAAGTCTTCAATTCTAAAAAAACAAAAAATATTCCAAAAGGTATTGCATTTCCAACTACTATAAGTCCTAATCATGTTCCTGCTCATTTAGCACCAGTTACAAGAGATGATGAAGCAAATATTGAATTAAAAAATGGAGATGTTGTAAGTATTCAATTAGGTGTTCAATTAGATGGATTTCCAGCTATTGTTGGTGAGACTTTTGTTATTGGAGCTTCAAAAGAACATCCAATTGATGGTCAAAAAGCTGATTTATTAAAAGCTGCATGGACTGCATCAGAAGTTGCATTAAGTAATTTTAAACCAGGTACTAAAAATTGGGATATTACAAATATTATAGGTAAAGTTGCTAAATCATTTGATGTAACTCCTGTTGAAAATATGTTAACTCATAATCAAGAAAGATTAAAAATGTATGGAAATAAAGAAATCATTTTAAATCCATCAAAACAAAATAAAGCAAATATGGAAACTCATAAAGTTGAAATAAATGATGTTTATGGTTTAGATATTTTAATTTCAACTTCAAAAGATGGTAAAGTTAAACCATCAAATTTTAGAACTTCATTATATAAACTAACTGGTGAATCTTATGCTTTAAAAATGAAAATGTCTCATAAAATTTTAGGTGAATTAAAATCTAAAAATAATGGTCATCCTTTCCCATTCAATATTCGTAATTTAGATGATCCAAAAAAAGCAAGAGGTGGTTTAGCTGAACCAACTAATCATAAAATTTTATTATCTTATGACGTTGTTACTGAAAAAGAAGGTGAATATATTGCTCAATTTTACACTACTTTTGGTGTTACTAAGAATGGTATTGTTAAATATACTGAACCAACTTTTGATGAAGAATTTTACAAAACTGATAAAGAATATAAAGAGGTGGAAGAATCAACTTAATTTAGAACGCTAAATTGTTCCTTGTTTCATGATTTTTAAAACTAAAACACGTTATGTTCAAAATTTTCGATGTTTGCATTTCTCAATGATTTAATGATGATAATGAAACTTTCATATTAAAAAATGTACATAAAAAGCTATCAGTTCATTGATTCTCTTATATATTACAATTTCTTTACTACTTTGAAACAAATTATTTAAAAGATCAACAATTGTTGGTTTTTCCTTATTACAATTTTTTTTTCTTAAAATAATTTTTCCTCAAAAGTTTCATTAGACGAAATCACTTTTCTTACAAAACAAATCACGTCCATATTCACCTAAAAATTTTATGCTAGTATATTTATAATTGGATGGTATCAAGAAGTAGTAGTCGGAGTAGCTCGACTTCAATCAATGGTAGTCTGAGAAAATCATCGGTGCTGGTATCAAATGGAAATGTTAAGATTAAAAAATCAAATGCTAAAGAAAATTCAAAAATTAATGATAACAAACGACGAAATGAAGAAATAGAAACACCAGAAACTCCAGATAGTTCGAATAAAAGGAAGTCAAGACGAATAGCTCAACTAGGGAATGTTCCAACATTGTCAGCTAGTCCAAACATTAAAGAATTATCAAGTCAAGTCATTTCAGATAGTGAAGAATCTCAAAATGTTGAACCAATTACTTTACCATTTATAGAGCCAGATTTAGCTATTCCAACACCAAGTTATACAGGACAACCTTTGGAAGAATTCCCATCAGCTAAAATAAAGAAAGAATCATTATGGCCAGCAAAACTAAGACGGAAAAAAGGGAAAGATTCTGAAACCAATGATAAAAATAATCGAGAGTCATCCCTTTCGATTGATGAAGAAAATGATAATAACATAAAAATTGAACAAGAATATAAATCAAATCTACAAACTCCTATTACACATAATATAGTTCAAGAAAGTGAATTACGCTCACCTAATGAAAACATACCACAATCTCCATCGAAAAAAATAAAAGTTGTTGTTAAAACTCCTAAACAAACAACAATTATAAATAAAGCAACACCAGTAAATGCATTAAAAAAGATAAAAATCATATCACCTAAAAAATCTCCAGTAAGTTCAAAACTACTAGCTCCAAACACAAAAGTTGAAAATAATAATACTCATTTCAATTTTAATGATTCATTTGAAGATGACACCTATAAAGATAATGATGATTTTTGTTTTGCATGTGGAAGACCAGGTGTATTTATATGTTGTGAAACATGTCCCAAATCATTTCATTTCACATGTTGTGATCCTCCATTGGAAGAACCACCTGAAGATGATTGGTTTTGTCATGAATGTTTTGCCAAAAAGAATCCTAAATTATTACCAAATTGGAAAGAAGTAGGAATATTTGGTAAATTATTAAATGATTTACAAATTAGAAATCCAAAAGTATTTCAATTACCTCAAAAAATAAGAGAAGATACATTTATTGGAGTTGAAACTGGTGATTTTGGAGATTATGCAGATGATTCTGAAAAACCAGATCTACCTAAAAAGACAACTAATGGATCATTACAAATACCGGGGTTCAATAAAAACATTGATCTTGAAATTGAAAATTTATATAATGAAAAAGGTGAACCATATCTATGTCATAAATGTGGAGATTCAGGACAAAATCATAGAACTTTAATAAAATGTGATTATTGTCCATTAATTTATCATGTTGATTGTCTTGATTATCCTATGTTTGGTCCAAAAACAATTGGAGATAAATGGAGATGTCCAAATCATATTAAAGATTTATTACCAAGAGGATTACCTGAATTAAGACAATTTAAAGATACTGAAATTTTGGAAGCATCTTTAAAAAGTAATTTTTTAAAAATAATGGCTATGGAAAATTTTGTTGTTAAATTTGATTCAGATGGTTATTATAAAGATAATTCAAAACATAAATTAGATGAAATTAAACCTTATAATGATGAAAAAAATGAAACTTTAGCTGATTGGGGTAGTGATATAAATGCAATTCATCCAGAATTTCAAATTCCAAGTTATTTACAAACTGAATCTACTTCAAATGGTGTTTCTGCAAATTTAAAATCAAAATTAGTTAGTATACCAAAATCAAATTCTTCAATTTTACAAACTTATAGGATACCTGAAAAACTGATCATTTTAGATTTTATTAATAAATTCGATAATAAAACAAATATACTAGAAAAGAACAAAGAATACGAATATCAAAAACGACTAGAGGAAAATCCTGAGGAACTTAATTTTGTTAATGGATTAAATAAGCTAACAAAGCAATTAAATCTTGATGCTTTGTTGAAAGCAGTAAATCTTGAAGAGAAAGATCATAAAATAAATGGTAAAATTGACAAACCAAAGTTGGAAAAACATGTCGAAAAAGAAGTTAATGGAAGTGCTTTATCTGATAATGAACTCAACGAATTACTAAAAATCAAAAAATTAATGGAAGCTAAAGGACAAGAAGAACTTTTAAAATGTCTACAAAGCTGATATTGATTTATCTTTAATATGTATATTTACATGAAATTTTAAATTTGGTCATTACAATGGCATTTATGTTTATTCATTAATTTGAGATTCTTTTGCTAATCTTTCTTGTTCTTCTTTTTCTCTTTGTTCTCTTCTTGCTTTCTTTATCATCATAAAATGACTTGCAGGTTTTAATTCTATTTTAGGTATTTCATCAACTGTCATTTGTCTAGCATTTGTTAAATTTATTAATTCACTAAATATTTTATGAGGTGGTTTACTTGCACATTCTATAAGTGAATCATCTTTTGAATTTATTCCATGAATTTTTAATTTTAATGGTAATTTTGATAAATCTTCTTCTTGTTCAATTGTTATATTATTTACTGTAAATTGTATTTCGGGGTTATGATATCTTAATGTTGGTAATGATTCTTTCCAAAAGTATCTTATACCATTTGCTGGTTTATATAATATGGGTCTTTGATGATATATAAATAATTCTATTTCTTTATATTTGGTTGGATCGAATTTATATGAATTTTTTGGTTCTCCTCGAAGTCTATTCACTTTTTTAATTTGTTTTAGTACATTTGGATTATATTTTTGCTTGGGTGTTATTATCATTTGCATCGACATATTGAATAATTATAGTTTTGGTTGTGGTTAGACTAGGTTTTATGGGTTTATGATTGAAAAATTTTTAATATGGTTCTTCGTATTATCTTGTCTTGTTTTAAATTTCGCAAAGATCATGAGATTCACACGACTTCAATTTTTTGGCAACCACTTTTCATTTTAAGAGGTATTTACATATCGTCAATATTTACAACAATTCAGTATTACAGATAAGACTTAGATCGGTAAATCAATTGAATTGCTGATAAAAAGATTATAAGGAAGTTTTAAAACAGCTCAAGTCACATAAACCAAAAATAGCTTTTTATCCAAATTGAGATCACACATCAAAGATTATAGCACCCAATTTTTGGGGTTGCTTTTAACAATGTTAATCAACTTTTTATATTGGTTGAATCACAGATTTAGAAGAGTATCAGAACTATTATTTGGAACTGTTTTTGAACCTAAATTTGATATTGTTCTAGTTACTGGTGGCGCATCAGGTTTAGGTAAAGAATTGGTTGCACAATTAGTTAGTAAAAATGCTAAAATCATTGTTTTAGATATTAATATACCTGTTATCAAACATCCAGGTGTTTCATATTTCAAATGTGATGTAAGTAATAGAGAAGAAGTTTTGAACGTTGCAACTGCTATTCAAAGTACAATTGGAACAGTTACTGTCTTGATTAATAATGCAGGTATTACAACTGGTAAAACTGTTTTAGAATTATCTTATGAAGAGATTGAATCAATTATACAAACTAACTTAATGTCAAGTTTTTACACAATTAAAGCATTTTTACCAGGAATGTTGAAACTTGAAAGAGGATATGTTGTAACAATTGCTTCTGTTTTAGGTTATATGTCACCTGCAAAATTAAGCGCTTATGGTGCATCTAAATCAGGTCTCATTGCGTTACATGAATCATTAACTTATGAGTTGGGTCCTCCATCATTAAACCCATATGGAATTAAAACTTTATTAATATGTCCTGGTCAATTAAGTACAGGAATGTTCAAAGGTGTTAAAACTCCTGCAAAAATTTTAGCTCCAGAATTAGATCCAAAATATGTTGCAAAAAAAGTTATTTCATCAATTGAACAAGGTAAAAGAGGTGAAATTAAATTACCTTATTATGGAAATTTTGTACCTCTCTTTAGATCAATTCCATGGCCAATTGTTGAAGTCGTTAGAAAATTTTCAGGGATTGATAAAAGTATGAATTCTTTCAAAGCTAAATTATCAAAAGTTGCTAGTAGTGTTTCCTCACTTGCAAGTTTATCTCTTCATGGTTCTCAAAGAGGTTCTGAACATACTAGTGTTCATAAATTTAACATACATCAAGAAGAAGTGCAAGAAAATGAACAAGAACAAGTACTTGAGCAAGAACAAGTACTTGAGCAAGAACAAGTACATGAACAAGAGCAAGAGCAACAATAGTAAAAGTTTATGGCTAATAATTAAAATATTTTGTTGTATTAAGATCTATAGTCCCCATTTATAGTTACATATTCATGAGAAAAATCACAAGTCCAAAAATCAGCACTTTGACCTCCACCTGTTCCTAAATCTATTTCAATCACTAAATCTTCATCCTGTAAAATCTCTGAAGCTCTATCTTCATCAACTTTTTCTGGTTCACCATTTATTAATAAATCCAAACTTTCACTTCCATCTACTGGAACAAATTTAACACTAGTTTTTGATGGAACAACTGCTTCATTTTCAACATCTGCATAACCAATTGCACATAATATTCGACCCCAATTTGCATCTTTCCCATACATTGCAGTTTTAAATAATGCAGAATTAGCAACACTTGAAGCTATTGTTTTAGCATCTTTATAAGACAAAGCATCTTTTACTTTCAAAGTTATAAACTTTGTAGCTCCTTCACCATCTCTAACAACTAATTGAGCCAATTGTTGAGCAAAAGCTGTAATTTCATGTTGTAAAGCTCCATATCTTTCGGCACATGAAGAGTTTAAATCAATTTCTTCACCACCTGCCGCACCATTCGCTATAGCGACTATTGTATCGTTTGTTGACATATCACCATCTACCGTTATACTATTAAATGATCTATCAACTGAATATTTTAAAATTTGTTCTAATGCAGAAGGTGAAACTGGAGCATCAGTCACAAAAAAACCTAATAATGTAGCCATATTTGGACAAATCATACCAGCACCTTTACACAAACCGGCTAAAGTATAAGTGTCATCACCTATTTGAAATTGTTTACTTACTAATTTAGGAAAAGTATCAGTTGTACAAATAGCTGTTGCACAATTTATCCAATCTTGATGAGAACTACCTAAATGATTTAATGCTAATTTTGGAATACCTGATAATATTTCATCTATTGGTAAATTATTCCCAATTACACCTGTTGACATTACTAAAGTTGAATCAGTTTTATTCTCCAATACTGAATCAGTGACTATTACCATATCATTAGCATCTTTAATACCTTGTGTTCCAGTAACAGCATTTGCATTACCACTATTAACAACTATTGAATTTATTCCCGACCCCTTTGTTTCCTTTATTATTCTTTGAGAAACTTGTACTGGAGCAGCTTTGAATTTGTTGGTAGTGAAAACAGCAGCAGCTGAAGCATCTTTACCAAAAGTATTATGAAGTAAAGCTAAATCAAATGATTTACCATCTTTTTTAATACCACAATGTATTCCTCCAACTATGTAACCTTTTGGATAGACTCCATCCTTAGGTACAAATCTTGATGCTTTATCTGACAATAGACGAATTGAAAGTTTGGTGACTCTGTGCATCTTGTTAGATTTATGGTGGAAAGATAGGTGATGATTCAGAATACTCAAACTGAAAAAAAATATTAGCCGCGAACCTCACTATTTCCTAATTGGTGAAATTAGAGGTATTCAAACAAAAATTTTTGTTGGTATTGAAATATCAATCTAACAATTACAAGATATCTAACTAGAAAACTTGATCAATCTCAAAATGATACTATGAAAAGATGTATATCGAGCAGAATACTATCAAATCCGCGTCTACGGGCTAATATTTTATTCCAAAGGCGTTTGCAAAAACTTTCATCTAGCGTCACAAATGAACTACCACAATTCAATCAATCAATATTTGAAATTGCAAAGACTGTAACACAAGAAAATAAGGAATCTGACAACTTGAGAACAAGTTTTTTTCAAGCTATTAATGATAATAACTCTACTCGTGTATTAAAAATTTTATCAGATTTAAAAAATGATTCTGCAAACGATTTTAAAGATCAAGAACAGTTGGAATTTTTACAGATAGCTTTGAACTTTTACATCGAAAACAAAATTGATTCAATCCTGATTATAAGCACCTTAATTCAAGATTATTCGAATTTAATAAATTACTTCAAAAATGATGAAACTCATTCTAATCATGTTAACACTTTAATTAAAGCGGTGTTGAAGATCTCAGAAACAACGAATTCAACACCTGTGAAATTTACAATGAGGAAACTTTTCAATCAATTCATTGAGCAATATAATGTTAATCCTCATGTATCTGAAAAAAAAGTATCACCTGAACGATCTGCAGCGGATGGGGAAATGAAAATTAAGACATCTCGAAACAGTACTTCAATTGAACCATACTTAGATGACTTTAATATGTTAACATTTGAAAAAGCATGTGCATACATATCTGAGAATAAATTCACATGGAAGAATAAAGCAATCAAGGAACATCTATTCAAATTTTATGAAACATTACCAACAAATGAAAAACATGAGTTCATGGAAAGGTATATCTCATTTAATGAAACAAAGCAATCACAATTAGAAGCTCATTTCCATCAATTACAACAAAAAGAATCAACTCCTCAACAATTTAAAGTTAATTTTTTTGCTAAGGAACCCGATTCAATTTTAAGTTGGGTAGAGGAAGCATCACTACATTTGGAGAGTGTCATCAAATTTGAGTCTCCTGTTACAGACGATGAAAAAGTTTTGAGTCATTTCAAACCATTTTTGGAATATTTCACTATTAAATCACTCATATATTTGATCATACAAACACTCATCGGAGAAGCTTATAAAGAAGAAGTTGTTTTATCTGAAATTTTAAGTAAATTAAGATTTTATTACAGGAAGAATATTCAAACTATCAAATGTGACAGTTACAAGATCCAATTATTAAAATTCATTCCTGAAAATTCATTTGATAAATTATCTAATATCCTAATCAACTCAGTGATTGTTACATGCAAAGTTAAAGGAGATGACGGCAGTGATTCAATATTTCAAGTTGAAAAAGAACCAAATAAACAAATGGTGTTTGCAATGTCTACAATCTACAACAATTCCAAGAAAAAATTAGTCATTAAAATCAATCCAACTTTACAAAATTTAATCAATACATCATCATCATATAATTTAAATGAATTTTCACATCATTTTCCTTTATTACATCCACCAAAACCATGGTTAAATACAAAAATTGGAGCATTTAATGAAATAGAAACAAATTTTATAAGTGGTTATGATTCATTACATAAATCAATTTTAACAAAATTACAAAAACAAGGTAAATTAGATTCAGGATTTAGATGTCTTGATCAAATGGGTAAAACTGCATGGTGTATTAATCCTGATATTTTAAAAATTTTTAATGAAATTATGGAGTTACCTCAAGGTTTTTTAGATATACCACCTAAAACAATTATTGAAAAGAGTAAAAAAAAATCAATAGAATTAAAAAGTTTAAGAAAAAATTATGAAATGATTTTAAATTTAGCTAATTCATATGGTAAAAATGGTGATATTTTATATCATGTTTATATGTTTGATTTTAGAGGTAGAGTATATGCTTTATCTCCTTTAAGTCATTATGGTGGTGATCTAACTAGATCATTATTTAATTTTTGGTTTAGTCAACCTTTAGGTAAAAATGGATTTTATTGGATTAAATATCAATTAGTTTCTATGTTTGGTAATGGTTATTTAAGTGAAGATTGTGAAAAATTTGTTGAAAAATTTCAAAATGAAATTATAAGTTCTGCAAATGACCCAATTTCAAATAAATGGTGGATGAAAGGTGATGAACCATTTTCTACCTTATCATTATGTTTTGAAATTAAGAAAATTTTGGAATTTGAATCAAATGGAGGTAACATAGAGGAGTATTTATGTAGAGTTCCAATTCATCAAGATGGTTCTTGTAATGGATTACAACATTATGCCGCATTGGCAGCAGATGAAGCTGGTGGAAAAGCAGTCAATTTATTACCAATGGAAACAAAGCAAGACGTTTATTCAACTGTTAGAGATATAGTCGAGGAAAAAATTAAAAATGATATTGATGAAAATTTACTAGCTGGAAAAGACCTTGATAGTGCTAAATTAATATTGAAAATTTTGGATAGAAAATTAGTTAAAAGACCAGTAATGACAACCGTTTATGGAGTTACATTAAATGGAGCAAGTAAACAAATATTAGAAAATATTGAGAGTTTAAAATCTAATCATTACGAAAACCCAACAAATAGAAAATATGATCAAACAATTATTGATCAATTAAGTACTTTCAATCTAAAGACTACAAATTACTTAGCTAAAAAGATATTAAATTCAATTAATGAATTATTCTGTAATGCTAAAAATCTTGAAGATTGGTTAGTTTTAAATGCAAAAAGAATTTTAACAAGCTATAATATTATAACCTTAGATTTTTTAGAATTAAAACAACTGAACTCCATTAAAGATTTAAAAAATTTAAGTAATTGGTATAAATCACCAATAAATTTTGATCCGATAAATTGGACATCACCAGCTGGGTTTCCAATTATTCAAATTTATCGAAAATTTCCTAAACAAATCGTAAAGGGTTTATTAGGATCAACTATGAAATTTAAAACGTCAGAATTAACTTCAATGGATCGTAGAAAACATGAATTAGCTATAGCTCCAAATTTTATACATTCTTTAGATGCTGCACATATGTTTATGACATGTAATGAAGCTAACAACCAAAAAATAACTTTTACTTCAATTCATGATTCTTATTGGACTTATCCAAATAATGTTGAAAAATTATCAAAAATTTTAAGAGAACAATTTGTGGAATTATATTCTTTTGATTATATGAAAGAAATTAAATTAAAATTTGAAAAACAAATGGAAAATTCTTTTCAATTATGTTATTTTGAGAAATCAAAGAATTTAGAACTAGCTGGGTTTTTAAAAGATAAAAGAAGTAGTTATAATGAACGGAAAATTAATGATCAATTGAATATTGAATTAAGAGAATTAACTTCACAAAAAGATTTGAATTTTGAAATTCAAAGATTAATTGAAAAATATAATTCTAAATTATATTATATTGTTGGTAATAAAATTTTTGAATACAGTTCCAATTTGAAAACTTCTCAGGTTGAAATAAAGGAAAAACCTAAGAATTTAGTTCCAATTCTAACACCCGTTCAAGTATTAGATTTACCAAAGAAGGGAACATTAAATATTGAGAAAGTGAAAGAAAGTAAATACTTCTTTTCATAAACTATTAAAGTATCATGTAAATAAAGAAGAAGAAAAGTAAAAACGATAGACCTATAACTATTATTATATTTGTCATCAAATTCATTTCATTCATTAATCATTTTCTCTAATTTTCCAAATATCTTGTCTCTATGAATAGCTAGAGGATCATCAACATCACTTTTAAAAAAAGTATTCCTTTTCAATGGTTCATCATCTTCATCATCTCCTTCTTCATCTTCTTCATCTTGTAAATTCATATATTTTTCAACATCACCATAATCAAAATATTCATCACCTTTAAATCCAATTCCATCCTGAGGTTCATACCCTTGGTAATCATCATCATCATAATCTCGATCTTCTCCATCATCATCATCTCCAATCTTTAATTTATTAAACCCATCTTCAAATTCATTTAATTCTTCCAAACCTTCTAAATCTTCATCACTTGGATAATCATTTTGATAAAATGACTCAGCATTTGAATCTTCATCATCAGTTAATAAATTTGTTTTTTTTAAATTTGAATTAATATCATCATTTTCTTCATCAATATTATTCATTAATATTGAATCTGGATTATTTTCTTCTAAATCATCAAAAAATCTAATATATCCTATTTCTGTTTTTGGATGATTTGCTGTTGTTAATGGTTCTGAATCTATTAGATGGTATACGTCATAGACATAAGTATCGTCTTCTTCATCTTGTACTTGTTGGTCTTCGTTTGCTGGTATGGATGATGATGAGTTGGTAGATAATTTACTTTCAGAAGAGTCTATTGTTTGTACCGGTTGAGCTATAGTTTTACCACCTCTTTTTTTCCTTCTTACATTTGAATCATTTTCATTTGTTACATAATCATTAATCATACTACTTACTTCATTTGATAATCCAATTTCTTTACCATAATCTTCTGGGATTGATCGTTTTTGAGGTTGTTGTATGACAAATCTCCTTTTGAAAGGTGTTTTTTTATTAGTTGAATCATTTTGAGTTGATAACTGGTCATTTTGCTTTAGTTCACTCGATTTCGATGGAGATGTTGCTTCTGATAATATAGAACTTAGGATAGTTTCATTATCATTATAATTCTTTAAATCATCTTCAGTAGTTGAAAGTTTGAATAGATAGTTTGAATTTTCGATTTGTTTTTGTCTTTGTAATGCTTGATTTGATGGTTCTCTTTTAGACGTAGGTGTTGTTGCAGAATCGTTAGCTTTGGTTAGATAATTGATTGGTGTTGATGGTCTACCTGGTGATGATATTGGTGTTGATGGTTTTGATCTCTTTACTGATCTTGTGTCTTCTAGAATTAATGCTTGTAGTGGATCTTGACCTCTTTTTCTCTTGATTCGTAGAACTTTTGGTGGAAGGTCTTGTGATTGTTCGTATGACATGCCTAATACTTGTAGTTTGTAGTTTGTAGTAACGGATGATAGTATTTTATGTGGGGTCGTAATAATATGTTGCAGAAATTCTAATCAGTCGTAAATTAGGTCGACCGACCAAATTAGCGAGAGAAGATTGAAATATCCAGATCAAATATAAAACTACAAACGTCATATCTATATGCTATTACATAAAACTAGGTGTGAATCAAAACTATACCAACAAACACGATATCCTTACAATGTCAGAACTAGACCCACTAGATCAACAATCACAGATTAATTATAAAAGTCTACAATATCTACTACAAGAAATAGTACCGACATCAATACGAGTCTCACAACAAGTAACAAACCCAAATTATTCAAATAAAACCAAAACTTCAAAACCATCGATTGATTCAGATACAAATACGGAAATACCGATCAATGAAGTAAAAGATTTAAATTTGGAAGATTCCACTCAAGAAACAACAGCAACATCCAATAAATATCAAACAAGAATAAATCAACAATTATCTCAAATAAAAAACGATTTACCAGGGACGATAAACATCTTAGATACTCAATTATTATATACAGATGATGTAACAATAAGAATAGAACAATTTGGTTATAATTTAGGTTTAAAAATTTCAGAAATTTTATTATATAAAAATTCTCAATCAACAACAAAAATTATAGATATATTAGATATAATGAAATTTATATGTCGTGATGTTTGGAAATATATTTTTTTAAAACAAATTGATAATTTAAGAACAAATCATAGAGGTACTTTTGTTTTAATAGATAATAAATTTAAATGGTTTGAAAATTTTAGTTCTCAACAATTTGAAAATGGTTTACAAGATACTATTTTAAAATCTAAAATTTATTTATGGTTTCCTTGTGGTTTAATAAAGGGTATATTATGGAACTTTGGAATTGATGGAAATGTTATACCTGAAATTACTCAATTTCCTTCTGTTCAATTTAATATTCAAACTGGTGTAAATAATTAGAATATATGTGTATTGATGAATTGTTGAAATAAACATATTGAACTACAGATAGCATACTACTGAGACTGTATTTTCTTTTTTTTTTTGTTTTCACCAAGAGCATAGTGACTAGCATCTGTTGTAGTGAGAAGTTCCATTGATTTCAAGCAATTATACCTAATAGAATTGTATTATTTCAATGGGTATTAATATGAGTTCAGAAATAAATGGAACTTTTACCACAACAGATGCCAGTCAATTTGCACTTGATGTCGGTGTTGGAAGTTTACATAAATCTTCTCTTGATGAAGCATATGTAGTTGAGTAAGTCTTGAGATCAATGTAAGAAAAATTATGTGTTCTGTTTCAACAGTGAAAATTATTTATTTCAAAAGAATTTTTATAATTCTCAATTTTATATATTACTTACCATTTTTTTTCACCTAACCAATGTCAACAACTAAATATTGAATAGACTTTTGTTTCTCAAAGTTCATAAATCACCCTAATTAGTATAGCAAGCATTTATCCTAGGTCTATCTTGGATTCTGTGGATTCAATAAAAATATATTGCTGAAATTTTCTGACTCATATTTGAAAGTAGAAGCAGATCAATTTTTGGGTTGACTCATATCAACAAAATTCATCGAAGAATTGAAAAGTTTATCATATAATGGATCATACTATCATCAATACAGTTAGAGAGATAAGAGAATAGAACTTAACAGGTGACAATCAGTCTCAACCTTATCCTTAGTTAGATTATCCAATTATATATCCCTTTAATTAATGACAAGGAAGATAATTTAATTAATAATAAAGTTGAGGTTTGAGTGTTGCTTATGAAGTTCTATGAACTTAACTATATGACTCCATGCGAATCATGAAATAAAGCATTCAATAAACTATTTGGTAGAAAGAGAGTATACAATAAATGTGAATGATCAATTTGATGATGCCTTAGATTCAGTTTGATATTTGAGAAATACACAAATCTTGGGAATTTAGAGTCAAATAAGACACTTATTACTAAATAAAGAGGTGCTTATTACAATATTATTTTGTTGCAGTTTGATGTCGAAATTTATTTTTTAAATGCTCAACATTTAAAATAAAGTGTAAAAACGTCAAAAAGTTCTAATGATTGAGTTGGATTGTTGGAGCAGCTTTTATTTCAAAATATGAGCCGTCCAAGTGATAATGGGTCATTTGTTTATGTTGCTAAATTAGGTGGTGATGTTAATTTTCAATGGGACTAAATTGAACTTACAATGAACTTATTGCATACAATACATGGTGGTGTTGGTGGGTGTTTGCATATAATTTTAAAGGATTCAGTTGTTGACGATAAAATGGCAAGTGCTGCTGCACGATTAGCAGACGCGTTTGAAATGTTTTTCACACGCGGTTTTCAAGGAACTATTGACTCAAATATCTACTTCATATCATTAATTTAGATACAGTTAATTCTGGGTGCAAGTTGGATAATTATTTCAGAATAGTTACTACTGCATCTGGTATACAAAATTGGAAGCAAATTTTTTGGGATTGTGCTAAAGCCAGGAAAACAAATCGTATGGAATAGGATATCTGGGATGCTTTGCAGTTGAATAGTTATTTGACGTTGTTGCCATAAAATGGTATATTTACGATGAGTATTTTAGGTTTTGCTTCAATCATATTAAACAAAAGATACTTTGGAAGAAATTAATTTTTAATGGAGTATGTTATGTGTCTGATGATTTACCAATATGTATTCAAAGTGCGAACTAACTGTTGCTCGAGGGTTTTGCAATTTCATTTGTTGAATCTTTAGTTATTGTCAAATCCCAAAACTGGTTTCAATCGTATCATTGGCTATATATTATTAACAACAATATTCGGATTACGAACAACATTCATATCAACCACAATTCCTAGATCTACAACATTAAACAAATTCTCGAAATTACTTACTTCAACAAGAGGATCCAAAATCTCACCATTATCTACAATATTATTCAAGAGCAATATTTAGATCAATGACAATTTTCAGACCAACATCCGTACCCCAAACCGACTTTACGATAAGCTAGCTAGACTTGCATCAACAATTCTCTCCAACTCGAGATATAACTTTTAAGTTGTTTGAAATAGTCAAATTTCCTAATTTACAGCCCATAATTAATTGCAATGTGTGTAAACTAAACGAAGTCGCCAATTCTTAATCCAAATTCAAAAGAGGATCTGCAATTTCGATTACGAAATGGTGACTTCGTTCAACTTGCATACATGGCAATTTGATATGGGCCGTAAATCAAGATTTGTAAGTTGGTCTACATAAAGCTTTTCAGAAAAATGAATTGTTACATGTGAACTTCTCAGGACCGTTGTCAAAGTATTGTTCAATGCAAATATTTTGTAGTAATTATGAATGATTGGTGTTTTCACTGCTATCTTTTACAATCCATCTTTCGAAAGCAACAACCAAGAATCGTACAATAATTCATCATTGACATCAACAATAAAGTTGATCCTAAATTTAAATTAAAAAGGTCACGATCAGAAAACGGTGACTTTGGATTACAAAGGTCACAATCAGAGAGTGGATAAGAGAATTTGGAATGAAACATGAATCAATTTTGATATCTGGAAGTATTAGTATTGAGTAGTTATTGAACGATTTAGCCTCCAAGAGGGATATTTTTGAACAATGGTTGATGGTTATAGTGCTTTACCAAAACTCGATGGTTTCAACATATGAAGAACATAAGGATCTTTACCATTAATCTCCAATTAGAAACTATGAGATAATTAAGATGTAATTCATTGTATTATTGAATATATTTCAAGAGAAATCTCCAATTCCTCAATGAAAACTGCCATAGAAAATGAGTTCGAAATAAAGCTTTGAAAATTTACAAACTTAAACTACTTTTTTGGTGATTTTTATTCTTTTATTGTAAGTATTGATAAATACATGAAACTCAAGAACTTACTATTGTATAGATATTCAATAGTCTAGATTTGGTATAGAGATTACGCGCGTGCGACATATGCATATTATCCCTTTCTGCTGCTATTATAATAATAATAATTATATGAGGTAGTGTATATGATATTAATTTGTAACATATAACACTACCAATTACGTATATAATAAAAAATAAAAAATAAAATAGGGTTAAATTAATTTCCTCATTAAATTTTTATTTTTTTATTTTTAAACGTGATTATTATTTTATTTGTACTTACCAGTAGTATTTAATAAATTAGGAGGTATCAAAAACAAAGTTGGAAAATTTGTTTCATTCACTACAATTACAAATGCTTGACTGCTTGATTTCTAAACTGAAAAAGGAAGATATAAAGTAAGGGATTTTACTATTTCTCCTCCTCGCAGTACATTTGTGGCATAAGTCGTTTCACTACTACCTCCTTATATTTAAACCGCTTAAAACGTAAATTATTATCGTAAATTAAATTAAATTTTCATATAAAATTTGGAACACTCACAAAAACTTGTTTCAACTAGTAATTGAAATAAATTCAAGACAATAACAGTTTCTTTATTATACGAACTACTTTTTGAGTAATAGAGGAGAGGGAAACAATAAGGAGGTCAAAAAATTGATAAGTAGATTGGTATTGAGAGTGGTGTTGGATCAAAGATACACGATAGATTTTTAGTCTATTAGTTTATTTGTAAATCAATCAATTTTAAACATAAACTATGACAGATTTTTTTTTTAAACCAGCATTGTCTTTATTTAAAAAATTCTACATAGAATAGAAAGTTTTGTGTTAATAGAATACATAAGTCAAATTCTAAATGATAAATTGATCTATCACGTCAACAAATGTGGGTAGATCTGCAGCGTTTCATTCAATATCTTTATTACGTGTTCAGTTCTATTGGATCTGAATAGATATTATAACTACTAGTTACTCAAGATCCTTTTTTTTTATTTTGGTAATACTTAGATAATATCATAACAAATAATATTATAAAACTACACACAAAATTACCCAACAACAATAGTAAGCTAGAATAATTTGAGAGTAGTAGTTATAACACAATTGTTAAAGTACATGAAATAAGTATTATACTTACCTTACAACTGAATTATTCTCTTACTTATTCACTTTACTCTAATCTAGCTATTCTATTAAACTGTTTGGATAATACTAACTAATATTCTAGTAGTACAAAATGGTTAAAAAAAACGTTTAATTTTTTTTAGTGTTAAGTACAAAATTACAAATTTTATTATTTACAACCTTCTTTTTTCTTTTTTCTCTTTTTTCTCACATTTACTTTTTTTGACAACCAACTTATAAACCAAATACTTCATATTACTCATATCACTAGAAATACAATCATATCATCAAGTACACGTATATCACTTAGAAGCACTTATTTCCATCTTATTATCAGCATTTTTTAATTTCGTATTCATATCACTTTTTTCATTATCTCCACTTTTCATTAATTAACAGAAAAAAAACAGAAAAAAAACAATATCATAAGGAGAAAAATTAGACCAAGCTTGACTTAAAACATTAAGCTTTAAAGTAGCTATTAGAAGAATCAATCAATCAAAGCATTAGCAATAAGAAGAAAATATTATTTTGTCATCACCTTGGTCATTCCATTTAAGACCATATTACTACTCAAAACGCGTTTAAAAAATTCAACTATCTTCAATCACTTTTCAAGATTTACAACTCAATAAATCACATTAAATCCTTCAAAATCATACTCAAAAGAAGGTCAACATATTCAAAACTATCAGTTGTCTTGAAAAAAACAACCATTATTTGAAAAATATTTTAATTGTTTCATACACTTGGAATATCCATACAAAAGAGCATTCATTTCTTCACTTTAAACACTGTATTACATAAATCATATCAATTACCTGTAACACTATATACTTTCGATCTATCCCATTCATAAAATCCATCTAAGCTTTCTTTAAAGATCAAATTCTTTCATATACAAAGATAATTTCATAATCATTCTAAAGCAACCTTAAAGCAAACTCGGTTCATAAATTTCAAATAGAAATATCAAAATGTTTAATACAAATAATCATACAGGGAGTCAACTTACTCCCTCTAATACGAATGGTCAATTTAATCATTCACAATTACATGGACAACATTCTGCATCATCATCTTCAAATATTCCTCAAAATAATTCTCAATCTACAAATCTACCTCCTGGTTTAAATCATACAGGATCTTTTGGTAACCAGCAGTCTCAACCACAACCACACCAGCAGCAGCAGCAGCAGCAGCAACAACCACAACAACAACATCATTCACATCAACAGAATCAATTTAGTCAGCAGAACTTCCAACACCCTCCAAACCAACAATCACTGCATTCTCATTCTCATATTCCAACTTCACCAACAACTGGCATTCTCAAAATCACAAATTTCCCAAGAGATTTAACAAGAAGAGAAGCTACTTTAATATTTGCATTAGTTATAGATGAAATATTAAGTATAGATGTAAATGAATATCAAATAATTGCATTATTTAAAAATATAAATACTTGTATTACTACTGGGAAATTATTAGATGGACAACAAATATTTGGTCATGAATATGCTCCAATAAAAGTTGAATTTGATAATAATAATAATAATCTTTCAGCAATTACTTCACCAACTAATTTTGCACAAACTCAAGCAGCTTTTAATTCATTAAGTATATCTCCAACCGTTAATAATATATCACCACCAAATAGATTAAATCCACCACCATTATCTCAACATCAATTACCTGCTCAACAAAGTGCTCCTGGACCAAATACAAGTAATAGTAATCCAATTGCTCCTTTTGATGTATTACAAAAAAGACAATCTGTGCATAATCCAAGATCAAGATTTATTTTCAGTGATCCATTTCAACTGGATCAACATCAAATACTGCAACAATCACAACAACCATCAAATCAACCAAATTCAGCACCATCATTGCCTCAACAACATCACCAACAAAATCCGAAATCGTATTCAAATCAATCACACTCACAATCAAATAATAATAATAATGATTCACAACAAATTACTAAATCAGGATCTAATCCTATTGATTATTCAGAAATGACAGGTAAATCAATATTACTAATGGAATCACAAAATGATGCAAGAGATTATGAAAATTTAGTAAGAGATCCATGGATGCCCAATCCAATTTTACAAAATCCAACTTCAAACAATGCTGTTGTTGATTCAAATAATCAAAGTCCAAGTCTTTTATCAAATCCAGATTGGAATTCAAATCAATTAATTTCTCATACTTTAAATTCTAATGGTTCTTTAAATAATGGTGGTGGTTCTAATTTTGTTTTACAACAACCACCTGATCGTAGAAGAACATCATCTGCATTTTTCAATCCTCAACAACCACAGCAACCACCTAATTCGCAAAATAATCCACAACAACAACAACAACAGCAACAACAAATTCCATTTAATAATACTATCCCAACCCCCAATTCAAATCTAAGATCATCATTATCTCAACCATCATCATCACAAATTGCTGGTCAATATCCTCAACAGATACCTAATAAAAGAACATCATCACCATCTCAATTAAATGTAAATGTAAATATAAATGCAAGTCCAACAACAAAATTCAATCAACAACAACCATTATCAGCATCAGGATCATCATCAACTACGACATCAACATCTCAACAACAACAACATCAACAAAAAGATATACCAGATTTATCATTATTAGCAAGAGTTCCTCCACCAGCAAATCCAGCTGATCAAAATCCTCCTTGTAATACATTATATGTTGGAAATTTACCACCAGATGCAACTGAACAAGAATTACGTACTTTATTTGTTCCTCAAAAGGGATTTAGAAGATTATCATTTAGAACTAAAAATCAACCTATTTCTCAATTAAATGGATCATCTAATGGAGGATCTTTAGCATCTAATACCTCTTCGTCATCAACAACGAATCCAACAAACAATGTATCATTAAATCATAATCATGGACCAATGTGTTTTGTTGAATTTGAAGATGTAGCTCATGCGACAAGAGCATTAGCTGAATTATATGGTAGAGCATTACCAAGAAATAATAATGGCACCAATGGTACATCCAATAATGGTTCAACTAATAATGGTAATAATACTACTTCTACAAATTTACATAGTGGAAAAGGAGGAATTAGATTATCTTTTTCTAAAAATCCTTTAGGTGTTAGAGGACCAAGTAGAAAATATTAATGGACATTGTTATTACTTATTAACTTCATTTTTGTTGAAAAATAAGGAGAAGAAAGGTGTTTTGTTGTTATTTTTCATTATCTTTTATTTTTCATTATTTTTATAACGGAATATTTTCATATCATGTTTTTTTTTCATATATTTTTAGTTTATACTTCTTTTATGTTTTTAATATTAATTAATAAATCATTTGTCATATATTTACATTAAACTTTAGAAAAATAAACTCTATTTTAACTCTTTGATTTTTATATTAAGGATACATCGTAGCTTACTTACTGGTTTTTAATTCATTATTACTAGTTCGTTATTCATTATTTTTTACTATTTAGTATTTATTTATTCTATCATTTCATCTATTTTCTTAATAAATGTATCAACAATCCACTACTACCAAACACCTGAATATTTTCAAGTATATTTAATTTTTATTTTTATTATTAATTAAATCAATTAAATCCTTAGGATTTGCATAAACTTGAGATAACCAATTACTTTCCAAGATTTCATTTATAGAATCAATTCTCTTGTTTATATCAGGATTTAAAATTTTTAAAATTATTGATCTTGAATCATAATGAAGCTCTTTAAATAATTCTAATGATGAATTATTTAATTTTAGGTTTTTATTATTTAAATCATTATTTAAACTACGTAAATTTTTTTCAAACACGGAAGGATCTTTTTCTGATGAAATTGGATATGAACTCTTGTATTGTTGAAAATTAACATTTTTAGGATCATTTAAATTTGAATTTATCCATGGATTTTTCATTAGAAAAATAACAAAATAAATTATACCTATGGACCAAATATCAAATTTTTTAAGTAGCTGAAAATTTTTTGAATAAATTTTAAATTGATTTAATGAAAATTTTTTATCTTTTTGTTGTTGTTCAATATCAAATATTTCAGGTGATTTAAAACTGTTTGTCCCAACAATTAAAAAATTTAAATCTTCCTTAAATATTCTAAAACATTTTTCATGATTATTTAAATTTAAACTATAACCAAAATCACTTATTTTTATTATACCATTTAAATCAATTAAAAAATTTTCAGGTTTTAAATCTCTATGAATTATGTTTTGGTAATGTAAAAAATTAACACCTTTTAAAATTTGTTTAAAAATTGAATCTTTTAAATTTGAATTTATTTTTATTTTAAATCTTCTTAATTTTGATAAAAAATCTAATAAATCTCCCTGGGGAAAATAAGGTAATATGATAATTAATTCATTTGAATTTTGAAGCTTTAATAAATTTATTATTTCAATTATATGTTTATGTGGTTGTACAGTTTTAACATTTTTATATTCTCTAAGTACTTTTGACAAATATTGTTTATAATTTTCATTGGCTGGATTATATTTAATTTGTTTTAGAGCTAAAACTTTTGTATGATTCAGATCTGATCCCTTGAATATTATACCATTTGCTCCTTCATATATTGGTTTTGATGATGTTTTAACATATTCTTTTCCTATTTCTGGTAATGTTTCAAGATCTATGGAACAAGTATCGGAATTATTTGTTTCTTCTTGTTCTTGATCTTGATCTTGTTCTTGTTCTTGTGCTTCATCTTGTACTTGTGCTTGTTCGTTTTGATTTTCATAATCTGGAAATTTTGAAGTTGTTGGTACTTCTGGACTATCTAGTTGATTATTTTCAAGCGAGGGATTAAAATGGTGATTATTTTGATCTTCTACTACATTTGAGTTTGCTTCTGCTTCTACAAGAGGGGATTGTTGTAAAACTTGTGATTCTGTTTCGGGTATAGGGGTATCTCCATTGGTATCTGTACTTTGGACTTTATCATTGGAGTTGACTAGCCTTGAAGTTGTTGTATTTTGAAGGGACCCCATTTTCTCAGCTTGATCCACTTGTGGGGTATTTTGAATTCTTTCAGAGTCATCAATGTTTTGAATTGATGTATTCCCAAGATCCTCATTTAAATTTAAATTTTTGACGTCACTGGAAGGTAATTCATCTATTGAATTATTCGCATCATTGATACCATTTACTGGTTCATTACTTGGTTTAAAGTGTTCTTTTGAGTTTAATTTGAGACTATCTAATTGAGATTTATTTTGTTCTATCTTTGATGAAGATAACGATTTCAATAATTTATTATTTATTGCTTTTGATTCCGAATCATTAACATTTTGGATATGATTATTATGATTGTTATGATTTTTATTACGACTTAATTGTTCGTTTTCATTATTTGTGACTGGTTTTGTATTATTATGCCCACTATTTCTTCTCGAAAGAAAATTGGCTATACGATGTAATACCATTGCTAATATTGAATTTGAAGTTGAATTGAAAATTGATCTTTAAGATTGATGTTTCATTTATTAACTATTAGTGTATCGATTGATGACATGTGTTATGAAATTTACTTCCTTAACCCCATTTGTTCTAAGTTGTGATAATCAGCCGTTTGCTTTAAATTACGATGATTAGAAATTTGTGATACTTTTGTAGTAGTTTCGGTTGTACTGTGTGATCTTTTCAAATCAATGATTGTTGAGTTTTCTCTAGTAAATATATATTGAAAAAATGGGGTTATATATGCTTTAAATTAGATTAATTTATGAGATAAAATTGATAACGTTTGTAACTTGTTTAATATTATAACTTGTTAATATTATTATAATAATTAGGGGTTTTTAGATCGCAAAATCTATTAAACTGTAAGTATAACTCCGCGTTAATTCTATTACAGTAACTAATGATCTGATTAGTGGAAACTACCAAATGATAACTTAAGATCTATGTCAATTGACACCTAAATTTTGCTGATAAATATCATTCCAATTGATATCAATAATACAGGGCGATTTTTGTAATAGCTTTGTTTAAAGTATTATCAGGATCATTAGCTTTTTTTAATATGGTTTTTTGACTTGACAATAAAAGTATCAGAATTAACTGGTTACTCACGAAATAAAAATGGGTTTGAATTTAATTTTGCAACCAATATTGTCCAATATTTCAATTACATGACACCATTCTAGTTTTTTCAAGACAACCTGATCATGACTAAGTAAGATTCTTCTTAAAAGGCGGTCTATTTAATCAGTGAAACCTGAGATATCGAATTTATTACGCATGAAGGAAGGATTCAAATTTACCAGACATAATTAAAGTATACAATGATGTAGATGATCTTTTGTTGATCAAGTCAAGCAAATTGCTTTAGAAGATACGATTTTATACAACAAGTGGAATAAGATTGAAAGCTCCAATAGAACGGAGCGAAAGAAAAAATATAAATCAAATAGCCCCGATGTATGCATCTAGTTGGATTTACAAACATTGATTTCAATACAAAAGTAGTAAATGAAAACCCAAATTTTCATGTTAATTCAATCACAATAATCGTAATAGACATTTCCTTGTTTTCACCGATGCATAAGGATTTGAAAAGGCAATTTTATACTATTATCTATCTTGTATTGCTTTAAAAATTTATTATCCATGCGATCAACAATTGATAGTATATTTTTAAAGCAATACAAAAAAGATAATTGAATAAAATTAAGATAGTGGATTTCGCCATATCTACTAAATCCCAATTTTCAGTGAGGTACAGGCAATTGTATCTCTCGATACTCCGTGTTACTGTACTGCAACATGATTACTCTTATCATGGGCATCCGTATTTGAATGACTTTAGGTTCGATGCCATGTTCACTTCCAGTGTATGAAATTTCAACTATTAATCTAAATATGTATGACTATCATCTGATGATCTGCCCCTATCAGCCAACCTCAATCCAAAGGAACCAAACCCAGCACAATCTAACAAGAATATAAATCGATTCGTCTCAATTGGTTAATTCAAAAGATCTTCTAACATATTGCTTTTATATCCTTTATAGACATTTGGAGCAACTTCCATTGTTAATAATCTTTGACGAAGTGATACAGAATCTCTATGTGCTTCGTTCTCTGATATTCAAATTTCTGTGACTTTAATTATATGTATTTACTGTTGTACTTTCATCAACGATGTTCATCAGTAGCGATATCAATCTTCTTCAATTGGCTATAAGGAATACAAAGAAATAAGTTACAGCATCTTTTGAACTGAAAAGTTTAAGTTACATGTTCTTACCAATGCAATAAAATCAGAATCAAATATCAAATTATTCAGTATGATCAATTTCAGGAATGGGTATGATAATCAATGCGTTGCTACTGATTGGTAAACAAATCTATAAAGTTTGAATCTTTTTGAGTGGTCTGTTCTATTTTTTATTCTTCCTCTTGCTGACATTAAAGTGTTGGAATATCGATATGTTAATAATTTAATGATTTAACATCAACAATTGAATAAAAGATTTCATCGTATTAATATATAATTCTTTGAAAATTTAATTTAACTTCGAATTGAGCTTATTTGCACTACATCCATAATAGGAAATTACGTGAGGCTCAATTTTTAATACTATTTACATATTAATTAATTACTTAAATTGTTTATAATAAATCCCAATTTGGAATATATTAGTTTAATTTTGTGTAATATGTAGTTGGTAGCAAACCCTTATATGACACAAAATAAAAGTAATGACATATTAAAACTATTTAGTTGCAATTTAGAACCAAGTGCTATAAATTATGAAATTGCTTTTATTAAGAATAGGCAAGGCTGATCTTAGCTTTTTATACACGGATTAGAAAAATTTAATCGGATATATATTCATACTACCAGTTTATAGCAAACCTAGTGTTTTGTTACAGAGATTTTAGCCACCCAAACTTTTTTTTTTGGAATGACTAGAATCCTCAAGTTCAAGAATTTTTTTAGTTGTAATTCTCTCCACATTTCTATAAATGATAGGGTGTATTAATAGGTCTAAATTTATAGGATTATACATCAAAACTTATGATTTCGGTAAATTTTTTATGCTTAAGTTTTTTTTATTCGTAAGATATTTACGATTTTATTCTATAAGTACTTTACGTTAAAATTTTTAACTGATGATTGTTTCATGTTTCAAGGAAAAAAAAAAAAGCAAATTAAGAATTTAAAGTCTAAATATGTTCCATGACTTTCTTACTGCCTTGATACTAAACTGAATCACACCAATGCCAACTTATTGAATTAAGTTTAGTTAAGATTCTATGTCTTGACCAATTAACTTTTTTTTTTTTGGTAAGGCTGACTAGTTTTATAAATCTTTATAAATTGCATTTCTTAAAAATAGAAATGAAAATGAAGTTTTCTATTTTTAATCATGGTATAAGCCTATTTTATAGAAAAGTTAAATCATATAAGGGATATTTTCAATGTTTTTCTCTTCTCTTTTCCAGCTCAGTATATAAAATACCTTTAAATTGATTTGTCAATCTCTAAAACTTCTTTATAACTCCTTTTTATGTCAAATATTATAATCTACATGATTATACATCTGTACTAACTTCCCCCCTAAGTAAGGTAAGTAATTAAAGTATTGTTTAATTTTGTACTATATTTAGTAATTAAACTACTTAGTTAGTACTAGTACTAGCTCTATTTGATGTATAATAACTTAACTTATTGTTTTACCAAAATAGCAAAGCAAAGCAAACAAAACAAAAAAAAATCTTACATCATAAGAATAAGAAACATCATCAATTTTTTTTTCTTTCTTTCTTTCTTTACAATTTCAAATTGAAACTTTAGCTTTTTATTCATTTATATAACAATCAATTCCTCACTATTTCATTCAATTTAATTGAAAAGTTTTGAAAAATCGAAAATAAATCTGGAGTAAAAACAATTATATATCACAAACAAAAAGAGAAAGGCTTCATACATACCCAGCCTACTTTACAAAGAAACAAGTTCAATTTCCTTCTTTTTCAACTTCAATTCCAAGCTATTGTTACTCAACTACTACTAACTAGTACTACCACGACTAATTGAGTCAATTGATATCTATCATTTCAATATTTTCATTCAAGATTTTCTAACAAACAAACAAACAAACATTATATCATAATTTATAAAAAACTATAAAAAATGAGAGCATTAACATTAATTCCATTATTTTTCCTTTTAGGTTCAACTTTATTATTAATTTTAACAGTTATAAATGGTGCAGGAACTTCATCAGTATTAGGTAATTTTTATTGGTCAGAAACTGATACTTCAAATATTCCAGGAGCTGGAAGAGATAAAACAAGATGGACATTTTATAGATCATGTGGTGAATCTGGAGGTAGAAATTCAGATTGTTCATCATCAAAACCTGCTTATCCTTATTCACCAAAAGATAATTTTAATTCAGAGCAAGGTATTCCACAATCTTTTATAGATGATAGAAATACTTATTATTATTTATCAAGATGTGGTTGGGCTTTTATTGTTGTTGCCTTAGTATTTTCAGCATTAGCTTTAATTTTAATTCCAATTAATTTTTGTATTACAATTGGTGGTATATTAACTATAATTACATCTTTAATTTCATTTATTTTTGCTATAACTGGTGCTGCTTGTATTACTGCTGCTCATGTTAAAGGAAAACATGAATTTAATAAAGCTGGTCATTCAACAAGTTTAAGTGCAAAATCATTTGGTATATTATGGGCAGCTGTAGCATGTTTAATTATTGTTTTTGCAACAGCAATTGGAGCATGTTGTGGTACAAGAAAAGGTAATAAAAAAAGATCAACCAATAATCAAGCTTATCCTCAAGATAATGAAAATAATGTGTATTCAAAAGAAAGTGGTGATTATGCTCAAGGAAATTATGTTGATGATACTACTGCCAATAATAGAGGAGTTACTGGTACAGGAGGAGTTGCAGGAATTAATGATAATGAACCAATTTCTGATGCTTCAAAATTTAGATTTTTCAGAGTTAAAAGAGCAAAACCAGAAGAAATTTAAATTAGTTGAATCTTATAGCTCAAAATTTATCATAATGGTATTCTTTAGACCAATTTTATTGACTTAATGAAATAAAATTGACCTAATGAAACAATTATTCAAAAAAAATCATCAAACGAATAAACTGCCCCCAAAATGATGTATAAAAATCAAGACTCAATGACAGAACTTTATGGGTCAAATAATAAAATCAAAACATCAAAAATCATACTTACAAAAAATACCTTGTTTTTTTTTAATTTTATTCAATTTTACGTTACCTAATGTTAATTATAATTTATATTATATATATATTTTTACCAAAACTTTTATAATTTTTAATTAGTCTAATTAATTAATATCTTTTAATATATAATAATTTATTATTTTCAATCAACCATATCAGTATCTCTTTAGATGAAACTTGAAAAAAGATTGATTATCGTACTTCAAATCTGCATTTAAATATCATTAGGTCTAATCGCTTTAACAATCCTAAACTAGTAACAAATACATAGGTTTAAAAACTGACGACTAATTGCTTGATTGTTCACTTCGATAGTTTCAAACTTTTCTATAATCATTGATTTCAAATCTGCGTTTTAAATCTATCATCATTTAGCTCACCATAGTTGCATACAGCTAGAAATCGGATTTAAAAAAGAAGAAGTCAAAAAAAGAAAAGTAGTAGATCTTATTTATTTCGAATAATTCTTAATAAGATATCATCATATAAATTAAAATGCAAATAAAATTTACTTTGCCACAATACTCTAATATTATATTGCCCTGTTTTAAGTTAGTAGAAGGTTTACTCCTTCAAATTAAGTTGAACGTTCTTTGATTTATAATAGTATATTTATCTATTCATTCTTGTTTGTTTCAGATTCAGGACTTTTCTTTTCTTTCTTTCTGAATCTGAATTGGAAAGTATAACGGAAACTTTGTTTTTACCACTGTTGAATGATTTACTTAACATTATATGGTAGTGTAAATTGAGTTGTAGATTTTTGTTCACTGTACTGAATAAGCGTATACGTATTATAAATTACCTAATTAGTTATTTTGTGTACCTTACCGTAAATACAAAAACTTCTCTCTCGTAAATTAAAATTTTAATTTGTTATGCATTAAATAATACGGAGTAAAAATGATTAAAAAATAATTTAATTATCGTTATCATCTATCTTTCAAACATATACTACATCATCAATAACTTCAATCTAAATTCAAACTAAATCTAAGAATTTAAGCTTTAAAAACTTTTACTAAAATTTCCTTAAACTTTCATCAATTGATCTAGACGTTTCATTATTAACTTTTAATTCATAAAAGTTTTAATACTCAAAATTAAAAATTTCATAAATCACTAGTCTAAAAAAACACTCCTAGATTAGCTCAAACTCATCAATCTAATAAATCGAATAGATTCTTAAAACAGTCAAACCCTAAATAAGTTCTTTTTTTTTAAACGAAAAAATTACAAAATCAATTTCCTTCGGTGTTTCAAAAAGAACTTTCCAATTTTTACTTGATCTTGCATTTTAATGTTTTGAAAAATTATTCGATTTACTTGTGTAACAGTTAACTAATTATCAATTATCGATAATCTATTTTCATTCAATTGATTTGAACTAAGATTTTGCAAATTCAATTCAATTTCATATTCAAGACCTTCATCGAAAATCAAATCTAAAGCAAGAAGCTAAAGTAAGACTTATTCCTATAACGTTTAGTCTTTGCTATTGGTCCTTTTAACTATTTTCCTAGTCCAAGATGTCTTTCTCCCTAAGGACAACTAGTTCACATAGTAGTAATAACACTAATTATGAAACTAATTTTTTGACTCAACAACAAGAAAATCCTCATCCCCAACATCAACAACAACAATCAGATCAACTTCATTTAAAAAATTATAATGATTTTTTATATCGTGATGATTATATTTTACAACAATTAAGTAATAGAATTAAATATAATCAATTAAAATATGGTTTAAATGGTGGGGGTGGTAAATCTTCTCAAATTTTATTATCTGAAATTTTAAATGGTGATATTCATGAATGTAATAGTAGGGATAGTAATGATGGAGATGATGTTAATGTTGGATTTTATGGTAATATTAGTAATAATTCTTCTTCAAAAGGATCCAATTATAATGGTGAAGGACTTCAACTAGGTTTTGAATCAAATTTTAGAAATAAAAATCATAAATCCAAATCTAGTAATCATGGACATGTTTCAAGTCAAGGTAATGATATCAATCATATTGAACAAAACAAATCACAAATTAATGAAACTAGACCTCCAACTCATGATATTCCTGATGAATTAATTCAAATTTTTCAAGAATTTGAAAATGATAAATTGACAAGACAAAGACCAGGTTCAAGATTAAATAGTGGTAGTAGTAGTAGATCATCAAATAGACCCAAATCTAATGGTGGTGTTATTTTCAATGTTATTGATGATGAAACAGAAGAAGAAGATAGACCTAATTCTGATCAAAAACAATATTACACCCATGATGATGAAGATGATGAAGTTGAATATATAACTTCTGCCAATACTATATCACCAGAAATTTATATTAATGGATATATGAAATTTATCATTAATTCATCACAAATAAATTCACCAAATGAAGAACAGTTACAAAATCAAAATCAACCAAATAATCCACAAACAATTTCTAAAAATAATTCATTAGTTTCAATTTCAAATTCAATAGCAACAAGTAATGATGAAATAGAATTATTAGAAAGTCCTAAAATAGATTTAACTCATGATCAAATTATTGAATTATTTGAAGAAACATGTAAAGAAATTGATGAATGGAAACAAACTTCTTTTAATTTAGCCAATAATAAATTAAATTTTAAATCAACAAATTATCACCAACAATTATTACAACAACAATATCAATTACAACAACAACACTTACAACAACAAAGAATTAAATTGATTCTGCAAGATGATTATAATGTTGATAAAAACTGTAATTTAAAATCCCAAAATAATTATAGTAATGAACATATTAATGAAATTGGAGGTGGAAACAATAATGAATTAAAAAATAAATTAGTTGATGATTTATATTGTGATGATACAAATGAATTTGATGATTCTTCAATTGATTTTGAAAGAAAAATTCGAAAAAATCCTGGATTTGTTAAAAAAGTGAATACTTTTTATTTCAATAACAATAATAATAACCATAGTAGCAATAATGTCAATGAAACATCACAAATTATTGAAGATTTAAAAAATAAATCGTTTCACTCGAATGCAATATTAATTGGTTCATCAACTAAAAGATCTTCTTCAACAAGTTCTGAAGTTTCAAATTTATCATTTGAATTACAAAATTTAAATTCAAATTCAAGTACTACTTCTCCATTAGAAAAATTAACTCATCAAATTATTGAATCTCCTAAAACTTCAACACCAGTTAGATTAGACAAAACAATTGATTTAGTTGATGAAAATACCTCCACTAGCAATAAATTAACTCAATCAGCTATTTCCAAAAAACGTAGGGAAAAACAAAAAATTCCAAGACGTCCTTATTTTGGTTATAATAATTTTAATGATGAATCTCAATTTCAATTTCAATCTCAACCTCAACCTCAACCTAATTCTTCGAAAAATAAAAATATATTTAGGGTAGGTAGTGCAATTGATTTTAAATCTTTTAAAATTGAAAGTAAACCAGATTATGAAACATCAAAAAATTTATCATTACAATCATCAAAAATTCCAAATAAATTTCATTGTATTCAATTAAATGATAAATTAATTGAACCATTATATAATTCAAAAACTTGTAAAATTCATAGAATTTTGTATATTAGGGATGATTTTGATATAATTTTTAATAATTATCAATCTGAAAAGGAATTAACACAAGTAAATTCAAATTCAAATTCCAAATATAGATTATCAAAAAACGTCAACTTCAAAAAATCATCTTATGAATCTCAATATATTTTGACAAAAATTGATCAAAAAACAAGTAAACCAGATAATACAACAAGATCAGGATTATGTCCATATTGTGAAACCATCGAATTTTTTGGTTTAAAAAATTCTTCTTATGGTAATCATTTAGCTTATAAACATGGTATATTAACAAATGGTAAATCAATTCCTGACCCAAAATTTTTTGGTATATATAAATTTAAAAAAGGTGAATATGATGAACCTGAAAAGAAAAAAAGAAAAACAAATGCTCATATCTTGGAAAGACAAGGTGTATTATGTACTTGTTGTTGGCAAATTTTAGAAGTTAATTGTACTTCAAGATCTTCTGTTTTAGGACATTATTTAAGACATTATAGGGATTCTCATGTTGGTTATAAAAAGGAATTTAAAAATGGTCAATTGAAAAATTATATTGATTTGAATGAATTTAAAATTGTTGATAATGGTAATGGCTGTGATAATGTAAATAACTCGAGTCAAGCTGATAGTGCGACTGCTGAAACCAACAGTCAAATTATAAATGATCCTGATATTTTAAATTTCATCAATAGATGGAAGGAATAAAATTGTAATGACAATTATTTTCAAATTGTTGGTACTTAGTTTCGATGGTAATTCATCTTTTGATGGCTCGGATAATTTCAGATTGGTGTTTATTTCATTTCTAATTTGGTTGTTTTTAATTGTTTAGCAACATGTTTAGCTACTGCTTTTTCTTTGTATTATTTTTTGAAGTTGACGCTATTTGCATCAGTCAATTTTTGCATTACTGATTATTTTTTTAATTGATGTTCAATTTGTATTAATAATTTTAATGAAATTCTTTCAAGTTTGTTGAAATTTGATTTTGACTTTGTCTCTAATTCTATTTCTGAGATTAACCGTGCGCTTTTCTAAATTCATTAATTATCGAACTGCACTTAATCAAACTTCATAGCTTAGAGTGATAGCAATTAGTCATGTGGATTATATTCACATTATGAACATGGATACTCTAAAGGGAGAGAGTCAAATTATAAAGCGGAATTTGTAAATTGATAATGGAATCTGGATAATTAGCGGTAAAAATAAATTAAATGAAAGGCTACTATTGTTCCGCTTCCTACGATTATGTATGATTGATTAAATTTCTATTTAGCAAGATGATCTAACAATTAATTTATGAGTCTCAGATCCAAATTCAAGGTTTGACAGGTGAAGGTTTTGAGAAAAAGAGAAGATATAGACTATTGAAATATTCATGTTGAAATTATATGCACCCAGCAAAGAGATGGATTCAACTTATTGCAACAGAATATAAAACTTTAGTTTCAGCCATTTGATAAATCTGAGACACCGTTATGGCCATATATTAGATAAGGATTAATTACTTTTGTGAAAATTTTTATTGTCCTATCGGAATAATTAATGTAATACAATCAGATATGAAGCAAAGGTTTCACTTGTTATTCAAATATCACTATTGCTCAAAAAATGGTATAAATGAGTTGGAATTTTTCTAGGTTTATTTATGTGAAAACATCATCCTATTAATCTTTTCATCTTTCCAAATGTCAAAGGAGACCAAGGATATTGATATAAAAGTTGAAAAAACAACATCACTTACATCTGATGATGTTGAGTCATTAAGTCTATCAAATACAATTAGTTTTTCAAAACAAGATAAAGATGATGCTAAAGAAATCTTTTATCATGATAACAAATTAAGTTCAACTTTGAATGCTAGAATTATAACAATGATTTCTTTAGTGGGAGTTATAGGGACTGGATTGTACGTTTAATCTTCAATTGCTAATTTCTTTAAATGAATGTTGTATGTTAAGATACTAACTTACTTTAGATTTCTTTCATCTGGTGGTACATTAGCAACAGCAGGTCCCGTAGGTATGATTTTAGCATATGTTGTTGTTGGTTCTGTAGTAGCAGCATCATTAATGTCAGTTGCTGAAGTTTCATGTCTATCACCAAATGAAGCATCATATGTTTCACATGCAGAACATTTTGTTGATAAATCTTTTGGATTTGTTATTGGAATATGTGATATTTATGCAAACATAATTCCAAATGAATTAGCTGCAGTATCTGTTTTAATGACTTATTGGACAGACATAAATCCTGCTGTATTTATTACCATATTTGGATTAACTATCGTTATTGTCAATGGATATAATGTTAAATGGTATGGAGAAATTGAATTTTATTTTGGAATTATTAAAATTCTATTATGTGTTGGATTAATTTTATTAGGATTAATTATAGATCTTGGTGGTATTCCTGGTGATAATGATCGAATTGGATTTAGATATTGGATTAATCCTGGCCCATTTGCTGAAAGGTATACAACTGGATCTTTAGGTAAATTTTTAGGATTTTGGAAAGCCATAAATTCAGCAGTTTATGCATTTAGTGGTATTCAAAACATTACATTATTAGCTGGTGAAATTGATTTTCCAAGAAGATCGATATATCGTGCTTCAAAAAGGGTATTTATAAGAGTTTTTGGGTTATATATTGTAATGATTGTTATATTATCAATGATTGTACCCCATAATGATCCATTAATTGCTGAGTCCAATGGTACAGCTAGTGGATCACCTTGGGTTCGAGCTATAAGTCTCGCTGGAATTAAAGTGTTACCAAGTATAGTTAATGCAGTAGTTTTAACTTCAGCCTTAAGTTCTGGAAATTTACAAGTTGTCAAAGCTAGTAGAACCATATATGTTTTAGCTTCTAAAAGACAATTACCTAAGATCTTTTTGAAAGTCAATAAACATGGGCTACCTTATGTTGCAGTTGGTTTTACTTGTGCATTTTTACCTTTGGCATACATGGCTGTTAGTGCTTCATCATCCAATGTGTTCTCATGGTTTTCAAATGTCATATCAGCAAATACTTTATTTAGTTGGATTGTTATGAGCGTGAATCATATAGCATTACATAGAGCTTTAAGAGCTCAAGGATTTTCACGAAAATATTTACCTTTCACATTTTTAGGAAAATATGGTGAATATTGTGGTTGGTATTCTCTATTTTTTGCAATATTATTCTTGTTGACTGGTGGGTTTCCAAATTTTATTCATGGATATTGGTCATTTTCAACATTTTTCAGTGCTTATTTTATCATTCCATTAGCTTTGGTACTTTTTATTTTTGCAAAATTAGTATTCAAATCAAAGTATATTACACCAAATGAAGTTAAATTGAAACCATTATTTTACGATGTTCAAGCAAGACCTGAACCGCCTTTCAAAAAATTAAAAGGATTAGAGTGGCTTACGTTATTATGGGCATAAGTAATTATCTTTATATAATATAAGATACTTTGCATAAGATTTCTTCATTCGCCTATTTATTGTTCTCATGTTTATTGGCAAGATTTGTAAAATCTTTTCAGTAAAGTATAATTATTGTATGAAGATCAGAATGTCAAGCTTCGGGCAACTAATGAGCGAAACTGTATTTGACTGTTGTTGGTTTGTATCCGCTATTCAAGTCGCATGATGTAATTCTTAGTGTGTTCTTCGATTTGATGCGATCACACTTATATTGATTTCCATATTTCATGCTCTTAATCCTTGATCACAACTTAGTTTTTCGTAAATTTATTGAACTAGTCGACGCTCAATTGGAGGTAGTACCGAAGCCGGTGTAACGCCAAGATTATTGTTTCGATGTTTCAAGTTTGACAACGGTGGAATATTTGGATTTTGACTTTCATCAGATAGCTTTAATTGATGCGAAACACTCGATTTTGAACATCAGGTTTGATTTTCCTTGAATTATCATATATATTAAAACTCCCCGAGGGGCAAGTTCTTTATTTTCTTTACTCTGATAGCATGAAAAGATGTAGTAGAATTCCAAACCCACTTTAATGCAAATTTGCTAAAACTGAATGTCTTTCTCTTTCAATTTGATAGCCCTAATAAAACTTCAAAATTAAAAGAGAGATAGCCACACCAATTTACAAAAAAAAATGGTTTTAAATTTAGAACGAGATAAATTTTTCTAACCCTGATGTATCCACAGTAATGGAAAAACCCCAGTTGATCATATTGCCTTGTAAAATGTATTGAAACTGTTTAATTCTACTCCAATGAGAAAATAGATAAAACCAATTCCAATTTAAATGAAGGAAAAAATTATAGATAAGGATTTATTATTTTAGATTAAGATTGAAAATCAAATTGATACAGATTTTTATCAATTTTTTATTGTTTCAAAATTGTAGCCATGAAATTTCTATTCACACTCACAATTTTCAATTTAAGGTTATAAATTTTGAAAATTGGCAATTCTAAATTTTATTGTAAATCAATATAAGATTAGATCATATGGCGTTTGCCCTGGTAATCGTATCAGAGTTTATTGATTTTAGTATACACTTAATTTCTAAATCAGAGCTACATAACTCAATCTTTATCTACTCTAATCAAACATTTTTACAATTCTATGCATATCGCTAGTACGTTTATTTTTCAAAAGCTTTGATTGTTCAAAGAAGCCACTTTTCATCATACTTAGATCTACTTGTCTTATCAACAATCAAATATAAAATATATAGATATGAAATTTTCCACTTTCATTTAGCCCCTGTATTATTTTTTTCAAACTTTTCAAAATCACTACAAAATCATGTCATCAAAAGAAGTGAAAGACCAATCTACCAAAGTTGAGGTTTATGCTGATTCTTCAGATGTTGAATCATTAAATCAAAGTTTTTCTAAAGAAGATATAGAAGAAGCTGAAGCTTTATTTTATCATGATAATAGATTGAGTTCTTCATTAAATGCCAGATTGATTGGTATGATATCCTTAGTTGGTGTTATTGGTACAGGTTTGTATGTATAAATTCTTTAGGTGTCCCTTATCTAAAGCGCAATTGATTTGGTCTATCCAATTGAGGCTACCAAATTTTGTAGCTAAGATGTTTCAAAATCGGTTGCAAAAAAAGTTTAAAGTTTTGTGATACTAACAATCAAAAAGGTTCCTTTCTTCAGGTGGTACTTTATCTACAACAGGTCCAGTTGGTATGCTTATTGCATATATTTTTGTTGGTACTGTTGTTGCAGCTTCACAAATTGCAGTTACAGAAGTATCCTGTTTATCACCAAATGAAGGTGCTTATGTTTTTCAAGCTGAACATTTTGTTGATAAATCTTTAGGTTTTGTGATGGGAATTTGTGATATTTATTCAACAGTTATTCCAAATGAATTATCAGCTGTTTCAGTCATTATGTCATATTGGACTGATCTCAACCCAGCTATTTGGATCTCCATCTTTGGTGTTGTCATTGTTGCGGTCAACTCGTATAATGTTAAATGGTATGGAGAAATTGAATTTTTCTTTGGACTTTTGAAAATTTTATTATGTGCTGGTTTAATTATTTTAGGGTTAGTAATTGATTTAGGTGGAGTTGTAGGAGGTAATGATAGAATTGGTTTCAGATATTGGGTTCATCCTGGACCTTTTGCAGCTAAATATGAAACTGGATCTTTGGGTAAATTTTTAGGATTTTGGAAATCTGTAAATTCAATTGTATATGCATTTGGTGGTATTCAAGCTATCACTTTATTAGCAGGTGAAACAAAATATCCAAGAAGATCAATTTATCGTGCAGCAAAAAGAGTCTTTTATAGAGTTTTCACTTTATATGTTATTATGGTTTTCATTTTATCATTAATTGTTCCATCAAATGATCCTGTCATTGCTAAACCAAATGGTACAGCTAGTGGATCTCCATGGGTTAGAGCTATTAGTTTAGCTGGTATTAAAGTTTTACCAAGTATTGTTAATGCAGTTGTTTTAACTTCAGCTTTATCAGCTGCTAACTTACAAATTGTTAAAGCAAGTAGAACAATTTTTGTATTAGCAGCAAAAGAACAATTACCAAAAATATTTTTAAAAGTCAATAAACATGGTTTACCATATGTTGCTGTTATTTTTTCATGTTGTTTTATTCCATTAGCTTATATGACTTCAAGTAAAACTGCTGCAACAGTTTTTTCATGGTTCCAAAACATTACTTCATCTAATATTCTATTTAATTGGATTGTCATTGCTATCAATCATATTGCATTACATAGAGCATTAAAAGTACAAGGATATTCTAGAAAAGATTTACCGTATACTTTCTTTGGTCGTTATGGTGCTTACACAGGTTATTATTCATTATTTTTTTCAGTTCTTTTCTTATTAACAGGAGGATTTCCAGCATTTATAAAGGGTCATTGGGATTTTGCAACATTTTTCAGTGCTTATTTCATTATTCCATTATCTTTAGTACTTTTCATATTTGCTAAATTATTTTTCAGATCAAGTTATATTAAACCAAGTCAAGTTCGTTTGAAACCATTATTTTATGATGTCCAAGCTAGACCAGAGCCACCATTCAAAAAATTAAAAGGTTGGGAATGGCTTACTTTATTATGGGCTTAATTCTTATACTTTAATTCATAGGCGTAGTAATAGTTTAGTTATTTATTAAAAAATAGACAATTCATATTCTTTCGGTAATGATCGATTCATGTAGACGTAAAATTACATTAGTCATTTATTGAAAAAGAGATATCTATTTCTTTGAACCATATTTTGAAACTGTTTTACCGTCCGGAATAGTGAATAAAACAACTGGTTTTCCTTCTTCGTAAGGAACATCAACCCTAAAGTAACCTTTTCTTTCAAATTGAATAATATCACCAGCTTTTAATTTTGCAACATTCAAATCTGCTACTGCTTTTGTATGGAATTCAGTTTCAGGTGTAATGAAATCTTCAAAGTTATCTTCCTCTTCCAATTTATCTTTGGTGATTAAATGATCGAAATCAACTAAATCAACGTTAACTTTATCTCTAGTATCAGCTAACCAAGTTAATTTCTTAGATGTTTTTCTAAAGTCACCTTCTAAATGTAAATTTGCTTCAATTGATTTAACGACATCACCTTCTTTGTGAACTTTTGAAATGATTACATTACCCCAGTCCATAAAAGTAATTTCTTCACCTTCGGTCAAGTCTGCATCTTCTTGTTCAATTAAAACTTGATCAGAGTAAATGACAGTCTTTTCACCAACATCTGGATTCTTTTTATGTCTTGGTTTTGTCTCAGTGTATGGCTCTTTTGGACCATTCAATAATTTGACTGGGACTGCATTTTCTGAATCAATTGCCGTAAATCTTGGAGCAACTGGATCAATAACTTTTTTATTTAAAGCCCAAATAACTGACCAATCCAAATTGATGATATTTTGAGATGGACCTTGTGACATAATGAAATTTCTTAATCCTTCAACTGACATACCTCTTCTTCTTACACCTCTGACAGTTGGAAATCTTGGATCATCCCAATTACCAACATAATTTTTATCAACAAACCATTGTAATTTTCTTTTGGATAATAAAGTTCTGACAAAATTGACTCTACCAAAATCCCATATAGCCACATGACGTAAGCCTAAAGCTTTTTGAATCCAATCATATTGTGGGTTACGATCTCTATATTCGTTAGTTCTTAATGAATGTGTTACACCTTCAATAGCATCAACAACAGGTACACAGAAATCATAAATTGGATACATTTTCCATTCAGTGCCAGTTCTATGATGTGGAGTTAAATTACATCTATAAATGACTGGATCTCTCAAAGCTTTATTTAAAGCTTTATAATCGATTTTAGCTCTTAAACAATTTTTTAAACCTTCTTCAGTACCATTTTTCATTTCCTCTGTGAAGATTCTCAAATTTTCTTCAATAGATCTATCTCTTCTTGCTGAAGCATCACCAACCATTCTTTCTTCTCTCATTTTTTCAGATGGTGTGTCATCACAATAAGCTTGACCTTGTTTAATCAATTTAATTGCTAAATCATACATATCTTGAAAGTAATCAGAAGAATAAGTAATTTTATCACCTTTGATTCCTAATAATGCTAAATCTTCAATAATTGCATCTTGAAATTCAACTTTTTCTTTTGTTGGATTTGTATCATCGAATCTAATGATTAATTTACCTTTATAAGCATGAGCAAAATATTCATTCAAGATAGCTGCTTTAACATGTCCAATATGTAAATATCCCGATGGTTCAGGTGGGAAACGAGTAACAACCTCACCCATTTTAGCATTTGGTAAGTCTATTTCAAAACTTGCTTTGTGAGTTTCTTTTTTACCTCCTTTGGCAGTTTTAGCATTTTTCAATGATTTTCTTAATTCATTAAGTGAGTTGGTAAATAATTCAACTGATTTGTCAAATTTTGAATCACTTTCTTGTAAAAAGTTATACCATCTTGAGACATTTGGATATACTTCGTTTTTTAAGACTGATGCCATAATTGGATTTGCTCTTAAAACACCCCACATAGCAATATCAGCCAATGTAATTTCATACCCGACTAGAAATGATCTGAAATTTAAATGAACATCTAAATTTTCTAAATCAGTGGCTAATTCTTTAAAATTTTTTGAATAAAATTTTTCAATTGCCAATTTCACCCATGGTTGAGATTTTGATTTTTCTTTCAAAATTTGTGGAAAAGTTTGAGCTAAATAATCCAAAGCATCTAACTGATCTACAAATGTTTCAGAGCCTGGAGTAACTAATTTGATAGCTGCAGCAGCATTTGAAGACTCAACTGATTTTTCATCAACAAATTCAACTGGAATTGAAACGTCCGAATCGCTAGAATTGACAAAATATACAGCAATTAAAGTTGGATATGGTATAGTAGCAGCTTTACCAGCTATACTTAATTGAAATGACATTGTTGTTCAAAAGTTGTCTAGTTTGATCCAGACGGTTTAAATTTTTTTCAAATTTGAATTTATAATTTAAACCGCACGCACATCTGAATAAGTTGCACAAAAGTATATGCATCAAACAAATGTCAATCAATAATTTAATTAAATAAATCAAGTTAAGTCTATCAATTGATATGTCAAATACGCCTCCACCAAGGACGGGCTCACCAGTACCTGGACTAAATAAACCAACAGCTAAAAGGTCTCCGTCAATTTTAGTTACAGATGTAAGAAGTCATCAAGTTAAAGGCGCTAGAGCTCCATTTGCAGGTCAAAACTTCAAAAAGCAACAACAATTACAGCAACAACAACAACAGCAGCAGCAGCAATCCGGTTATAGTTTTGAACAACTGCAGCATCAAAATGCATTACAAAAACGATTGGCATTTAGAAACAAGTATACTGATATTTCGGTTGATAAATTGTTAAGTAATTCAAGTGATATTCCATCTGGTCAAAGTAGATTTCCGCCTAAACTTGGAGGTAAAAGATCGAGGCCATCATCACCCACTCCACCGATTACGTCTCCAGAATCCAGAAGAAACATAAGAAGTATACCGAAACTATCAACGTCACTACCTACTAGAACATCAAAAACATCACAGAAATTGGTACTCATTCCCGATCAATTGAGACAAAACTCCCCACCTTTATCATCAGACTCAGAAGAATCATTATTACTTCAATCTCAACAACAACAACCTGATTTACTGGCTCAAATACTAAGGTCTAGAGCAGAGTTAATGCCGAAAGAAAAAAGAGCTCAAGAATTTAGCAGAGTGACTGCATATTTCATATGTGAAGAATTCAATCTACCGGCTGTTGCAAAATTTCTAAGAAAAAATCATGAAGTTAAACCTAGATTATACGATGAAGCATTATATGTACCGTATGCTTTACCATTATTACCAGGAAGTGATGGGCTACGAGTGAAATCTAATAATTCATCAAAATTACAAGCTAAAAACAAACATATGGAAAAAATGATAAATAAATCAGAACAAACCGATCATTTATACGAATACTATTCCGGTGTTGAAACTCCGGAAGATGCTAATAATTATTCAATGGATCCAGAGTTAGAAAATTTTGATAACGCACCATTCGATCCTAGTGAACCTCAATTTTTTGCACCACCATTGGATAGTTCTGAAGAAGGTGAACAGCTGAATGTAAAAAGTATACCTGAGACTAATGGATCTCATCAACAATCAGATGTTTCAAAACATCATGCTGAAATGTTTGTTTTTGCATATGGAATAGTCGTATTTTGGAATTTCTCTGAAATACATGAAAAAAACATATTGGCGGATTTAGCATTTTCTGATAAAGACTTATTGATTAATCCAATTGATGAACAAGACATAGAGACTGAAGAGTTTCATTTTGAATACGATAGGGAACTTCATCGGCCTAGAATATATAATGATATGATCACTTTAAGGAGTGGTGATCATTTAATTAAATTGACCATGTCCATGGCAATTGCACAACTGACAAAATTAGGATTGTTCGAAAGTCGAATGGTCAATATCCTACATCTGATTAGTAAATTACCAAAAAAATTAGCATTAACTGGAAGATTAGGTTTGAAAAGAAATCAATTACTTAGGAAATCAGGAAAATTGTTTAAGTTAAGAGTTGACGTCAATTTATCGAGTTCTATATTAGATACACCTGATTTCTTCTGGTCATTCGAACCAGCTTTACACCCATTATACAACGCCGTTAGAGAATATTTGGAAATTGATCAAAGAGTACAAGTCTTAAACGATAGATGTAAAGTATTTTTGGAATTTTCCGATATTGTTTCAGATAGTATGAATGAAAAAAATACAAATAGAATAACGTGGATGATTATAATAATAATTTTTCTAAGTTTATTTGTCAGTGTCTTCGAATTTGTTTTGGAGATTCTATAACTTTGTGCGGGAAACGTATAGGGGACGCATACATCAAATTTAAAATGCGTTTAATTCATGAACTTCATATCTATGAAGATTTTGATTCGGCTGGGCTTTATTTGGAATCCAACTCATTAGTGCGATTAGTGGGAGAATATACTATATTAAGTTAGATTAGTACTTAAATCATTCTAGATAAGAGATTTATACTTCACCTAGTACATCTATTATAAATCTTCTAGTTTGGTCGACGTGTGTATTTATGTATATCATTCTTCATTCAACCTTTATCTTGATTTCTTTAATTCACTGCAATATACATTTAAAGTAAAGCTATATAATGCGGATTAATTTCGTGACATAATTCAATTTGTAAGTCACAAATGCAAGAGTTCATGATAACTTTATTGGATTTCCTAATTGGGATTTTCAAATTTCCGATAAATATGCGTAACGTTTTAACCTCTTACAAAGTAAACAATATCAATCAAACTTGAGACCAAGAATCAAATGAGATGCCTCTAGTATCAATTTATGGCCCCGATCGGCAAAATTTGTCATCAAATGATCGTAGTAATGGACAACAAATGAGATCAAATATTCAAGATGATCTAATGGAAATCGATGAAAATTTAGAAGAGATAAATCGTAGATTTCATCACAATGAAGATAGTATGGAAGTTGAGGCTCTTCCACAATATGAACAAGTATCAGGAAATGTTTCATACCTTATAATTGATACCAATTTTTTCATACAAAATTTACAATTTATTGACGATTTATACAACATAGCTGATCAATTCAAATTAAAGTTAGTTGTTCCAAATGCGGTGATCGGAGAGCTAGATGGGTTAAAAAAGAATGAAATAAAAGGTGTATCTGCAAGGAACGCTATTAAATGGATTCATAAGTCTTTAAGCGAGGACAAAGATGTAATGCGAGGGCAAAGATTGAGTGAGTCATATGATCGAACTTTACATGGAGATGATTCGATATTAGATTGTTCCCTTTGGTATCAAAACACTTATGAGATATCATTAGTTGTACTACTTACCAATGATAAAAATTTTGTGACAAAAGCCAGAATAAATGGAATAAAAACATTTGAGTATTCTGATGATTATTCTGCTAGTGAAGTTGGATCGATAGTCTTGCAAGAAAATATTTATGTTTTTGGAGAAAGAACCGATGAGTATAGAGTACAGAGGGGACACCAATTAAAAAGTCAGCAACCCAAAGTGCAACCACAGAGCACTAAGGATTCATTTAGAAATCTAGAGGATAAACTACTAAACATAGATCAAACTTTGACAAGTACTGAAAGGCTCGATACAATATACAATGAAATTGTCACTTGTCTTAGAGAAGGTATTCATAAGGCATTAGTAAAAGAATATCAGGAATCGCTAGAATTATTACAAAATTACAACAAAATGGGATTAATGACAGTTGATGAATGTTCAAGAACGATCATTAGATTTTGGCAAGTCTTTGGGTCATATTTTAGAAGAAATGATTTATTACCATTCAGAGAAGAAGGCAAGGGAAGAAACTCGAAGAAATTTCCGATCAACTGTGACGAACCAGATGATAAAAACGTGAATGAATTCATTATATTTTGGAGCGCCATATTAACGACGCTATACGATGGAATCATGAATACTGATGAACAAGAACTATTGAAAATATTGAGTGAACGATGGCAGATCTTAGCGAATTCATCATAATTGCCCTATCTTTTTTTTCTTTTTTGGACTAGTGATCGATCCTTGTGGTTCGTTATGATTTGTTTGTAATTGTGGTGCTGGATGTTCATCAACTGATCTTTTCCGTTTTTTGCTCCTAGATGCTTCTTTTGTTTTATCATTATCATTATTTAAATTCAATTTTTTAGCTATACCGGTATAGTCTTGATTGGCAAATATCCAATCATTTGAAATTGCATTTTCCAAGTCATTTTTCCAATTACTTTTCGTAGACAATTTACTCTTTTGATTTGCATATTCTTTGTTTAAATTTGATTCCCATTCATCTTCATTGAATTTTTCGAGTGAGTTAACTAAAGCTTTATTATTCTTCTTGTATTTGAGAATTGCTTCGTCACCATTACTAAGTTTAAAATTTAATTCCAAAAATCTAATATAAGCATCTTTTACTTTTAAATCATCTTTTAACTTCTCGATTTGGTACTGGGAATAATTAACATTTGCATAATTCTGAAAATTCAACTTGATTAGGAATGTTGTTGTTTCTTTCGGATCTAATAATGACAATTTAAAAATCCATTTTAACCCAAAATCGACTGATGCATTTAAATTATCATTCAGTTTTTCAAATTTAATATTACTTGGTATATTTTCATTAATAGTTTTGAAAAGATCCCTCAATCTTTGATCATTTAATCCTTCTAATCCTAAACCACGAGATTCTTTGATCAACGCGTCTTTGTCTAGTTCACAGCTCCAAAATCGATGAAAATTAGTTAGATATAAACCGCATGTAATTTGCTCTGGATCAAAATGAAGACCATATATGCATTCTACCGATTCTAAAAACTTTAACTTAACTGGGTACCATTTTGTTGGTAAATCTAACATCAGGATTGCCTTGCTAAGTTTGAAATAAATAACATTAGTAAAGCGTAGTTAGAATTAATAAGTCGTTGCTAAGAAATAACTAATAACGAAGTTAACGAAGTTATTTCGTGTTTCAGAATTCTAAAAAAGTCAAAAGCCGCTTCATTAATTAAATATGGACCAAAGACTAACGGTGTATGACGATCAAACAGATTTATTAGAGTCAAGAGTAAAGCTGAACTATAATAAGAATGGCTCAAATAGATACATAATCTCACTAGCTGGTGTTCCAGGGGCAGGAAAGACTACATTTGCTAATAAGATAGCTTCAATATTTAACCGAGATATAGCTAAAACAATAGTTATATCACAAGATGGGTATCATTTATACAGATCCGAACTACTATCATTACCTAATCCCGAAGAAGCAGTAAGGAGAAGGGGTGCTCCTTTTACATTCAATGTTCAAGCATTTGTCAATTTAGTTTCAAAATTGAAAGATAAATCCGAAGTAAGAAAAGTTCCATCATTTGATCATAAATTGAAAGATCCAGTTGAAGAGAATATTATAATAGATACAGATGTCTCAATCATAATACTAGAAGGGAATTACGTCTCGTTGAAAGATGAGCATTGGGATGACATAAGTTCATATGTTGATGACACTTGGTTTATTTCTACTCCAGAGGATTTAGTTCGAAGTAGGATAATCAAAAGACATTTAGATTCTGGTATTGCATTAGATGAAGAAGAAGCTATAGAGAGAGCCGATGGGAGTGATTTACAAAATGCCAAATACATTATAGAAAATTCTAAACTAACCAATGTGTTAGTACTTACACGATAAATAGAGTTTGTTCATTATTTACTAATTCATTAATATCTATTTATTGTCTATTTAGGTTGAACATTATAGCGCATCTTTATACCCATTGCTGATAATTCACTATCCAAATATTTTAATACAAACGGTATAGCAACAGTTGTAGTATTATCACCACCAACAAATTTTATTCCATGACCATCTTCCCAAATTTCAGAATCTTCTGCATATCCATCATACTTATCTAATTTAACTGAACATCTTCTACATCTTACACTTGCCATTGATCCAATTCTTGGAACTGATGTTTGAGTAGTTAAAATGGATCCACAAGTTTTACAAACTGAAGTTTGAGTATAATCAGAACAATTTAATAATCTATCTTGTAGTAAGAAAGCTGTACCATGACCAATTAATGCATCTCTTTCCATTTCCCCTACACGAATACCACCTGATCTTTTTCTACCTTTAACAGGTTGCATTGTTAATGAATTTACTGGACCAGTAGACCTAACTTGGAATTTATCATTCACCATATGTCTTAATCTTTGATAGTAAACACATCCAATATATATATCACATCTTAATTCTTCACCAGTAGCTCCTGAATACATTGGTTCATTACCATGGAAATTATAACCAGCTTTTAATAATTGTTCACCAAAGTAATCTGCTGGAGTATCTGATTCACTGAATTTCCAAGGTGTAGCATCTTGAGCAACTCCATGTAATGCACCAGCTTTACCAGCTAATGATTCAACAAACATACCAATTGTCATACGAGATGGGAAAGCATGTGGATTAATTATAACATCTGGTTGCATACCACTTTCAGTGAAAGGTAAATCTATTTGTGGCCATTTTCTTGAACAAACACCCTTTTGACCATGTCTTGATGAGAATTTATCACCTATTATAGGTTGTCTTGTAATTCTATATTTAATAGTTATTTGTTGTCCTTCATTATCTCCTGCATCATCACCTAATAATTTAACTTCTTCAATATATGCTGGTTCAGATGAATGATAAGTTTTCACTTTTGTTTTACCTAAAGTATCATCATAATATGCTACAATTGGATCACCTTCTTCAACTTTAACACCAATTAAAGGTAAACCATCACTATCTAATTTTGATTTCCAAGCTTCTGGCCATTCATCATCACCAAATCCAAAATGTTGAGTTATTGGATCACCTCTTCTCCTTGATTGTGATAAATCAATTTTTTCAACTTTATAAACTGTACCATAACCGAATCCTCTTTCATCTGATGATTTATTTATTATCATCGCATCATCCATATCATAACCAGTATAAGAGATGACTGCAACAACTGCGTTCATACCATTTGGAAAATTATCCATTCCATATTCATCATATAAGTTTGCTTTAACAAGTGGGGTTTGACCAGTTTGTAATCTATACAATTTATTATCTGATCTATGAGTTAATGCTACACCTGGAGTACCCATAGTTTGCTTACCCATTTGACATTGATACATATTTCTTGGTGATTGATTAAAATCAGAAAATGGTGTTAAATTAGCTAATATTGATAAAATATTTGTTGGAGAAAATTCAACATGTGAATGAATATTATTTTCAATTTCTTCTGGTGTAACTGCAACATTCATATATACTTGTTCAAATGGTCCAACAATATCTTCTTTATCTAATGGTAAATATTTTACAGGTCTCATCATCCTTGAATGACCTCCAAATAAATATAAACCAGGATATTGACCTTTTGTTGATGGTGGTACATAACCAATTTCCAAATCTAATGGTAAATCATGAGTTCCCTCGACTTTCCAAAATCTTAAAGTATCAGCAACAATTTTACCTTGTTCATGTGTAGTCCAACCAACAATTTTACCATCTAATTGAACACAACATAATTCTGGACCAGCAGCAAATGAATTTGCTGGTGAAACACCTAATTGAGCTAATGCTTTTGGAACTTTCGATACGTCTGATGCAACTGTTGATATAATACATTTATGTGATAAATGATTTAATAAACCACAAGGTGAACCATCCGGTGTATGCACCGGACAAAGAAACCCCCAAGATTCAGGTAACAATTTACGAACAGTTGTCGTCTTCAATTCAGCAAAAAAAGAACCTCTATGAACCATTCTAAAATGTGAAATAAAACGATGAAAATTGATCTTTTCTGCAACAACAGTATAACCTGAAACTTGTTGTAAATCTAAACCGGATTGTGAAACTAAATTACCAGTTGATAAAAAATACTGTAGTTTTTGACCTATATTTTCATTAATTCTAGTAAATACTCTTGAAATATATTTTTTATCACTAAAAGTTACTCCATATCCTCTATTTAAATCAGCTTGAACTTGTAATTTAAAATTTTGTAAATATTCATCTATTTTTTCTTTGATAATCATTCCATATAAGAATCCACCTAATAATACTTCTTGATGTTGAGTAGCATCTGGATTGTCTGGTGAACAATCTCCTGCAACTAATGAATATAATTTTCTAATCATAAAAAGAAGCATTCTATATTTATCTTCATTATTTGGTAAATGTACTAATACAATTCTTTTAATTACTTCTTTACCTACATCAATATCTGAAACATCAGGAGTTGCTCCAAAAACTACCCTAAATTTATCTCCTAAATATGCTAAAGTTTCTTGTTGTGAATATAAATTATATGATTTATAAGTTCTTAATAATAATTCTAACCTATCCGTTAAAAATGAATTTTCAATATCATGACCTACAATTCCATCAAAAATTTCTCTATCATTAGTTTCAACTAATGCTTTTAATATCATCATTACTGGTATTAAATATTCATTTTTTTTCCAAGAAAATCTAAAAGTTACATTACCATCATTTAAATAATGTAATACATTAGTTTGTGAAGTTTGATCTGGTCTTACACATCTTATTTGTATACCAAATTTTGTATATGAATTCCCTCTATTCCCAAATGAAGGACGTATTATAGCCATTGGATGATTTCTTCTTTGTACAATTAACATACGGATTATTTTTTCAATACCATTTACTATAAAATATCCACCTAATTCATCACTTTCTTCTCTTGCTTCTACTAATTCATTTGGTGACATTTTTTGTAAATGACATCTATTACTTTTAACCATTATTGGTATTTGTCCTGCTTCTCTAACTTCACTTTCTTCTTCTCCATCATTCACGCTCCAAGTTACATTTAATAATAATCTTGCTCTATATGTAGTCATTCTTTCTCGACATTCACTTGGTAATGTTTTTCTATTTATTGATAATTTATCAGTTTGTGGAACACTTGGTTTTGCAACAGAAACTGATTCAACTCTTATTTTTAATTTATTTCCTAATCTATCTGATGATTTTTTTGAATCAAATATTGTTTTGGACCCAATATCTTTTACTGCTAAATTTAATAATCCACCATCAAACCCTTCTGTTAATGCATTAAATGAACCAATATGAGGTGCAACTGCATTTTCTAGTAAAGGATATGCAGATTTATCTTTCGGTGGATTTTGAAACCTTTTCTCTCTCTCTAGAGTCCTGAATTGAGCTTGTGACATTTTTGGTGTTGAGGATGAGAGTTTTAAAGCTTTTAAGCTTCTTTGATGGGTTATATTTATAAATTTTTGATCTCTGGCCAATTTATTTTTTTGTATAGAGATGAGATTTTGTATGAGGAGTGCATATAAAAAAAAGATATACCGTCGATAATAATCGAATCTATTTATCAATCTAGTTCAAATGGCCAATTCAAAATATGAATATGTTAAATCATTTGAAAGGGAGAATCATTTACTACCAGATACATATATAGTCATAAGAGTAGATGGAAAAGGATTTCACAAATTCTCAAAGTTTTATGAATTTGATAAACCAAATGATGAAATAGCATTAGAAGTAATGAATGACGCAGCACATAAGATCATGGAGAAATATAGTGATATACTAATGGCATATGGTGATTCGGATGAATATAGTTTCTTATTACGAAGGAAATGTGAATTATATGAAAGAAGAGAGATGAAACTATGTACATTGTTTGCAAGCTTAATGTCAACTTATTATATGTTTTATTGGAATCAATATCATCCCAATAGACCAATTGTGTGGAATATGATCCCGACATTTGACGGAAGGGCAATAGTATATCCCAATTTTGAAGTGGTACGAGATTATTTCAGTTGGAGACAAGTAGATTGTCATATCAATAATTTATATAATACAACTTTTTGGAATCTTGTAAAATTAGGATTAACACCACAAGAAGCAGAGCAAAGATTAATGGGAACCGTATCATCTGATAAGAATGAAATTTTGTTTAAAGAATGTAATATAAATTATAATAATGAACTGGAAATTTTTAAAAAGGGAACTATATTAGTACGAGATTATGAAAATTATAGAGTCCAACAAGAAGATGGTCTAAGTTCGAGACAAAAACAAAGACAGGAGAAGATACGGAAGAAAGCTGAAATCAGTATAATGCATGTCGATATAATCAATGATGACACTTGGTGGGACTCTAGACCTTGGTTAAAAGAATGAATCATAGATAATGATAATAAATAAATATTAGCCACGCGAGTTTTAAATAATTTTTTATAACCAAAATTTTTTTTTCGTTTACTCATATCTCTACATCTCTTATCAAATACATTACTTCATATTCAACAAAAAAATGTCAAATTCAGAAGAAGAATTAATAACATTATTTAATGATTTTGGATTTAATGAAAAAAAATCAAAAGATATTGCAAAAAATAAAAAAGTAGCATCAAATTTAAAAGATATATTATCAAAATCTTCAATTTCAAAATATAATGATGATAAAAAATTAACATTATTACATCAATTAGCTATATTAGAAAATAAAAATGGTAAAAATATTCCTAATATTGAATATATAATTAATGGAATTAATAATGATGAAATAAAAACAAATTTACAAATTTCAGAAGGTATAAAATATTTATTATCAAATGAATCATCACCAAATAAAAAAGAATTTGATGAATTTACTGGAGTTGGAGTTGAATTAAATGAGAATGATGTTAAATTGGAAATTTCAAAATATCTTGATTCAATAGATTCAAAATTAAAATCAGAAAGATATTCAATTTTACCAAAAGTTATGACTGAAATTAAATCTCAACCATCTTTAAAATGGGCACCACCAAATTTATTTAAACCTATATTAGATGAATTATTTTTAGAAAGAATTGGACCAAAAGATGAAAGAGATATTAAAAAGAAAGAAAAAGCTCCAAAGAAAGAAGCAACCACCAAAACAAGCACCAACACAACACCTTCAGAACCAGAAAAGGAAAGATCTATGTTTTCTGAAGGATTTCTTGGAGATTTACATAAACCAGGAGAAGAACCACAAAAATATCCAGAATTATTAAATGATCATAAAAAATTCATTGATGGAAAGGTATATACAAGATTTCCACCTGAACCAAATGGTTTTTTACATATTGGACATTCAAAAGCAATAATGATAAATTTTGGTTTTGCACAATTTAATAATGGTCTTTGTTATCTTAGATTTGATGATACAAATCCTGAAGCAGAAGAAGCAAAATATTTTGATTCTATAAAGGAAATGGTAAATTGGTTAGGTTATAAACCTTTTAAAATTACTTATTCATCTGATTATTTTGATCAATTATATGATTTAGCTTTAAATTTAATTAAAATTGATAAAGCTTATGTTTGTCATTGTACTTCAGAAGAAGTTAAATATAATAGAGGACAAAGAGAAGACGGTAGTTTAGGAGCAGAGCGAATTGCATGTAAACATAGATCACAATCTATAGAAACTAACCTAAAAGAATTTGAAAATATGAAAAATGGAAAATATTCTATTGGTGAAGCTACTTTACGTATGAAACAAGATCTTAATAGTCCATCACCTCAAATGTGGGATTTAGTTGCTTATAGAGTTTTAAATAAACCTCATCATAGAACAAATGATAAATGGAAAATTTATCCAACTTATGATTTTACTCATTGTTTAGTTGATTCCCTTGAAAATATAACTCATTCATTATGTACAACTGAATTTGTTTTATCAAGAGAAAGTTATGAATGGTTATGTGATACTTTAAAAGTTTATAGACCTGCTCAAAGAGAATATGGTAGATTAAATTTAACAGGTACAATAATGTCAAAGAGAAAAATTGCAAAATTAGTTAATGAAAATTATGTTAGAGGTTGGGATGATCCAAGATTATATACTTTAGAAGGTATAAAAAGAAGAGGTGTACCACCAGGTGCAATATTATCATTTATAAATACTTTGGGGGTAACTACATCAACAACAAATATTCAAACTATAAGATTTGAAAGTTCAATAAGAAATTATTTAGATCAAACTACTCCAAGATTATTTCTTATATTAAATCCTATTGAAGTTCATATTGATAATTTATCTGATGAATTTGAATTAAATATTGAAATTCCTTATAAGCCAGGAAAAGATTTAAATAATTTAGGTGATAGAAAATTAAAATTTAAAAATAAAATTTTCATTGATAAATCAGATGTTAGAGATTTTGAAGCAGATAAAGAATTTTATAGATTAGCTCCTGGACAACCAGTTGGATTAATGAAAGTTCCATTTACTATAAGTTTTAAATCTATTGAAACTCAAAATGGTAAAACAATAGTTCATGTAAATTATGATAATAATCAAGAAAAACCAAAAAAACCAAAAACTTATATTCAATGGATTCCTGTTAATGATTATATACCAATAAAAGAAGTTAGAATATATAATCAATTATTTAAATCAGAAAATCCATTATCTAATCCAGAAGGTTATTTATCGGATATAAATTCTGAAAGTGAAACCGTGATAAATAATCAAGCAATAATTGAATCAAATTTTAAAGAAATTATTTCAAAATCACCAATGAATTTAAAAATTCCCGGTTCACAATTTAATATTGATGAAACCTCTGGTAATAATACTATTAGATTTCAAGCTTTAAGAGAAGGTTATTTTTGTGTTGATAAAGATTGTAATTTGGAAAAAAACGATGGTATTATATTAAATAGAATTGTAACTTTAAAAGAAGATGTCAATAAATAGTTCGAGTAGATATATAAAGTAAATAGATTTAATTCATAGCTTAACTTATCAATTCTTCAAATTTTTCACATCTCGTTGTTTCAATATTTTTTGAAATAGTAAGTTGAACCATATTATCGTATATTATTCAATCGAGAATCAAAAAAAAATTTCATGATAAATGAATAACACTTCTATTATGACAAATGCTGCCAACACTACATTGAAGGAATAAAAAGGCAATCAGAGATGATGGAAACGAAGATACTGTTGGTCCCAGCTGGTTTATCGAGTTCTAAATTACTTGAGACATGAAGTCGGTTCAATGCTATGGAGAAAGGAAGTGTTAGCAATAGTTCATACTTAACCATATGAATGTATATGATGTACTGGTTTAAATGGATCAATCAATCATTGCTACTTTCAATAACAAATATGGAAAATCATCAGTGAGAATCCAAACAATTCATTGACTGGTGGTTTTTCATGTTTGTTATTCGACGTAAGAAGTGATTGAAAATTTCGTATAAACCCGCACGTCAAATCGATCTACTATCACCAAGCAGAGGAAACATAAACAAAAAGTAAGATGACATACACGAAGATGAAAAAAGATATTAATAATGAAACAAATGAATAACAAAAGAATACGTATGTATGCGTATTATTCAATAGGAAGTGATTGCAGATTCGTATAAACCATCACATCAATCTACTATCATCAACAAAAGAAGCAAAAAATGAAATATTAAGAACCAAGTAGAAGAAACAACTACAATTAATGAATTGAATATATAACAATAGAATAAGTATGTATGCGTATTATTAAACAATTATATACTCTATAAACTAAAATCAAGAATTGAAAAAACCAAATTTCAAAATTTTCAAAATTTTCAACAAATTCAATGAATGCCTAATAATCAAGAATGATTCATCAAAGTGATCAAATATTAAATATGAATTGAATCACTAAAATAATGTAATGTAGATGCAGTACTACCAATATGTTCAGGTGAACAATGACCATTATTAACTCCACTTGTGTTTGATTTATTTAATCCATCAATTGAAGAATTACTAGTGGTGGTTGTAGTTATATTTGAAATTTTTGTATTATTATTTGCAAAACAATATTGATTTAAAATATCTGAATATGATAAATTACTAAATGAATTTTGTAATGATGATGCATCATTTGTGGTAGTAGTAGTTGTAGTATTTGATTCTTTTTGTTTTTGACGATTTGAATAACGATGTTTATTTAATGTTGTTATATCATTTGAACTAAATGATTTTCTCATAATTGTAGGTCTGGGTGGTAATGCAGATGAGTTAGTTGAAGTGCTGGTGGTTGAATCATCAAAATTTTTACCCATTGAAATTGAATTTAAAGATTTTAATGCTATACTATTTTTATTTAATTGTTGAGATTGTTGATAATTTATTAACTTTGAACAAATTTCTTTAAATGGAGCTGGTGAAGAATTTTGAGATCTTGAAATAAATTTATTTGGTGATTGACTCTTTTGAGTAGGTTTTTGATTTAATAATTCAATTAAATTAAAATTATAATTTTTACCTTGATTATTTGCCCAATATTCAATACCATTAACTTCATATTTTATACATAAACTAATAGTTATATTTTTTTCTTGAATATCCTCTTTTGAATTATGAGTATAACAATTTAATAAATCATTTAAATTTATCATAAATTTAAATTCATCAATTTTGGAATTTACACTTCTTATATATGAAATTCTTGATGATCCATCAAAATTTATAATTGATTTCCAATTATTAAAAGTTAATTTTATTGAGAATTTTTTTTCAAATCCTAAATTAGATACTTGGAAAATACCATTTAAAAATTGTTTTGATGATGATGCTGATGACTTTGATGATGTTGTGGTTGATTGTGGAGTTGATTTCATTATATATGCTGATGTTAACCAAATCTTATTATTACTTTTAGTAGATGGTAATTTAGGGATATCATGAGAAATTAATCTATACTCTTTTGACCTACTTTCTTCTTCATCGTCTTCTTCATCTTCATCTTCTGTAGTTTCATCTTCTCGTTCACTTAATAAATCCTCTTCATCATCAGATTTATGCCAATTCCAATCAAAATCAAAATAATCATTTCTTGGTTTATTAAAATATTGTGAATTATCTAAATATGAATCATCTACTTCTTCTTCTGATTCATCTATATTATTATCAAACCTTGATCTTTGATGATTATTATTAAAATCAGAAAAATCATTTACACTATATAATGATTTTCTTTTAATTTCATTTGGTGGAGAATCACATGGAGAATTTAAACTTGATACAGAAGCAGGAGATTCACAACCATCAAACATTTTAACATTAATTAATCTTGAAGCAAATCTAACTGATTTTCTTGGACTTAATATTTCATCTATTCTATTATTATTACCATTATTTTGTATAATATTTGGTGATGAAATTGATCTTTGTAAAAATGAATGTGGTGATAATTTTAAAGAAGATTTTATTAATTCTCCTGATTTTTTACGTAATAATTTTGGTTTTTCTTGTTGTTGTTGTTGTTGTTTATGTTGTGTAAAATCATTTAATGATAATAATGAAGAATTTGAAGAAGATGTAGTTGAATTTGTAGAAGATGAAATATGTGGTTGCAATTGTTCTTGATGTGTGTTTTTTGGTGGAACATAATAATTTGGTATATTGAATTTCTTTTTTGGTTGTGGTTGTGATGCTTCTAGTACTGACGTTGAAGGTAATTGTGGTGATGGGGCAGTAATTTGAATAGGTATTGAATAATTATGTGACTGTGTTTGTGATTGTAATTCTTCTGATGATGATTTATTATATTTTATAGTTGATGTAGTTGATTTTAAAGTATCTATTGAATCAGTTGATGAATTTAAATCATTATCAGATAATGATGATTGATTTTGTTGATAAAATAGTATTGGAGATGAAGATGTTGTTGATGGTGGTGAAACAGTATAATTTATTGATGATGTTGGAGATAATGAATCTTTAGTTGCTGTTGTTGTAACTATCGTTGTCATTTTTCTATGCTATATGTTGTGAGTGTGTATGAGTATATATGAATGTATTTAATGATGTAAGTAAAGCTATACTAATGGCAAAACTTTTTGGTTGTAATAATTGATATGGATTTGAAAATTGTGTATATTTTTTGAGATGAAAAAAAATGTGTTTTACAACTAGTTCGTTTGTGTGGATGAAGTTGTGTATGCTATGTTGTATACCTATCCAGTTGATAGTGGATGGTTTAAATGAATAGGTAGGGTACTATGGTACTTAGTTGTTGTTGTTGTTGTTGTAAAAGAAAGTAAGTGATGTGTTGTGTATATTTTATTTTTACAACTCCTATTATAATAAAATAAAAAATTGTGTGATTAATAATAAAATTAAGAATGGAAGATAAGGACCAAAAAAAATAAAACTTAAAAAAAAAAGTATTATTATGTAAGATTGTGTGATGTTGGTTTGTAATTATAATAGTGATTTTTCTTTCAAACTCCAAGTACAAATGGAAGTCTCTAGACTTGATGGTATAGCTCTTCTTTTACCAATGTTGGTATCTCTTCAAAAGAAATGATGGGCCAGGATTTTTCAATGAAATTGTAAAAAATTTCTTTGGGAAAATCAATTTTATTTTATAAGAAATTTTGTATTGTATGAATTACTGTTTTGTGTAACTTAAAGTCAGAGTAGTACAAAAACACAAAAGTAAAGATTTGCCTTTATTTAATAAAATATGACTTATTTTATAAGTTTAAGTCATATCAAGTTAACTATATAAATCAAGTATTTGATTAGTAAGTTAAAACTCTAAACAGAAACTTGTCAAGCTCAGAGAACTGGTTAATCAAATTTTCATCCATACTTCATTCTTTACAGCTTAGGAAGTACACTGAATAATTTGTTACACATCATTTATAGAGTGGGGGTGTATATTAAGTTTAAGTTATATTACATATAAAAATTGAAGATAATAGTAGCTAAATTCTTAAATTAAATTAATTATTCGGAGTAAAAAGTTAAAGTTTATTATTTTATACTTTATAACATGATTACTAAAAAATTAATTAATAAGGTAAGGGATATTAAATATAAGAAATACCAACAAATTTAATGTACACCTAAATTAGTGTAAAATGAGTTCTGATCTGTTTAACGAAAACTGCAACACCATTTTGCTCCATAGATAAATTAGTGGTTACTGGTTAGATTATGTCCCAATCGAAGGAAATCTATCTCATCATAGCAAGCAAGTTTGAGCAATGATACAAAATAAAAAAAAAATTTATATTTCCCTTACATTAACTGGTTAGATTAGTTAGAAATCTCCTAGATCGGCAAATATTAGAATTATTTTAATACATATAACATATAAAATAATATGTAAATTCATACGAGTTTAAAAATATGAAACGGATTTCAAGTCAAGTGATTGAAGTATTTTTTTTTCGAGTTTTAAATATCAAGCCATTTCAACAAAAAATTAAGATTTACTTACTTGATATTGTATAAATTAAGGATTAGCTTGTTAACAAGCCCAAAAAATGATTTTTACTAGCCAGATTTAAGTAATATATACGTTTGATAAATCTCCCTACTCCCCACTTTATTTCTCCAACATAAAAAATTTCTTCAATTAATAAGCTAGGCCACAAATAAAAGGTCAATACCGTACCACAAAAAAACTTTTAAATTTGACCCAGTTTTAACTTAGTAAAATTTTTCTTTCTCCATGGGGCAAAGTAATCATAAATTTGTGGACTCAACCACAACAGAAAATTATTGATTGTATTGCCTTTATACTTTTTTTGTTTTATTGTAAAGAGTTCATCTCTACACAAAATCAACTTATTATTGCTAAATTAAACTTTTTTAAACTTATTCTTTTTGGAGTTTTACACCCCCAAAAAGCTAAGATCTCAGTCGATCTAAGTTATTGTTCCATTTTAAAAAATTTTCGAGCTAATCTTTGAGTTAATTCGCCTTAAAATTTATATCAAACGTACGAGGAGGGGAATCAAGATTTTGACGATTGAATAATTGAAAAAAGATTTTGAAATTTTCAAGGACGTGTTTTGTGTTTCATCTCTTTATCTTTTTTTTTTTTCAACTTTGATTGAGTTTACAAAAAGCCATCATGAAAGGAATTTAAAAATTCCTTCGATCTGGAGAATATTTAATTGATGGGTGGAGTATTGTGATCTTTCAATTTGGTTTTTTATGGTTATCTAGATATTTTTAAATTCTTCTTTTGGATTGTAATAAATGAGATGATAGGTATCTATCTATATGATATTTTACATTATTATACTATCAAATCTTCTATTTTCTGGTTCTTACTTATGTTTCGATTTCTATAATTATAATTTTGTTGGTTTACTCTATTAAAAATTAAACTTTTTTTACCCAACTAAAATTTCAGAATGAAAAAATTTTTATTTTTTTTTGACGTGTTTTTTTTTTTTTTAATTTCAATTACCCCCTTTAAAAATTTTGGCTACCAAATGGGCGATTTCAGATCTGGTTAATTAAGCTTCGTAATTAAAGTTTTACACAAACTTAATTTCCGTAAATCGAAATTTGAAATGATAGGAAATATGATCTGACTTTTGTGAATGAGTGATGATTTGAAAGAAATATGTTAATGATATCACTGGAGTCAAACTCAGACCATATAGAGAGTGAATGTGACTTATCAGTCAAGCATATAAATTTGAATTTTTTGTTCTTTTTTCAAACTTGCCTTACAATTAGGTGTAAATATGAACGTACATACAAACGTCTGATTTTTAATGCAATTTATTTTATAATAATAGCCAAAAAAAATAAAATTATTTCATTTCAGGAGATTGATAAATTATTATGATCGATTGTTTATGATCTGATACATACATCAAAGGGTGGTTTAAGACAATGTTTATCACTATTGTCTTAGATTTGTTAATAATACAATTGGAGAGGGGTTCATTCAAAAGAGATTCTTTTTGTTTTCATCAACCTAATATTGAAAATTTATCTAATTAGAATCTATTTACCATGTTTTTCAATCAGTCAAAGAGATGATCAATCCTCACTAGGCATAAACTAAGATAACGACAAGTTTAGAAAAGTAGCACCGTCTCATTCAAAAGATTAATGAAAATGAGAAGATTTTGAATTGAAATGTAATTCTTATTCACCCCAAATAAGAAAAAAAAATTAGGTAGTGAAGTACTTCCAACGATTCAAATCTGAAAATTATGTAAAAAGATAAGATGCCACTCATCTCATTTTTACAATAAATATATTTATATTTATTTTTTGTACCTTAATTTTAAACACCCTTATATTTAATTGACGACTTGTATCGAGACCTTATGAGCTAAACTATATTATTATTTGTTTTTGTTGGACTAATGATTGATGTTCCCTGCCTCTTTAAATTGTGAAACTTGAAAAACGTACATAATTTACAATTTCTTTACTCTCTTATTTCATCTTTGAATACTTCAGATATTTCTAATTTACCACTAATTTTCAATCTCTATCGATTGGAATCTGATGATTGTAATACACAAAGCTTCAAGCCTCAACACCTCTCTATTTTTTGTTTCGAGTAAAATATTTTGATTCTTATTGAAAATGAATGGAAATGAAAAATTATTTGCAGCCAAATTTCAAATTTTGAAATTGATTTTGTTTCAATGAGATAGGGGTTTACAGTCCTTTTCAACCATTTGCAGTTCGGATCGCAAAATTTATTGAAGAATAATTGAAATAAATTATAGAAGACGAAAATGTGCTTGATTCTAATGCTAAATCTAAATCCGTCATTCTACGATGTCCTGCTAAGGCAATTAGGAAAAATAAGTTATAAAATTTATAAAGTACAGAGTTCTTGATTTATAGGCTGAGTTTAGTCGTAGTAATAATATATATTCATACAAATCCAAAAAAAATAATTCCATGTTTCATAAATGTTTCAAAAGAACTGTTTCAAATCCCAAATGGGAATTTTCTAATAAAATTTATGAAACATCGTGTTATACAGTATTACATGAAATTAGCGGATGGTAGCACTGTGAGATACGAATATTATTTCCATCGAATATTTTACTACTTCGAAAAAGCTTATTCAACCAATTAATTTCATTTCATCGGATACCCCCTTGTCTTCAAATCTAATCCAAATAAAGATCATTAACAATCTTCAAGAGCTCACATAAGCATTATTTTTGATTTACACAAGAGTAGGGCCTTTTCATATCATTCTACTTTCAATTATTTTACCGAATCCATTTATCAATAAAATCAACCCATGTCATTTATACCTGTATTCGGTGATGGATATGTCGTAATTCCACCGGGTCAAGATTATCCCTCAAGAGTTCAAACAAGTAGGAAAACAAAAAACACAGCAAGAAGGAGAAGAAACAATCCAAATCAACAACAAAATAATGGGAATGATAATATACAACAAAACGGGAATGATAATAGACAACAAAATAATGGAAAAGACAATAGACAACAAAATAATAATAAAAATAATAAAAAATCAAATACTCTTTCACCTTTAAATTTAAAAGTTGATGATATAATCCAAGCTTCAAATTTATTAAAAAAATCTTATCAAACTCCTAAAATAACAGAATTAAATGATTTAAAAATATATGAATTATTAATTAAAACTGTTGAAAATTATCAACTTAATTATGATCATATAATAAAACAAAATCCAAGAATGACAAATAAAAAAATAAGAAATGAATTTTATGAAGATTTAAAATTAATATATGGTAAACAATCAATATTATTTTCTTTAGATATTGAAGCATGGGAATTAAATACAAATGAAATTACAGAAATTGGTATATCAATTTATGATCCAAGATTTTCTTCTATAACAACTACTGCTCATATTCATAATTATCATATTAAAATTAAAGATCATATACATAGAAATAATGGAAGGTATGTACCAAATCATTCTGATAATTTTGTTGGTGGAGAAACTTTAATAATGAGTAAATATAATGCAGGAATATTATGTCAAGCTTTAATATCATATTTTTTTGATCATGGTATTATAAATAATGGAATGCCAAGTTATTTAGTTGGACATGATTTAAAAGGTGATATAAAATGGTTAAATCAATTAGGTGTTAAATTACCAAAAATTTATAAAACTATAGATACATCATTTTATACAAAAATTTCAAAAGGTGGAAAAAATCCTCATTCTTTAAAAACAAGTTTAAAATTATTAAATATTCCTCATAGTTTTTTACATAATGCTGGTAATGATGCTTATTATACTTTATTAGTAGCATTAAAATTTATGGATCCATTTTATAGAATTTCATTAAATTTAGATATTTGTTTAGATGCAACTCCCGTATTGAGTGCTGAAGAAATTGCAGAAAAAAAAGCAGAAAAAAATAGAGCAAGAGCAGCAGCTAGACAAAGAGCTAAAGTAAACCAGGGACCTAAAGAACCTGAAACTGAAGAAGAAAAAGCTGCTAAAGTTAGAGAAGAAATTGAAAAAAAAAATGAAATTTTAAAAGCAAGAATTGAAAGAAATCAAAAACGTAAAGAAGAAATTTTAAATAGTAATGTTGCAACGAAGCAAAATATAAATTCAGCATTAGAAGCACTTAGAGTAATGTTTGATGAAACAAATCAACAAATTGAATTGATGGTTTTTACAAAAAATAACAATAATTCATTAAATGATGATATTTATAAACATTATGATTATAGTACAGATGAGTATGGGCATACTTATGATTACAATTATAAATCAGATACAGATTCAAATACTGAAGATGAAGCTTATTTCAAGAATCATTCAATTTCACCTCCTTCTATAAAATTAGGATTTTTTAAAAAATGACAATATCGCTGTTTGATAATGTTTGCTATAGGATTTTTATCTAATTTTAATCTGGTTGTAGCATTTTTTTTTTTCATTTGGAGTTTTAAATATTTTTTACAACCAGAAAAATTAAGTTCAATATTAAACATTTGAAAAACAGCAACAACAATTTTTAAGTTAGTCATTTACAATAATAATGACTTCATCATCTGAAAATGAATCATCTTCAATTATGGATGTATCTGATTTTCAAATCTTACCTCAAAATAAAGGTCAACCTTTTAAAATTCATGAAAATAAAAGTGTTGCCAAATTTGAAAAAATTTTAAAAAATGGTGGAGATTCTTTTAATAATGGTGGGAAAACTGAAGAAGAAGTTCAATTCCTTTCTGGTATTAAAGATATGTTTCAATCTACTGTTTTGGGTGATTTATCAAGAGTTGAAAGTGTAAGTGGTTATGCTGCCGATAAAGAGAATGAAACTAATAAGTCAAACAATTCCGTACTAAGCGATGCTATTAATAAGGTGGATGAAGATAAATTAGAAGAATCAATTAAGGAACAGAAAATATCAGTTGAAGATGCCAAAACTGAGAATTTGAAATTGGAAGAGATCAATCAAAAATCTCAACTAAATTAGATAACTTTCTTTTAACTTATATAATCTAGAGATTTAATACTAAGAATACAATATTCCTTTAGATCTACAGTATTTATTTCTCTCTAATTTTGTATCCTATTAGAAATTTAACCATCATTTTATCACGATATTCATGTATGATAAAAGTACAAAACAAAGATCTTTAAAAGGGTATAATTATAATCAACATGAAAAAGAGAAACAATCAAAATTTACAGAATTAAACTCAATTAATCAATCAATTAATCAAAATCATAAAATATTTGAGTTATTAAATAAAATTAGATCAAATAATGATAAAATCGAATCAATAAAATTACCACCACCATATCAAATAAATTTTAATCAAAATTTTCAACACAACCCGACAACACAAGAAACCAGCTTTTATCCTAAAATAAACGAATCAAATTTAATAAATTATAAATATGAATTTCAAAAAATTTTTTACTTATATCATGATTTAATTAGTTTAATTATAAATTTAAATTGTCAAATTAATATAAATAAACTTGAAAATTCAAAATTAATTGATCAGATTTTATTAATATTGACGAATAATTGTAATGATACTCAAACTAATGGTCATGGTAGACAAATAAATGATGAAAATAATCTGGAAAATTCTGGATATAATGATAATATCATTAATGATTTTTTACAAATTTACGAACTGAACTTCGATGAAAGAGTAGGAAGAGATAATAGTAAAAATCTCAAATTCAAACCTTTCAATGATGAAAGTGTTGACAATAATAGGAATTCTAAAAATAATGAAAATATTGATTCAACAACATTAACTTTAGAAAATCTTTTTAATCCAAAAGAAGAATTTGAATCTACTATTGGATCATACGATTTAGGATAAATAAACATCAGCTTTTTTTTATGCTTAATTTTACTTTCTTACTTGCCCTTCAATTTCAATTATTGAAATTTTATGACTTGATATTTATTGTGAACTGTCAGAATACCTTGCTATAGATACTGATGTACGGCTGAAACTGCTCTTATCTGAAACAGATTTTTGCTACCAAATTTCTATTTTGCAGCATTTCAAAATTTCAAAATTTTAGGATTTTTCATGCTGCAAAAAGGTTGAATATCGTTTAATAGTTCAATCAGTATATTTATTCGACCTTCTAATAATTACAAAATACAGTACTCCAACAATATGCAAATGAAAGAAAAACCAACAACTTTCAGCAGTCAAAAACAAATTTCTTATCGTAAAATTAAAAAAGATAGCAAAAAATCTTATTCGACGAGTTCAGGTTCACAAACTAAATTATTCTCAAATTCAAATTCATTTTCAGATACAAATTTATCCCTGAGATCGGATCATTATTCAGAAAACGAAAACTCTAGTCCTGAGAAAGAATCTAACTTCGATAAATCTCAAGATATTGATAAAATTTTGTTTCAAAATTTAAACAAATCAGAAAATAAAACAGTCAGTTTCAAAAAATCAATTTACTTTAATCCCTCAAAAGATAACACTTCAAAAGATCTTAAAATTAATGAAAGAGAAAACAATCCTAAAGAATCATCAGAATCATCTCATCAAATTGATAAATTTAAATTAATTTATTTCGTAGTTATAAATCAAAGATATTTTTTAATACCTGGTGTAAAGTGGTTAATTAATAAAGCAAAAGGAAATTAATCATGGAGTTAGTTTACCATTTAAAATTATTCAATTCGCATTGAGATTCAATTGATCATAACCATATTACTGTTAAATTAGACTAACGAATAAATAAAAATTATCAAAGATTAAATAGAAAATATATATAAATAAACAAAATAAAGCTATTAACTCATTATAACATTACAACCATCTAATAATCTCATAGTAGCACTATTTGATTTTCTTAAAGGTTCTTTTCCAACATGACATTCTAAATTATTAAAAGTTTGTAATAATCTAATAGTTAAATAACTTGCTTCAACCAATGCTAATTGTTGACCTAAACATAATCTTGGACCAGTTGAAAATGGCATAAATGCAATCCCACCATTTTTTGGTAACTCACTCCATCTTTCTGGATTCCATATGTTACTTTGTGGTCCAAAATATTTATCATTTCTATTTGCTGTCCATAATGGATATAATACTTGTTGACCCTTCTTTATTAATATGGGTGATTGATTATCTTTACCTCCACCTTTTGGTAATATTTGATTTTTTGTTGAAGTTTTTGATTCATTGGGGACAGAAGGATGAAATCTTAAAGTTTCATTGAGACACCATCTAAGATATTCACAATTTTGTATTGATTCAAATGTTATTGAATTTAAATTTGGAAATTCTTTTCTTATTATGTGCTTTAATTTTTCAAAAATTTCTTGGTTTCTTGATAATTCCAAGAATAAAAAAGTTATTAATGCACTTGTTGTATTTCTACCTGCTAATATTATACTTAATATATTATCTCTTAAAACTATAGGATCTTTTGTTTGTTTTGCTAATTCATATAAAAATAAAGTACCATCTTGAGATTTTTCATCTAATTCTTTATTTGACATTTTTAAAGCTTTTTGAATATAATAATCAACAAATTTATGTTGTATATCAATACATTCATTCATTTCTTTTGGATTATATAAAAACATAAATTTTCCCATCATTGCTTTTAATATTAATATTGGAGCTAAAGTATCAAAAGCCCATGCAAATCTTTGTTTATATTCTTTATTTATTGTTTCTGGTGTTGATTCACCTAATCTATCTTTTAAAGTATCACAACTTTCTCCTAATAATAAAAAAGTTGAATAATCAATAGTAAATAATTGAAATAAATCTTGTAAATCTATAATTTGTTCACCTTGAGTTTGTTTAATTAATTTTATAACTCTTTCAATAAATGGTTCCATATTTGTTATATGTTTTATATGATTTTTAGCAAAAAATGGTCTTAACAAGATTCTTGAATGTTTCCATACAATACCTTCACTTGAAAATATGGAATTACCTAATAAATATCCAAATGCTTTTGGTCTATAACCAATATTCCAATCATAAAAATTTGCAGCTGCCATCATAATTCTTAAATTTTCTGGTTCAGTAGTCATTATAATTTTTTTAAACATTATTTTGGTTTCAAAAGTTGTTGTATCTAATTTTTGAAAAGTATCATATAATTTTTCATTACTTAAACCTTCTTTTATTGATTTTTTGGCATTATATAAGAATTCTAAACCTAACCAACTTAAAAAAGTTGGAGTTGGTAATTTTTTTATTGGTTTACAACCATTTTTTAAAGCAAATTTATTTAATTGATAATTTGAAACAAATTTATATATTATATAGGATATTAATAGTATAAGATATGGAATATAATTCATCTTTGTTTCTATTAAATTTGTCTTGGATATGAAAAGTTATAAATTTTAGTTTATGAAGAATGTATTTATTTTATATTCGGAGTTTTTAATAATGATACATTATGATTAACAAAAAGGGATAAGATTAATGAATGTTGTAGTGTAGTATTCTGAAAGGAGGAATATCTATTGTTTAAATACTAACTGAGTATTGTTTGAATTTAATTTATTGTTTTGTTGAAAGAAGAATTGAATGGTTAGTATTTGATTGATATATTATATTTATTTCAAATACCCCACCATATTTTTCTTAAGATCTTCATTCCTTACATAATACAAAATCAATCGGAGTTATTACTTTGTGTTTGTGTAATAGATAAATCCATTATGTAATTACGTAATTATTTAATTAAGTATTATGTAATTAAAATATGAATATGAAAATTTAAAATATCTCCACTATTAAAGGATTGGTTGCTACCAGATTTTGTTAAGTTCAAAATTAATTTTTGTCGAAATTTTCTATTTGAAGACCTTTTATATAATGTTTTTATGATTATAGAACTAAGATTTTTATGAATATACAACTAAGAAACAACATAATACAAACTTTGACATGGAGGTCAAGATCCAGCTTTCGTGATGTTTAAACACCAAGAAAACTTTCAATGGTTTTGGGCTAGTTAAGCGCTTAAGGTAGTTGACGGGTAGCTGGTTATACCAATAATTCAAAACTAAGAAATCCTTAAAGCAAATGACCCAGAGCACTTGCAATACAGCAGTTCGGATTTAATAAATATGGTAAATTTTGTCCATACAATGGGGTAATAACTTTGGTTTTTAGTTTATTTTTAACAGAACTGGAAAGATCTATTGGTTTTCATTCAACTATATGAATTGGATAGGACCTCCATGTCAGAGTTTTTATAGTGCAGTTTCTTAGTTGTATGAATATTCATAAAAACCTTATAAGAAAGGTTTTCTAACAGATCAGCTTATTGATAATACTATCGAAGTCTAACATTTTTCAAAAGCATTTTCTTTGTATATGAAAAGTTTTGCAAATGGTAAAACTTACAACATAATCATGTTATCTAATTTGAACATTGAACACTTAATGTAACAAAAAGCAAAACCATTAGGATTTATTCAAGTCAAAAAAAGTTGAATATGTATATTTACAGAAATTTATGGCAATACTATTTACCTTTATAGTCTAATGTTTTTTTATAAATCCATCATTAAAACTGCTCTTTCTTTGTTTTGTAACTTCCATTCTTTTATTTGCATCTCTTGCAGCTTTTATACTTTTCTCTTTTGAATCATCCACAAATTTAGTAACCATATCTTTAATTGATTGAGATTGATTAACATTACTTTGATTTAATTGTTGAATTGATAATTTTTTAGGCATCCCTAATAATTTTCTTAAAAAATTTGATTTAAATATAGCACTTTGAATTAATGATAATATTGAATTTATTGCAAAATATAATACAATTGCAGCTGAAAAATTTTTAGTTATAAAAATTGAAATTATTGGAACTATAGTCATTATTTTTTGCATACTTTTTGCCATTGCATGTTGACCAGTTTCACCACCAATTCTAACAACACTTATAATTGCAATTGCTGCAATAGCTTGTAAACCTAAATATGGATCAACATCACTTAAATTTTGAAACCATGCATAACCTTGATCATTAAATCCTTCAACTGGATGATTTGCCATTTTTCTTAAAGCTTGAAAAAACCCATAAGCTAAAGGTAATTGTAAAACTGGTGCTAAACCAGCTAATGTTGATACATTATGTTTTTTCATTAATTTTTTTCTTTTTTCCATTCCTTTCATTTGATCTTGTATATCTCCACCTTTTATTTCTTTCATTATTATATCTAATTGTGGTTTAATTTCAGACATTCTTGTTGCATTTGAACTTGCTTTTACATATAATGGAAATAAAATTATTCTTACTGCTATAGCTAATACACATATTGTTCCCCACCATGGTAATCCAGTATATACATGAGTATATTCTAATAATCTTTCTATTATACTTGTTGGACCCCAACCTTGTCCCATTCCTATTGATTCTAAATAACCAATTTGATTTGAATGTATATCTGATGATGAAACTGCATGTGATAAATCTGGATGATGATCAAATAGGACTAATTTATCTTGAATTTCTTGTGAAGTGTTGGTTGTAGAAGTGGAATTAAAACGAAGTGAAATTGGTGATGTTATTGGGATTTTGTTTAATTTTATAATATGTGGTTGCAATTTGGCCAGCTTAAGCTGACTTCTTAGTATAAGACTATTCGAGCAACGAGATAGACCTAGTTTAAACATATTGTGTTGGTTATATTGAAACAGTTGCAAAGAATTTAAAACACGAAAATTTTCATTTAACTGAATTTTTTTGCGACCAAAATTTGCATAAAGATCTTGATCTTGACATAGACATTTAACATCAATAATGAAGATATAGCAACATATTATGATCAATGCCAGAACCAAAATACGACCTATACTACGGCATTGCAGAACTTACACAACAGTTGATCACACTAAAATTTTTCAGGAAACCATAAGGTCGAAGTCTATATCTCAAGCTTATTCATACGTTATTCGAAACCATTTACATATTGATCAAAAATCACTTATATCGTTCACGTATAACCTTTTACAAACCAATGTTCAAGCTGCGATTTCTTTACAGCATGTTTTAGCGCAGAACGAAAAATATCAAATACCTAATGAAATTTGGTCGACTATTATTGAAAAAGTATGTTCCGAATCAAATTATATTGGAGCTATGTTCATTTATCATGAAATTATAGACAATTATAGGTTCTATGAAGAAATTTCACTTGGAGTACAAGATAATGATCAAATACCTTTTTTAGTGGATTGTGAGAGATTGATACAATTAGGTACAATTTTTTTTGAAAATAATGATCCTCAAAGATTGGATGGTTTAATTCGATATTTTAGAAGATTTTATTCCTTCTGGATGAATCAAAAAACTTATCAAAAGCTATTAATATTGACAATTGAAACTTTTTCAAAATTAAATGATTTTCAAAATTCTTTAAAAAGTTTTGTAAATTTAGCTTATGCATCACAAGGACCAACTCGATATTTTCCCAAACCCTTAAAAATTCAAAATAAAAAATTCAACAAATTTGTTACAGAAAACATTGAATCAAATCAATATAAAAATAATTTAATTGAATCATCTCAATTCCCACTTGATATTCATCAATTTTTATTAAGTAAAATATGTGAAACGGATTTATATGATCCAATAATTGAAAGAAATATTTATTCATCAAAAAATAGACTGTCTGATCCAATTATAAAAAGATCAGTACTTTTAAAAGATTTACCTAATTTTTCAAATTTAATTTTACAATATATTAAAAATGAAAAATTATATGATTTAAATGAATTATTAAATTGGACAAAATTAAATCATTATAGTTTAAATATTTTTATTATAAATGCTTTATGTCAATTAAATTATCATGAATTAGCTTTTAATTATTTAAAGACTTTAAGTAATATTGGTAAAAATGTTGTTAGAAATCAAAGTTTTTTAATAATATTGAATTCTTTACCTAATAATGACTCAGGTGAAAAATTAAAACAAGAAATAATTAAATTTTATACTCAATTGAGAAATGGTCATATAGGTTCTAAAATAGGAGAATACTTGTAAATAATTGTAAACATTAGTAAATATCTGTAAATAGTAAAATGTAAAATTAATTAATACCTAGTATAAACTACACATTTAGAATTGAAAATTCTTAAAAAATATTACCTAAAATTAGTTATCTCTTCTTGGATCAGACATTTTATGTATTCTAACATTAGAACCTTCTAAATCACCAACAACTGCAATATCTTGTGGAGTTATAAATATACTTTGAGATTTTGGATATCTTGCCAATTCAGTAAGTAATAATTTAATACTGATAGATCTATTAATTGAATCCATATAAACATCAAATTCATCTAAACCTCTAATTTTAGAATTCATAGTTTGCCAAATTGATAAAAGTAAAGCAATTTGAGTATATGATTTTTCACCACCTGATAAAGATTCAACTGTACGAGTTTTATCATCTTTTTTAGTTTTAACAAATAATTCTAAAGATCTTTCACCAAAATTCATATTTAACGAACCTTTAAACCCTCTCAATTCCATAGCAACTTCGAATGAACGTCTTGCAAGGTTCACAGCATGACTAATAGTTGTGCTTAAGAATGCTACTCTCATATTAATTTCCTCTTCAAGCCTTGCATGAACTGCCTCTAAATGTTCTTGATTATCTCTTGCATTATCTCTTTTAGATTGTGCCAATCTTAAATCACTTATTACAACTTCTAAAGATGTACCCAATTGTCTTTCAGCTTCTTCCATCTGAGTTTGAATTTCTTTATACTCTGCTTCAATAGTTAATTGAGTATCATCTTCAGTTATTTCAACATCTGTTCGATTACAAAATTCCCTTGCTTTAGTAATTTGAGCTTGTAATTTTGATTCACCACTAGCTATCAATCTTTTATCATTTTCTATTTCAGTAAGATATTGAGTCTCCAGATATGACAGCTCTTTCTTTTTATCCCCCAAAAGTCTAATGTATTCTTTGAGTTTATCAAGTTCAGCTTGTGCAACTTCTTTACGTTCTTTAACTTCATTAGCTTCTCGTTCTAATACTTTCAAATTATTTTTCACTTCATTGTATTTATCCATTTTCAGATCCATGTCTTCTTCCAAAGATTCACTAAAACTTTCTAATCTTTCAATTTGTGATTTACTTTCTTCAATTTTCAGCTCATATCTTAAAGCAACACTCTGATCTATTTCTTTATCAATTTTATCTTCTAAACTTGCTCTTATATTTTTTAATCTTGACAATTCCTGACTCAACTCTCTTCGTTCCCTTACAACTTCAACTTTTTCATTCTCAAAAGATTTTTTAGATTCACTGATTTTCTTTTCAATTTCATTCAATTTTTGAATTTCTCTACGTATTTCTTGTTTTAAATCATTTACCAACTCTTCTCTGTTCGAAACTCCAAATTTAGGCATTTTTCCTGAATAATAAACAGGATCTTGAACATGATTCCCATGGTTATCCCAAATCCTTTGTCCTGAACTTTCACTAAATTGTACAAGAGCATTATAGACATTTGATTCTTGACATAATCTTTTAGCTTCCTCAATGGAATTAGCAATTACTGTTTTCTCAATACTAGCAAGATCAATTAAAGCATACAAAACGGTTTCATCATTAATTTCAATCATATCCAAAATGCTAGTAGCAGCTCTTGCCCTACCACTTTCATAATGAAATTTCTCAGTTCTTCTAACAATTATATTACAATAGAAACCATTTGATTTCAAAATACCATTCAATTTAGTTCTATCTCTATCATTGACTGTGATAAAAGCATCCAAATGTTTCTTCAAAGTGGAATCCATTAATCGTTTCCATTCATCATATTGTTTTTTCACAAGGATATAACTCCCCAATGGACCAATTGGTTTAGCTGTCCATGATGTTTTATTTATTGCATCAATCACAGTTTGCATACGATGAGCACCCCATGGAGTGTATTTTGAGCTTTGTTCTCTTTCCAACTCAACTTGACGTTGCTTTAATTCTTGTATAGTCTCCCCAATCTGTCTCTTTGAATTTGTCAATTCTTCTAATTCAACATTAGGTCTTCTATCCATATTTCTTATGGTTTCATTAACATCTCTTAATTTATTTTCACATTCACTTATCTTTTCAATGACTTGCTTTAATTCTTCTCTCATATCATCTTTCGATCCACCTTGCTCTTCTTCAATTTTCTTTCTTTCACTTTTTAGTTTCTTTTCAGTATACTTTATATCTTCCTGAAGCTTTTTAATTTCATTCTTGTTTTTTTTTATTTCTTCACCTTGAATTTTTAACTGAGCTTTCATTTCTGTCCTTTGTCTTCCAGCATTTTCATGTTCCTGAGCCTTTATATCATGTTCATTAGCAATTTGGCTCACGGAATCTATCAACTTCAGTTTCTCAGAATCTTTGGCTCTCATTTCCTCATCCACAAATTCAATTTGAGCTTTTGCTTCTTGGATTTTATTTTCTGATTCCAAGATACGTCCTTTTAGTGTTTTCAATCTTTTTTCATATGCTTCAACATTAAACCAATGAACTTTACCTGTTAACATATCCATCTTGTTTCTTAAGTGATCATTTTTTTTATGAGCTTCATAAATCTTTTTGATCTTTTTGTAGTTAGTCTCACAATCAGATAAATAAACTTTAGACTGATCTATTCTACTTTCAATATCACGTATGTTTCTAGCAGTTGAATCCAAATTATCATGAATGTCATTAATATAAGCCCCAGCCATAAAATATTCAAATTTGGTCTTTGCAGTTGCGGTTGATAAAAATTCTCTTGCTTTATCTTGAGATAAAAACGCTAAAGGATTATCAACAGTTATATTGAATTTGTATAATATATCATCTAAAACTGCTTTTTTTTGTGAAATGGTGTCCCCTTGTTCAGACTTTATGGAATAAGTATTAAGTCCTACTCTAACCAATTTTCTCTCAATAATAATTTTTTTACCATATTCTTCTGGTTTGTAAGCCATTGGTCCTTCATTCTTTATTGTAATACTAATTCTAGATGTCGAACTTCCATCTTTGATTAATTGCCTGATACTACTACCTCTATTGGTATCAGTTGCTTTTGCACCTAATCCAACTGATATACCAGTTAAAATTGCACTTTTACCTGAACCATTTCTTCCAATTATAAAATTTATTTGAGGTCCTAAAGTTAATTCAAAGAATTCATGACACATAAAATTTTTTAAAGTCAACTTTTCAATAATACCTGCTTGAGCTGGAGCTTCAAATTCTTCCCCAACAACTTCTTCTGTTCCAGAATCATCATCTTCTTCATCATCTTCGTCTTCATCATCGCCGGTTCCAGATTCAAGACCATCTTCACCTTCTTCATCTTCATCTTCATTCAATTGAGTCATTCGAGCACGCCTCTTACTTGGTCTCATCATTGACAGTGTTATTTGTTGCGATGGACATGTATATGAGTTCTATGAAATTGATGTTAGTACTTAAGTTGATCTATTTTATTTTGGGACGTAATCGTAAATACATACTGAATTGTTCAGATTGAATGAATCATCTTCTCTAGATCGTTTTAAAGTTGTTGCCATTTTCCAAAATAATATATGAACATATTTTGTTCAAGCTTCAACAATAACAAATAGGTGTTTGTTGTATCTGTAATTTGTTGGAAATATGTGAAATTTATTATTAAATTCAGAGAGAAAAAATTAAAAAAATAATTTAGTTAAATTGATACACGCGTCACACAGCTTTATCACTTTACAAATTTTTAGGGAAACTGGTAAAATTTAGTCGGTACCAAAGTCGATTGAACCTATAAATTGGGAGAAGGTATTATAAATCTAGCCTTCTGGGAATTTTTTCGAAATTAAGTGGAAACACGTTATTGGTACTATCAATCTGGATCATTTATTCATTCCCCAAATATATCGGTAGTGACAGTTATTGGGTGTCAGATTTTGGATTTTTAGGACATCAGCGTTAAATAAGAAACAATAGAGGTAAAACTGACTTTCATTTAAACCACAGCCATCATGAGTGCCAATTCCAAGAGAATTAAATTTGTATCAATATCATTACCAGTTTTATACGGTAACCATGCGTACAAATTAACACCAGAAAAAAGGAAATCAAATACTCCACCAGATCATACCCATGAATGGACAGTATTCTTCAAACCAGTATTAGGTGATATTGATTTAACTCCTTTGATAAAAAAAGTTACATTCAAATTGCACGAAACTTATGAGAATCCGATTAGGTCAATAGAGCACCCGCCATATCAAGTTACTGAAACAGGATGGGGAGAATTCGAAATAATAATAAAACTACATTTCCATCCAGGTGTAGATCTAGGGATAAATGAAAAAAATTTCCAAATATTTCATGCCTTGAAGTTACATCCGTATAATCCACAACATCCCAAGAGGGAAAATGGGGAGGTTCATTCAATTTTATATGATGAATTAGTATTTAATGAACCGACTGATAAAGTGTTTGAAATTTTAACTAGAAAGCCAGGAAACTTAATACCGTATAAGTTATCAAATCCAGATAAAAGAGATCAAGAATATATACGACCTGACGAGAATGATGAATTAGGCAGGATGGATTTATATATCGAGAAAATCAAAAAGGAAATTGAAACTCAAGCTATAGAATATAAAAAATTAGAGCAAGAGAAACTAGCGCTTGAAAATACAAAATAATAACTTGATATGATTTTGTTATTTAATAATTTTGAATTCTTTATAACTAATGATTATATAAATGAACCTTTAATATGTAATTCTATCTCTAGGAGCAGTCTTGTTTGTGGTAATTTAGTCTCATAATTAACAAGAAGGTATTGGGAAATATAAAATTAAATTTACAATTAAATCTCGCGATTTTAAACTTTAGTGGATTTGCTCAACTCTTTAAGTAATATTCGTCCAACATTATACTCCTTTCATTTGTTGATAATATATTGTTTTCAAAGATATGCCAGAGTTGACATTAAACATTCCATTCGAAACATCACGACAAGCAGAGATTGCTAAGAATACCCTAATACCAGACCCAGTTTTAAAATCAGATGAATTAAAAATAGAATACCATACGAGTGTGAATAACTTACTTGTAACAATTTCAGGAATTAGTGATAGAGTAATTAGAGTCTCCATCAGTAATGTGTTGGATAACATTAAAACCATCGTTGAATGTATGGATCAATTTGATGGAAAAGAAGATTCTGAGTGGGAAATTGATGAGAATAAAATGAATGGTTAAAGAAATTAATCATAAATTTACCGAAATCCGCCTTTTAAGCATATCTTGAGCACATGAGGAGAAGATTCCGTTCAAAATGAGGAATGAAGTTGGAGTTATTTCAAGATCATAGCTTCAGAAGCATTCAAGTATATCAATCGGACTTGAAAGCACAAAAGCTCACAAAAGCAATTCAATTTTAATCGACAAAGATATTAGACTAATCGTGAAATAGAAATATGAGCAAGAGAAAGGGCAATCCATTTAAAAGACCTAAAATGATGCAAATGCAATTTATTGTAATTATTATTCGAGTGTAAATTTTCAGAATATAAGTCTTAGAAGCCGCATTACTTGTAGCTTAATGCGCATTTCGTTTTGCCTACTATCAGAATATCGCAAAAGTCACCAATGCGTTAGGTGACCCGGTTTTATAGAATTATATAGATAACGTCTGTATATTAAATAAATACTGTGTTATAAAAAAAAAAAAAAAAAGAGCGTAGTACCAACACGCTTTACGTGATTTTCCATCACTCTATCTTATAAGTAAGTTGCAAAGTATTCCAACTAAAGCACAGAATATGGGTTGGTTTGGTGGTAGCAGCTCGGCTCAACCACCGTCAAAAGTATCATACGTTTCAGAATATAAGGAACCCGAAAAGAAAAAACCACAACAGTATTTGGAAGATCTACCTCCAAAGTTTGAAGATTCGGAACCACAATCAAGACCACAAACATCATCTCAACCAACTTTGAAAGATGCAGCTATGAGCATCCGATTTTCTGATTTCAATGTAGATAGGTTCGTGAACATGCCTTGTTTCAGGGAAGCTATGATAACGGGATTTCAAGCAATGGGAGTGCTTGGTGTTGTGACTTTCTTAATTCATAAAAATCCAAGTAAAGCTTTGAATTGGTCAATGGGGGGATTTTTTTTAGGAAACTTAGTCGGTTGGGAGCAGTGTAGGTCGTTGAGACGAAGATCATTCGAGATGGTGGAAAAAGCTAAACTCGAAAAAGAAGAAAAACATAAACGAAAATGGGAAAGCCTAAAAAAGAGTCAAGATAGTGATGAAGATTTAAAAAATTTTGAGAATTTTAATAGTAAGAAATAGCATGGATAAGGTTGGGAGGGTTCTTGTACATAGATTTTTAATTTAATGAATACGAATGAGACAACATGAATTAATGTTTATTGATCTTCCTTTAGACTCTAGTAGTAGATGGTATGCCGATACCCTTGTCAGGTATGTTTGACTTTGCTCCAACATTTGCTTACTTTGCTTCCCATACTTGATTCATGGAAATTTTGGAACCATCGCAGGAGGTGGTTGAACAATTAAATTCCATTTTAGAAGAAGATGAGGCAATGTTTAGAATTCAAGATATTGCCCATCCTGAAGTACTGTCAATACAATTTAACATTCCTCTGTTTCTTCAAGCATCTTCTTTAAAACTTTATTTTCTTCTTTCAATATATTTATTAAACTGAGATAACACGGCAATTGGAGAATCTTGGAAATTGAACAAAATGGAAAGCATGAATCAAGCATGAGAAGCAAAGTTAGCAAGTGTTGGAGCAAAGTCAAACATTTTAAATGATTTCATTACACAACTCTAGATTTCTCAAATAATCTTAACTGACTGAGTGGTATCATGTCGAGGATGAAAAAAAAAATTAACGAAATCTTCCCCACCTTTCGGTATGAAAAATAAAAACTGAAAATTTATTATTTAGATTTTCAACTGTAAATCAAAAGTTCAACAAGTTCAGACTCAGCCAGGGGTATTATCAACCCACTAAAACTTAATCAAACAATGGATAATTATAAAGTATCGATAACATATAAGACTGTAAAATCAAACTTGGTCAATTTACCATCGAATTTGACTAATTTATTATTCACGGCCAATATCCAAGTTCAAGATGTAATAATTGAAATAGTAGTACCGTCATCCAATAAGCAACAAAAGCAACCTAGCAAGTATTATGCTGGCTGGTCCGGGATGTCTTCGAACAAAATTCAAACATTAGAAATTGATCCAATATTTGCACAATCCTTGAACATACTGGATAAATCACAAGTAATTGTAAATTTAAAGATTGGAAATTATGAAGCAACAAATATTAATCTCGAACCAGTGACTAGCTCAGACTGGGAGATAGTCGAGTTAAATGCTCAGTTAATTGAAGATAAATTGTTAAATCAAAGTAGATGTGTTGCATTGAATCAAATTTTAGTAGTTTATCCAAATGCTACTACTTCAGCAAAGTTAATTGTTACTGATATTGGAAATAATGAACATAAGTATGCAAAAATATCTCCATATTGTGAAATAGCGATCGCTCCAAAAGTGAGGCAAAAGAAAGAAGTAAGTGCAGATGATAAGAGTGTGACTAGTCTGAAAAGCTTATCTAAAAAAGAAGATTACAATGGATTACCACTGGTTTTGAAAAGAGGGATTAGTTTGCCACACCATTTGTATGAGGATGTTGAAGTGGCCGATGGTTATAAAGTATACATGAATTTGAGTACTTTACCAAAAGGATTTGATTCATACGTCGCGGTGTCAATAGTATCCGGTCCTAACGACTTGAAGAATAATTTGGAGACTGAAAATGATGTCAAAGAGAATAAGCGTATCATAGCAAAATTAGTGAGTCATGATAGTTCAAGCAATAACATAGGTCTTTCTAAGGATTTATCGATTGCGTTAAATGTATTTAATCAAACAGGTAATATAGTGGTTTTAAAACCAGCCATAAAAAATTTACCAAAACGTCCAACAACCATTGTCATATATCCTTACGTCACAAATTCCAATAAGAAGAAGGAAATTAATCAAACCAAGAATAATAAATTGATACAACAATTAACAGATGCGTTTTATCCTAGAATATCAACATTGCCGATTACTAATTTTATGAAAATACCCAGCATTCCAGGAATTTTGCCACATGGTGGGATACTAAGATTCAGGAAAAATGAAAACTACAATGCTTGGATAAAACCTTATGATCTAAACACCAAAAAACCAATCAAATTAGAGCTTGGTGAAGAATTATTGAGACCACAATCATTTATACAAGATCATTACGAAAAACCGCAAGTGCCAGAAGATGAACCTATTGGGGTTGAGTCAGCTATAGATGATTTAGTAGATTCATTTGTCATATCCGAAAACACGGGTACTTTGGTCTATGGTAATTCTGGTAGTGGTAAAACAATGTATTTAAAACAAATAAGCGATAAATTGAATCAAGAATATGGATTTTTCACTAAATTTGTATCATGTGAAACATTAATGAACGAAAATTTTCAAAACCTTTCAAAAAATCATATCTTCAAATGGTTACAGCAATGTTCATGGAGTCAACCTTCATTGTTAGTTTTGGATAATGTAGATAAAATTATGAATATTGAAATGGAAAATATGGATGCAACAAAATCAAACCAAACAACTGAGTTTTTCATATCTCAATTAGGTAAATTACATAATCAACAAAATTCAAATATTTCAATTCTTTTGTCAGCAAGTTCAAAAGAAAGTATTAATAAGTTATTGTTAGGAAGTCATTTAATTGAGAACTTTTATCATATAAATGCTCCAGATAAATCATTACGATTTAAAATTTTGGAAAAACAATTGACTAATAAATTACAATGTAAACTTCAAGTAGATTTGATGGATTTAGTCAGTGAAACTGAAGGATACTTACCAAACGATTTGAAAATTTTATGTGACAGAATTTATCATCAATCAATATCGTCACCTTCTGAATCTGAAGAAGATGAAAACAAAAATATAGTAGATTCAACTCATGTTACCAAGGCATTAGAGAATTTTACTCCATCAAGCTTGAGGGGAGTTAAGTTACAGAAATCAGGTACCAGCTGGACAGATATTGGTGGACTCAAAGAAGCTAAAAATATTTTGCTAGAGACTTTAGAATGGCCAACTAGATATGCTCCAATTTTTGCAAATTGTCCCTTAAGATTGCGATCGGGTATTTTACTTTATGGATATCCCGGATGCGGTAAAACATTGCTAGCTAGTGCAGTTGCCGGACAATGTGGTTTAAATTTCATATCCATTAAAGGTCCAGAAATCTTGAATAAATATATTGGTGCATCTGAACAAAGTGTAAGAGAATTATTTGAGAGAGCACAAGCTGCAAAACCATGTATTCTTTTTTTTGATGAGTTTGATTCTATTGCTCCTAAAAGAGGTCATGATTCAACTGGTGTAACTGATAGAGTTGTTAATCAAATGTTGACGCAAATGGATGGTGCTGAAGGTCTAGATGGTGTTTACGTGTTAGCCGCAACGTCTCGACCTGATTTAATTGATAGTGCATTATTAAGACCTGGAAGATTGGATAAAAGTGTCATTTGTGATATGCCAAATTTCGAAGATAGATTGGACATATTGGTAAGTATAACGAATAAGATGGATTTAAGTGATGATGTTGATTTAAGTATAATTGCAAAAGAAACAAATGGTTTTAGTGGTGCTGATATGCAAGGTTTGGGATATAACGCATATTTGAAAGCAGTACATGTCAGACTAGAAGCTATAGAAGCAGAAGAAAATTCAAAACAAGATAGTTCAAATAATGACGACTCATCCATTGAGTTTTTCAAAGTAAGCAGTGATGAAAAGAATCTCAAGATGAAAAACACAGAAAGAGTTAAATTATTACACCAAATTCAACAATTCACATCAAATGAAGACCGAATGAGGCTTAAAGATTCCAACAACAATGACAAAATTTCCGAAGCGCCAAAAGTTTTAATTACTCAAGCTAATTTCATTGATTCATTAAAAGAAACTAAACCTTCAATATCTTTGACTGAAAAAATGAAATTGAAAAAAATCTATTCCCAGTTTATTGATAGTAGAGATGGTAATTTACCAGATGGAACCCCTAGTAACGAAATTGGTGGTAGAACTACGTTGATGTAAATAGAGTAAATTTAATAGATATAGTAACTTGCCACAAATAATGTATTTATTAAGGAAAATAAATATAACTCTACACATTGGTCAATCTGGTATAGTCTGAGTTCTCATCACCATCGACAACAAATGCATCCGTATTAGCCTCTTTGTTTTCAATTTTCTTCTCTTCTTCGATAAGTATTTTGTTATAATAACTTTGGGAATCACCAACCCAAGGAAACAATCTGAAATAAGACCAGCAACCAATACTAAATCCCAATAATGACCCAACAAATACATCGATAAAATGGTGTCTATAATCTTGTGTCCTACTCAATGCAATAAAACTAGCCATCAACATAGGAGCAAATCCACCAATTAAAAATCTCCAACTTCCACACCAGGTATTTGTTGCTTGTAATTGACCTATTAAAAATAATGCTAAATAAGTTAAACCAGCAAAACTTATTGATGAGTGTCCAGATGGTGTTGTTCTGAAACCATCTTCCAACATTCCCAAATCTTCATTCGTACAAACTTCAATTGATACCAACTTATCTAATGGAGTACCTTCTTTGGGTATACATCTTTCCAAAAAATCTGGTCTTAATCTACCTATCCAATTCTTCAATATATCTGTAGTAATGGATGTTATTAATACGCTCAATATTAATCCCAAACAAGCAACATATGTGTTATATACTTTATATTTTGTAGTTGTGAGTACCAAAGAAACAGCAAATGTGATAACCAATGGAATCCAAGTAGAATATATAAATAATTCAGCAGTATTAACAGTCTCTCTCTCTGCAAATGGATGTTGAATTGTTTTATCATCAAGATAAAATTGTCTATGAAATGGTTTATCATTATATACTATGAAAAACGTAAAAATTAGAACAACGAGCAATATTAGATCAGTTATTCTCCACTTTAATATTGAAGTTGGTATAATATTTAAAGTAATTCTATTGAAATGTTGCAGTTTTTTGTTTAACTTTCGTATAAATTCTTGAAATGACATTGTGTAAATATTGGAATTGATAGATAGATGGATAGCACTAGTCTATAATTTATGGTAATGGGTTTAGATGTATAGATTGATTGAAACTTTCTAGTGAGATATAATGTACAATTAAGAAATTTGAGTATCATCGTTAGTGTGCTAGCAATTAAAACTCGTGAGTATTCACGTGGCAAAGTCTTTCAAATTAGGTTCGCGTTTGTTTTATAACTTGGCCTAATCTAATCAAAATAATATTCACCCAGACGTGTTTCAAATCAAGTTTCAATTAGTATCAATCATCTTTATCTTAAACTGAGCTATGGCATCATCAGCAATTGCACCAACAAGTGGTTCAAATGCAGCATATCAAGAAGAGAAATTACATCATACACCATGGGTAGAAAAGTATAGACCAAAAAACTTAACAGATATATCATCACAAGAACATGCTGTAAAAATTCTACAAAAACAAATCACTTCGGGGAATAATAATTTACCACATATGTTATTTTATGGTCCTCCTGGTACTGGTAAAACATCAACAATATTAGCTTTAGCTAAACAATTATATGGTCCCAATTTGTATAAGTCTAGAGTATTAGAATTAAACGCATCCGATGAAAGAGGTATCTCAATAGTTAGACAAAAGATCAAGAATTTTGCAAAATTAACTGTAAGTAACCCTAGTGAAGAAGATTTAAAAAATTATCCTTGTCCACCATACAAAATCATTATATTGGATGAAGCTGATTCAATGACCAATGACGCACAATCAGCATTAAGAAGAACAATGGAAACTTATTCAAATATTACAAGATTTGCTTTAGTGTGTAATTATATTACTAGAATCATTGATCCTTTAGCTTCAAGATGTTCAAAATTTAGATTCAAATTGTTGAATAATGAAAATTCATTAAACAGATTGAAATATATAAGTGATGAAGAAAATTTACAATTTGGAGAAAATGAAAATGATGTATTGAATGAAATTTTAAGAATAAGTAATGGAGATTTAAGAAAAGCAATAACTTTTCTACAAAGTGCATCAAAATTGAGTTTAAGTTTACGAAATGATAATGAAATTGGGAGTGAAGATGGATTAATTACTAAGGCGTCTATAAGAGAAACAGCTGGGATTTTACCAGATGAATTGATTAAAACTTTGATTAATAAAATGCAAAATTCTAATCAACCAAACAAAATATCAAATTTAATTGAATTTATCAACGATATCATACTCAATGGTTGGAGTGTACAACAATTAATCGATCAATTACATGATTTTTTAATATTAGATGATACTTTATCACTGGAACAAAAAAACCAAATCAGCTTTGCTTTATTTGATTGTGATAAAAAGTTGAATTTGGGTACTGATGAACACATTCAATTATTAAACATTATTTTGTCTATAGCTAAAATATTATAGTTTAATTAATAACAAATGCATGCCTGACGAAGTAAATAAATACGATTTCTAAACTAAGGTTCCAATTTTTTTAACCTTTTCTGCCATTTTTCAATCAATTCGTGCTGATCATTAATCATTTCTAACTCACTATTAAAATATTGATCATTAAATATTTTTGAAATTCTCAAATCCTCAATACACTCCGTTAATAGATTAGAACCTACTTTTTTATCAATGATTTTAACTTTGGCTAATATATATCCAACATCAATTCCTAATTGACCACCGTTGCTAAAAGAATTATCAAAACCCTGTTGTAAATTTGTTTCCTTGTTGTACGTTATACCATCCAAATATCCTTGCTTTCTATGTTGTCGTATTATGTCATTATGTACAAAATTTCTTTCATTCGATTTATGAGTTTCTTCATCTTCTGATTCCCAAATATCATCACTAAGTGGAGCTTGTTCAGAACTAGTTGATTTTATATTCATATTAGTTGAATTTTTGCATGAACAAGTAAGATTTTCGATACCACTGCCGTCACATGCTGATGGAGTCATATCTTGAAATATATCATTTGAGTTGTCTTTAGTATCAGTAGCTTCGATATATCTCGTCTCGCTCGACTTCCTTAAGCCTGTACTATTCTGCATTTGAATAAGAATCAGATATTCCGTCATATCGTCGTGTCTCAATCAAAACAAGCATACTAATCTTTTTTTCAAACTACTTAACTTCAATTAAGTAAACAAGATATTATTTAATTATTTCTTACTATTTTATACCAGATATAGTTATTATATTTGCTTTCTGACAATCATATATGTACACGATATAGTATTACCAATAAAGATAAATACAAACAAGTCAGTGAAAACAACATCAACTACTGAGTCATCAATTTCTTATCTAAAGTGGTTGCACAATATTTTTAGAAGAATCTTACAGTTTCAATTCATTTATACTGCTTTTACAAACACGTTTAGTCTTTATAAATTTTAATTAACCAGTGTCATAGGCTTCAAAAAAGTCCATTATAATTAACTTTTAAAACATAGAACATATCAAGTTTTTCGTGCAGGTCACTTCCATTTAATTACAACAAATCGTCTTCATTCATTCGACAACATTGTTAATTCTAATTCCTCAATATTATAGAAAGAATCATAGATTTATGAAATTTACCTGTTAACCGAACAACTACAATGTCACAGCAAGATATAATAACTCAAGTGTCACCGGAGAGTTCGTATTCAAATAATCTATCAACTACAAATACGGCAGCTCATAACGGATCAGAAGATCAGTTATCCGAAACATATAATTCTTTAATTCATTTGAATGTAAGAGGGAAAAATTTCACAATAACAAGAGATGAATTAATGAGTTTACCCGAAAGTATCTTGTTGTGTTTATTTCCCAATGGTGTATTTTTAGATATTAATGGACAAATTATTACAAACTTAACTGAAAATGATGTTGTTTATGTTAATTTTGATCCTAGTTGCTTCCAATATATTATTGATACTTTTGCCAAAGCTCAAAGAGATTTGGAAACATCACCATATAATAATAATCAATTATCACCAACTATAAGTAACAACAGACATGTGAATCAACAAGAAAATATTTTACAAACCAAACCTGCTATTATTGTGTTACGTGAGGATTTAGATTTTTATGTAATACCTCCCATTGAAGGATTAGATATGACTCAAATGAAAGAATTGAAACGAGGTGTTAGTAAAGTGTTACTAAGGAACAAATTAATTTTCTCCGGATTAGGTTATAAATTTACTGATGATGAATTATATCAATATAATGATCATGATTCTTTAAATGATGAAAAACTTCAAGATGCAAATTCAAAACAAGATAATAGTAAAGGATTAGGACCTGCAGAACAACATCTTTTTGATATGTTATGTTCGTCGGGTTTCGAAGTTAAAGATAAATGGGGAAGTAGGAGTTTGGAACCTGGTAAATGTGTAATATCATCATTGTCATTGGTTAGACTAAGAACAAATAGTCAACAAGATAAAACTCCAACTCCAACGCCTCCCGAATCACCAACATTAACACCAGTTACATCAACAACAAGTAATAATGGAAATTCAAGGTCAAGATCAAGGTCAAGAATTGCACAATTAGCATCAAGTGCATCTAGGGCTGCTTCAAGATCACTATCTTCAAAAAGAAATTCTAATAAAGTAGATCAAAATCAAACTAAATTATTATTATTTTGGAGAAAACCTGCAAGAAAATGTTGGTGGAGTCATGGATGGATAAATATTGCATTGGATAAATCTAATTTACTGGTTATTGAAAAAGCGAACGATGGGAATGATAAAATTAATTTGAAAGTCCATGTTAGAAGAGTTTGGACTTTAGAATTATCTGTTATTGGTGTACAATGAATTTGACTTTGTATACTTAAGTTGCCTATCTAATAGAATATATATCGTACGACTACAAATCAGCAGCTATTTGATAGTATATTTAGTGTGGTGTTCTCTCGAATTATTCAACTCTAAATTATATGGACTTAATATTGGTTTAATGTACACTACTGTGTTTAATCAATTAGCGGAATCCGCTTATACGCAAATCGCTAACACATTTTTACGAGGGAAGGTTCCATAAAATTGAAAAAAAAAAAATTTGCACCGTAAAAAGAGAGTCGATTCGTTCAACTCAAATACGGATGAATATTAGAAACTTGCTAGCAATTTTAAGCTTATCTCAAATCATCCAGCATTCCTCTTTGAATACTCAATGTCACGGATATTGTTTTTACAATTGGCATGGATCTTTACATAGTTAAAAAGAATACTGCATGTAATAAATAATTTTTAAAATAAGAGAGATAAGATTAGAATCACACAAAAGAATCTTTTTTTTTTTTTTTCTTCAAGGCCTAACCCATTCTTATCATAATATTTCACTTAACCAAGTACATCTCATCATCAACTTACCCAACCAAGTGCAAAGAGTCAATTGTTTCTTGTTTTGTATAGTATTTTCAACAATATACTAATATTGATACATCCATAAAGTCAGTTAAAGCTCAACGCTTAATAACAACATTACAAATCAAAACATTTTTATCAGCAGTACTCCACATTATTTAAAGATCAAACTAATACTAGTTTCACAGAGATAAGCATCAGAAACAAACAAAAGCTGATCATTTACCGGAAAGCTTGTTGCTCCATACGCATGACGAATTAATGTTCAAATAAATAAATTTTTTTATACATATATCATCTTTGAAATACTGTTACCTAACCATCGGATTTCTCATAGAACAAATAGAATAGAAACTAAAATACAGGCTACTCCCAAACTGCTTGAAAAACACTAATCATGTCATCGCCTCAAACTAGATCACCTTCGCCTCCGTTCAATAATTCAACATTTATATTACCAACGTCTATAATGAGTTCACATGATCATCAATTCAATAATCCTAATAATACACAACATAGGCAATTAAGCCCACAGACTATATCAAGCTTACATCATCATCAACAGCTGCAGCATCAACAATTACAAAATCATCAACAGAATAATCATAGTCATCAAAACCAAAGTCATCAAAATCAACCTTATTATTTACATCCACAACAATTACGTCTGCAGCCAACTGTTACGCATCACAATTCTTCCTCATCCGCTTCACTGATTGATGAAGTCAGTTTTACCCAAGAAAAAATAGATAAGGAGTTACAAATAAAAGATCGAGATATGCCGAAAAAGGAATTAGATATCGAACTTCATACTTCTATTAGTGCTGAAAATTCAAAATCCGTCATAAACCTTTCGAAAATTAAAGAAGCCATAACTGAAGAAACTAACGAAATCGAGACTTTAACACCGAAGATTTCAATTAACACATCTATTACACCCCCAACATCATCATCAACTACTTCCTCGAGCACATTAAAGTCATGCAAAAGGTCATCGTCAGCCTCGAATGATCTTTTGTACGAAAGGGATAGGTTCAGAGCCAGATTGAAAAGTTTCAATGATTGTAGTCATTGTGAGGGGTCAAGTAAAGATACAAAATCTGAGGGTAAAGCATGTGAAGTTTGTGATGGTATCGGGTTCAAAACAGCTAAACTTAATATGAATCATTTACATCTGCTACATCCGACAGAATTAAGCGAAAATGTAGATGATGTTACACATGAGGAAGTGGAAAAAAATATATTCGACTTCAAACATATTACAATTCAAAACTTAAAACTTATATTTCATAAATACTTCAACTCAACACTACCCAAAACCCAAGACGTATTTCCCTGGCTTCATGGTTTACATAATGATAATTTCGCTCAAAAGTCATTTTTTCTACAACAACAACAACAATTACAACAAAAACTAGGTATAAATAACAACTTCTTTTTCGATTATGACTTAACCAAACCCAAGTCGACAAAATTCTTAATGAGTATAAGTGATGAAACTTTACCAATACAACTACATAATAGTGTCAAGATAAGTGAAATACTACAGAAAATAGATGTCTCAAAACTGGAAATTAAGAATATAATAGAATCAATATGGGATGACGAAATCATAGATCATAAATTTTTGGATGTCTTGGTTAATGATTGTATTTCGTTAAATGTTTTACCAATTTTTTTAAATTTAGATCCTGATAGAGGTATATCATTAAGAAATTTTCATATTCAAGTTGCTAAATTACTGACTTGTTCTGATTTTGTAATATATGGTTCCGATAAAAATAAAATGATGTCAATGGCTAGAGTTTTGTGGCTAGCTCAAAAATATGACCAACAACAATACTCGGTTGAAACAGTTGAAGAGAAAACGATTTACATTTTAGATGATGATATTTTAGATAATTGTGATATTTATGAACAGTTATCAAATGATGAAGATGATGACTCTATAAATGTACCATTGAAGCATTATTTCAATTTTTCAAAAATTAATCCCCAAAGGTTGAATTATAAAGTCAAGGATCCTTCATTAATATGGGAAAATGATTTCCAACTAAATGAAAAAATTGAAACCACTAAAATGTCAACAGCAACTAAAATAAATCAAAATGTTTGGGTTGGTAACTTTTGGGATTTTCAAATAATGAAACATTATATCAATGTCAAGAAGAAGATAGAATCAAATCACAACTCCATCCAAAAAGATGCATATAATGATCCACAAAATTCATTAATTTTACATAAGAACCTAAGGTCAAGAGATTTCATTGATTTATTGCCTAGACCCAAATCAAATTACAAATTATTTTTACATTGTCATTCTGATGCAACTTTTCCTGATTTAAATGAATTATCAAAATTATTATTCCAATACACAATTTCGAGTCATGATGATAATGAAGAACAAGAAAGACATTATTTGAATTTCCCACCTTCTGGATCGCTTGGAATAGGTGATTGTAAAAGAGAAAATTTAAATCTGATTATTAACACCTGTAAACTAATTTATTTATATTCTTCATCAAATAATGACAGAGGATTAAGTTCATTAATTTATTGCTCTGATGGGTATACTGAATCTTCATTATTTGTATTTTGCTTCATGATTTATTCATTGAACATTAGTTTGGATGAAGCTATTTTGCAATTGCATCTAAAATATGGTAGGCCATATTATATATTCAATAGTGATGTTATTATATTAAATAAATTGGAACCATTGTTGAGAAAATTCAGTCCTTTGAATTTAGGTGAAAAGATGTCTTGGTCAAAATTAGAAGAATTGAACGCTACTGAAATCAACGAAATATTATTGGGTAGACCTAAAGTTCAGAATAATACCAGATTGGGTTATATTGTGAATAGCGATGATGAGGATGATAATTATGGACAACACCATGTTGATTCTAGTGATTTTGACACCAGTTCCTCGAATGATGATGATGATGACGACGATGATGATGTTTCAGATAATGAAAGTGAGGAATCTGAATTGAAAAATTTTCAAATTGATTGGGTCAAAGAAGTCGAAGGATCAATTCCATCAAAGATTTTACCTTATCTATACCTTGGGTCATTGAAACATGCATCATGCTTACCACTTTTAAACAAACTAGGTATTAAAAAAATCATATCAGTTGGTGAAAATTTACCTTGGATTAATGGTTATAAATTTCAAAAATATAATAATATTTTAGTTGATGAACTTGAAGATCAGAATATTGAATTTTTCAATATCATTCCTAAAAACCCTAATTCAAAATCAAAATTACATTGGAATACAACAATTGAAACAATAATGAAAGTAAATAATCTTGAAGATGATGGAATAGATGAATTATCTCAACAATTACCTTCGATGTTAGAATTTATTGAAAAGGAATTTACTAGAACCAATGGTCAAACCAAAATATTAATTCATTGTAGAGTTGGGGTATCCAGAAGTGCAACTGTTGTTATTGCAGAAATAATGAGAAGGTTACAAATTAATTTATCAATGGCTTATCTTTATGTTAGAGTTAGAAGATTAAATATTATTATTCAACCTAATCTAAGGTTCATGTATGAATTATTCAAATGGGAAGAACTGATCAAATTAGAGACTAAAAATCAATTTTTAAAAGGGCAAACAGGTGAATCTGAAGTTGTCAATTATAATGATGGTAGTATTTACTTAAGAGAGATTGATTGGTTTATAATGTGTCGTGAGATAATGAAGTTGAATATTCCATATTTGAATAATTAGAAACACCTTACAATGTTACAGTTTTTAGTTCTTATTAGTTATGTGTATTACTTAAGCTGGATTTTTGTTCACGTTAGATCTAGATTTGTAGATTAATCTAATTATTGGGATAGATAAACTCCTCTTCATTTACATAATCTTGCACTTGATAATACTAATGTTAATTTGGTAGTGTCTGCCAGTTCAATACTCTTCAATATTTTTTTTCTCATTCTTTTCGATCTTTCCCTTTTTTAATAAAGGATACAAATCTAGTAATACAGAGTTCAAATTTGAGATATCTCAGTCTTATACTTAATAAACCAATTACATCGCTAAACCAATATTAAAAACAAACATAAAAGTTTGATCAATCCTTAATTTTTCAAGGGGTTCCCCACTTAATTCCTTATTTCACAAAGATATCATACTTTTTGCACATTTTAATTCAACCAAATAAACTCGATAAGTATAAATGTCATCGAATCACTCAAATCCATTACTAGTGGATCCCTCAATTGTATCAATAGATCCGTCACATTATCCTTCAAAAAGACCAAGTAAAAATAATAAAAGACTGCAATCACATACATCAATAAATAATTTGGATCCCAGTAATGCTCTAAGTAAATTATTAGACAGTGCAATGGCTCATGCTGCCAAGGAAAATACACCTGAATCATATGTGGATGACAATAACAATGTTGATGATCTGTTCAATGATACTGAAAATTCCACTGAAAATGTATCAAAGAGTCAAGTTGAAGACGAATTCAATTTAATATCTTCTACTATACCCCCAAAAAAATATGGACTTCCCAATATATATACGATAAATCATTTATTACAATTAAGAGACGAAATAGAGTTGATTGAATTCAGTGATACTTTACCAGATTTATCATTTTGGAGATTAAAGCCAGTAAGAGAACAAGGAAACGGAAGATCCTTCAATAATAATTTAAATAACACTGGTGAACCATTCAATAACAAAAGTAAAAAATTTAGAAGACATCAACATGAAACCTGGGAAAGAAACAAGTCCGAGAAACCACATCAAAGGAATAATCGTCATGGTTTTAATAAAGCTCAAGAATTAGAATCTTTGAGCGATGAAAAAATATCTCAATTGTTGGGTGAAGTTCCAGACGAGTTAGATCCAGAATGGGATGATGATATTATAGATTCATCAAAACAACAAAATGGTAAAAAGAGTATTGCGTTAGATGATTCCTCAAAAATGTCAATGGCTGTTATGGGACAAACTGTTGAAGATTTCGAAAAATGGAAATATCAAATGAAATTGGAAGAACGTAAAAAGAATGGAGAAATAATTGATGAAGAAAAAGAAAAATTGAAACAAAAAGAAGTTGTTGCTGCTTTAAATGTTGGTAATGAGGTTGATAATTTCTTTTCATTTGTAAAGCCTTCTACAAAAGAAGAATCTATCATCAGTACTTCCACTCCAAAAGATGAAATTAAGCAACAAGGTGGTAATAGTCAAAGTAATAGTAGATCTTCAAGGTTCACATCATTTTTTCAAGAGCCAAGTTCTTCTATTCATGGAATTGATTCAACTGAAAAGAGTAAAAATGATGGAGTTAGCACGCCACAGTCAGTTTCAAAACCAACGAATGGTCCACCACCAGGATTCTCCAAATTTTTTGGGGGAAACAATCAAGCTTCTCAAGCATCTACACCAGGAAGTGACTTGCACTCACAACCACCTCATTTACAAAGCAGATCATCATTACCTATTTCACAACAGCAGTTACCAAAACTACAACAACAAACACCTACCTCCAATTCAGCAAGTCAGATCCCACTTCAGCAACAACAGCCTCAAAATTCTTCATCGAATGATAATTTCTTCTTGTCCTTATTAAAGAGAAAGGAAAGTACTCATGGTACATCGACAGATAATAACTCACCAACCAATGAAGGAAAATTTGACATAAAAGCTGCACTCAATCAACATCATCAAAGTCAAGTACCAAAAGATGAAGACAAAGGCTCAACTGATAATAATGAGTCGAACAAATCACCAATTATCAACATGCAGCAACAAAATCAACATCAAAATCAACGATCAAAGGTACCCCCTCAACAGTTTTCTCAGAACCAGCATCCTCATTTACCACAACAACACCCTAACTTTCCACCAGGTATTCCGTTGAACCAATTACCTCCATGGTTACTTAATGGCGCCAATTTACCACCACATCTTCAACAACAACCACAACAACAACATGCTAAAAATTTTCCACCACCTGGTTTTCAATCTCAACCGGTTCAACAATCCCCGTCATCTCCTCAATTACATCAACATAACGATTTTTCGCACCAACAACCACTGCAGCAACAGCAAAATCAAGGAAGTCAACAACATCCTCAGCAATCTCCTCAACGTCAATCACAACAATTTCCATTTCCACCACATGCTGGGTCTGGTAATAGAGGGTTTCCACCACAAGCACCACCACCAGGTTTGTTTCCTAATGGATTCATTCCACCTCACATGCATTTACCACCATTTAATCAATATGGTCCACCACCTCCAGGATTACAAAATCATCAGCAACAACCTCAGCAAATACAGCCTCTTGGATTAAATCCTCAATCTTTAAGTAATCAGCAGCCAAATCACCAAAGTTTACCACCTCACTTATTGAATAACCCTAATGCTAGATTCATTCCACCTCAATACTTACAACTGAAAGGATTGTCTCATCCTAACCAAGGACCTCCTCCACATCATCATTCACATCAACAGCAGCAACACCAACCTCAAGATTCCGGAACTTCATAAATGCTTTTGACAATTCAATTTGCTCATCTGTGAGTAGTATGAAAAAGATTGTGCTTGAAATGTACCCGAACTAAATCTATCTTACTCTAATGCTCCAGCTCTTGTTGTAGTTCTCTTGTTCCTTCTTGTCTGCGAAACTGCGGATGATTCAATGTTCCGAATTTAATTCTGACAAAGTACAATCGGTGAAATTTTGAAAGTTTTCACTACAAAACGAACTTAGACTAAATCGACAAGAGTAACGAGCTTTTACGACTAAACACAACAATTCATCAAAATAGAATGCAGAGTATCAAAAGTGTTGGTAAAAATGAGTAATTGATTTTCAAATAACAAGTAACTATATGGAATTGTATTACAAAGCTGGGCTCATAGGCCATCTGATTTTTTGGCTTTATTCTCGACTGTTTAAAATTTTTTAATGGATTATAATCTACTACCAGCTCCTCCACTATTTGTTTTCAAAAGCCGTTTCATCTAGTTAATGGCATATCGCCAGTTATTTCATTATTCAAAATATCACTTATGTTAAAAACTTTTTCTTGAAATTTGAATCTTTCTTTACACCATTCTTGCCATATTTCAGTAATTAAAAACTGAGTTTCTTGAAACATAATAAATTCTTTGAAGCAACATTGTTTAATTAACCAATCTTTATTCAATTGTTGAAAAATTTCTTGTTTATCATTAATTATAACCGATCTTAATTTTGTAATTTCTGATCCTTTTATATCTGAATTTTCTTCCATTAACTTTTTAAATCTTGTTTCATTTTCCTTTATTCTCTTGTTAAGTGTGTCAATTTGATTTACGGATAATTTTTTACTTCTTTCAAATAATTCTTGAAGTGAATATAAATAATCCATGAAATTTTTGAATTTTTCCAACGTTTTGGTATTGATCAAATAGTTGTCATCAATTATCAATTGAGAAGCTTTATTATAGTATTCACCAATTTTAGATAGGTTTGAGTTTATAGCTTCAATGTCGTTATTTTGCAAATATTGAGATGTGTTGCTAACTGATTGTTCCTGTTGGTCATTAGAGTTGATTGGAGGTGGTGGATAAATTGCGTAGTCTAGTCTTTTGAATTGATTCAAAATTTCAACAAACTTCTGATTATCGTAACTTTGTTGTTGTTGTCTTCTTTCATGTCTTTCAATGATAATTACAATCTTTGTCCATTTTTCAATAATGAATCTAATATTTTGTTCAGCGATTGACCAATTTCTCAAAAAGTTCTGACTTATACTTGGCCAAATTATATTAATAAATTGAGTTTGAATTTTTTCTCCCTTGAATTCCAAAGAATAGTCGATTTTGGCCTGTTTCTTCCATGTTGTTAAATCGGTAGGTACAGTTAAAAAAGTTTGAACAATTGGTTCTTCTTTAAAAACTGGATGCTTAATCAATTGGTTCAAGAACCTATGTAGTCCACGTCTTCTTCTTTGTAAAAATTGGGAATCAGGTGAGGCTCCTACTATAGTGAATTAGTATATGAGTGATAGATATAGAAAATGTAGAAATTTCAAAACATACCAGTAAATTTTTTGGGAGGTAGACCCGGTATAACTCTAAATGGATATTTCTCTAACAAATATTCCAATAACCTAATTATGAGTTAGTATCGCCATCGCTGATTAATAAGTTTTATTAGACATACCATGCAAAGTCCGAGTATCTTCTTATTACCTTTTTTTGAGCGCTTGAGGAGATGGTTCCTAAACTTAGATTGTGTACAATTATGTAATTGATGTGTTTGAACAACAAACCTTCTTTTTCCGGTACTTCTTTAATCTTGATCAAATCTTCACCTGACCATAACGGTTTGAATTCATTTCTTATGTCTTCGATATACTTCTCTACGAACTGGCTATCTTCAGGGCTAGTCTTTTTAGTGTTGTCCCCATCATCGTTATTGTCATTATCTTCATCATTCAAGGCGATTGAAGTATTTGAATGATCAGTCAAAATTGGATCAATTACTTTAGATTGATTATTCCAGTCATCCACATCAGATTCGTCATCTTGATTTCTAGATGTGTTAGCCATCAAGGGGTCGTCGAATTTTGAATTCTGTTTTTCCAGTTTTTCAATTAGTTTTAAAAATTTTTGAGGTAATTCAGGTAAACTATTCAGTTTAAATTGTAAAGTGACGAAGTCTCCTGATCCTGGTACATCTATTTCTAATGCTATTAATCCTAAAATTTGATAAAATTTCGATGTGTTTGTAACTGGTAATAGGTCATTGTCATATATTATGTCCAAAAGTTTCAGTTTTTGATAGCTTGTTAAATATTCTAGTTCAACCAATTTATTTAAAATATGAAACTCAAAATCGTTTATATTGGAAATCTTATCAATCAATTCAGAATGTAAAGTCTCATAACTTTGAGGAATATTAGTGAGAGAACTATGAGTTTGTATTGATGATTGATTATTATTATGAATAGGGGATGAAGTTAATGCAGGAGTAGAACTATCTCGATTTAGTAATTGTGACGATGTTAAATACGTTGATTGATATGGTTGTTGTTTTTGAAGATTGTTATCATCCCAATTAGTAGCTGACGAAGACCATGGATCTTCCTCCTCTTGACCAGTATTGAATATGCTTGAGCTCATGGTATTCTAGGATAAATGAATTGATGAATATGAAACAATTGTTGGAATAATTGAAAATGATCGATTTGAATGGAAATGGAAATAGAGAGATCGGTAAAATATTCTGTTTTTGTTGAAATCAAATTTGTGATCTTTTTGATAAGAATTTATTTTATAGAGATATTCTAATCAGTTGAACTGATTAATAGCTAAAGAACATCAAAATTAAGAGACAATAAGTACGGTCACCATGTAAATGATTTATCTATTTTATTCAAAATTATAAAACTTTTATTCAATCTATCAAACCTTGGCCAATTTCTTTTTAGCTTCTTCTTTAACATCATCTTGATCACTTTCACTTAATTCTTTCAATATATTAATACAAATTTCTTTAACTGGTGGTCTATACATGATCAAAAATTGAAAAGCTAAAAATCCCATAGATGACCTTTCTGGATCAAAACATAAATTTTTAATCTTTTGTAACATCTCTTCATTTAAAATTGGTAAATCACTTAATAATCTTAAAAATATTTTTCTGTCATTTGCTTCTAAATAATTTATCATAGCTTCTAATACTTTATTTGCCCATTTGTAATACACTGGAGTTTTAACATCTTGAAATAAAATTTTCGAATTTGGTTGAGTTTCAGAATTATCTGATTTTGATAAAATTCTATCTTGTTGAAAAGCCTGTTCACTAAACCATTCTTCATTTAACCATTCAATGACTACATCTACCCTTGAATGAATATTTTCAATAAAATAATTGAATAAAGAATCTCTTATCATATTTGATAAATCCTCATTAGCTTGATCATCTGGTGATTTATCTTCTATTTCATCTTCTTCAGCATTTGTTCTCATTCCTCTTGTAGCTAGTCTTGTCAACAATAAAACCCATGTGTCTTTTTTGAATGATTTGATGGCAATATCCGTTAATTCATTGCTGAATTGATCTTTATTTTTAGTTACATCCGTACCATTTGAAGTCTTAGTTATTGCTTGCTTTATTTGTACAGGATTTGTATTTGCAGGCAAATCTAGTTTTGCTAATTTGAAAAAATTATCTATTATTATTTTAAAATGCTCTTTTTTTTCTTCAAATGACAAATCTTTGGCTGGGGGTAGTGTAAAAAATGGTTCTTCTACATCCTCCGCATCCTCATCATCTCCATCTTGATCTTCATCATCTTCGTCTTCCTCTTTTTTTATTTTGAGGTCTTGATTGGAGTCAATCCCTGGTTCTGTTTTCACATTAGCTTCGTTTTTCAAATTGTCAAATGCTGGTGTACCACTTTCTGATTTTAATTTTTTGTTGGGTACTTGAGGATTTGATAATGCATCTTTATACCTTTCTCCAACAATTTCTAACGCTTTAGTCAATTTTGGAACCGAAGCTTTCTTCAATGCATTGATTACCATCTTGGAATAAAATTGTGGTGGGATTGTTTTGAAATCAAATTGATTCAATCCATTTGATGGATCTAGTAAAGTATATAGACTTTTATAATCCAAGCTCTTGATTTTTTTTGAAGGATTATAAAAACCTTCAAATTTTCTTTTATTGGGTCTTGGTAAGTCAAGAGTGAATAAATTCTTCTTTTTAATTTCATTTCCTTGATCTGTCAAATAAGCAATTTTGGCATCAATAGAATCTTTGAATTGATTCGGTACTAATCCACATCGTTTAGCATGACTTAAAAATATTCTTATTGATCTATCAACATATTTTTTGGATAATCTGAACTGTTCCAATGATTGATAGTTTGATTGCAATTTTGTCTCTGAATCATAACTTTCAACGGCTTTTAATAATGAAGGTGCTAATTGAGGTTTCTTTTTCAATACTATAACACAATGATTTAAAGTTGCCGAGATCAATTGTGGTATCATTATATCTAAACTAAATACCTTCAAAATTAAATTATTAAACAATGCAGAAGATTCATATTCCATATTTTGATAAGAAATTAATGTATGATTAGCTGGTACATTCGATAATGAAAAACCAGGATTTTCAATAGGTTCACCAACGATTTGAGTTTTACTTTGATAATCAATGACAGTCATTAAAAATTTCAATAATTCTAATTTTGTAGCAATATTTCTTATTAAATCATGTTCTACATTATCCGAATTTTCTAATGGATAATTTGTATTAAATTTATTAACTAAAGAATTTTTTAATTCAGTTAATTTTGTCCATAATTGAACTGATCCATCATTTTCCGCAATATACTTAAACACAAGTTTGTAAACCACTAATGATATATCGATTAAATTCTTAAAACTTATAACATCATGACCTTGTTGATGATCTAGATTATTGGTTATTTGTTGTTGTTGTTGAATGTTTATAGGTATATTCATTAGAAAAATTAAAGTATCAAGAGAGTCAATTGCAAGATCTACTTTATCATTAATAGTCAAATTTCCACCATTTTGACCAGTTATTAATGTTCCATGTATGAAATCTATTCCCCATTTTTTAATTAAATTAGATTGATTATTATTTATAATTGGTAAAATTTGTTTATAAATTTTGGTAAAGATTTCTGGTTTTGATACCGTTAGTTTCTTAGCTTCTTCCAACTGACTAACTATTACTTGAGGTGTAGGAGGTTGAGCTATCGACATTGTTAATTTGTTATAAGTTATTGCGTGAAATAATTGGTATTAGTTATGATGATAAAGATGAAAGCACAACACGAGTTCCAAAGCAAGCAAACAAACGTAGCTCGACCTTACTTCGTGTTCAATGTGAGTGATTAAAAGGAACGTTAAGACGTTATCAGCGTTTAGACTATTTTTATTCAGTTATAATCTAAAAAAGAATCGGTTGTTTAATGTTGATATGAAAGAAATAAAAACAAGCTCACAAAATTTTCTTACTTTCAATTAATTTGGTGCTACCAAAATGGCCATGCAAGGTTGGAGTAACAAATGACTATAAAGCTGTTTGCCTCACTTAGGTTGTCAGTGTAAAAGGTGTCAATTGAGTCATAACTTTGTAGCTTTAGAGTGCAATGAATCAGTACCCGACTCTTCAAAGTAAATCGATGAAAAGAATTCAAATTTGGTGTTTGGTACAAGTTTTGAATTTTTTTGCAACAATTTTTATCGATCTTTATCACTGATCATCAAGTTTCAACAATATAAGCATAGAATCACTTTTTTGCTAACCTTAATAAACCATGAGCTTCAAAGTCCATAACCAAGACAGTAGATTATTTCTGAGCAAAGCAGGAACTTTGAACATGAGTTGATGTAGTTTTGAAGTTCAATGTCAAAAATATCATCTTGTCGTATTTTAAGGAAAAGGGTCGGGAACATGAAATTCTTTTTACTAAAATTATTTGCACTAAACAGTAAACTTCATTTTATCAATCAGAGAATCAGTCTCTACATGAAAGTAGGAGAAGATAAGATTCGTCTAGCATTGGAAGAAATACGTAAGAATATCAAGCAACTAGTTGAAGAAACAAGTCGAAAATATCAATTAAATCAAGAATTGTTATATAAATATGGTGAATCATCAAATATTTTGGTTGATTATAATTTAAAAAATCAAAAATTGAATCATTTACAAGAAAAAGAATTAATTGAAAAAATTAAAGATTTAAATGATTTAGGCGAAGCTCCTTCAATTCAAAAATTAAGAGTTTTAGCTTATGGAATATTAAAAAAAAATGGGGATTTTTCAAGTTTGGGGAAATCATGGCATTCTACTTTTTTAGCAAGGCAAGCAAATCTTTTTAAAGTTGATAAAGGAAAAGTTAAAACTAAAGTATGACCAAATGTTTGGCGTGGTATTTACTGAAACAAATTGATCTAGTTTAGAGCTGTCAGCCATCACAGCATTGGACGGATTGAACTTGATCTTATCATTTGGTAAAATTGAACGTCTTGCATATAGACTCAACAAACATTAGATCAAACAAGTTTTATCATGTCTTGGTTCAAAGGCGACCTTTAATCACCAATTGCAACTTCATCGAGCTTTGGAAATCGCGCTATTTGTATCATGTTTTTGTGTTTGACGGTGAGATCAAGTAACAAAATCCAGTGATAAGTCCGTAAGTACTCAAAATTTTATAATTTACAATTACTAGCATTTTGGTTTCGTTGCATCAAGTAAGACAAATTGTTTTTTTTTTTTTTTCAACTCTTGTTTTGGTTAGATTGATTTAACAATTATAATCACGAAATGTTTTTGTTTTTGCGTTATTGATTTGAAGTTTTAGTGAATTATGACTTTGAACGCATGAAACAATAGAATTTTAGAAACTAATATTTATACAATGCATGATCTCAATTATTTTCCGAATATGATTTTTGAGTCATTTGATGAATTGAACAACTTCGAAAGATCTACAGATGCTTTATTTAATTCCATTCCTAATTTCATTCATTGAAATTGTCAATGCTGTTACAGTGCCTCAAGTTAAAACTACTGCTGATGATTTATCAAATAAATATTTAGTCACCTCATTACCAGGTATGGAATCACTTCCAAAAGATTATTCTAAACCCATAATGTATGCCGGAGAAATTCAATTGTATCCTCAAAATGATTCAAATTATTTCTTTTGGAAATTTATTGATTCGGCAAAACCTAAAGGAAGTAAAAATATAACTACATTCTGGTTAAATGGAGGACCAGGTTGTTCATCTTTAGAAGGTGCATTTTTAGAAAATGGACCATATAGAATAAGTAAATCATTGAAATTGGAAGTAAATAATGGATCATGGCATAAGGTATCGGATATGATTTATGTCGATCAACCTGTTGGAACTGGATTCAGTTTTGCTAATAAAGATATTTATTTATCTGAGTTAGATCAAGTTGCTCAATATTTCATCAAATTTTTAGAAAAGTATTTTGAAATTTTCCCACAAGACTTAAAAAATGATTTGTATTTATCTGGAGAATCATATGCTGGTCAATATATTCCTTACATCGCCAATGCTATATTGAAAAGAAATGCTAATTTGCCCAATGACAAAAAATTCAATTTAAAAAGTATATTGCTTGGAAATGGAGCTGTATCACCTGATGAACAAAGTTCAAGTTTCGTTCCATTTTTTCAAGAAAAAAATCTAATCAATGTGAATGATAAATCAAATCGTTATTTACAAAACGTTGTATTACCAGAGTATGAATCATGTAAAGATACTATTCAACTGCAAAATGTCTCCGATACAACTATTGGAGAAGCAAACGGTGATGATTGTAGTAGATTATTAGATGATTTATTATATGTAACTCGTAATAAATCAGCACCAACAAATCAACAATGTATTAATGTTTATGATTATACATTGAGAGATTCATATCCATCATGTGGTGGAAATTTCCCACCAACTTCATCATATTTGACATCATATTTAAATCAACCATCAGTTATTCAGAGTATAAATGTTAATAAAACTATATCATGGCAAGCATGTAGTAGTCAAACTTACAATTTATTTTCAGCAATAAATTCAAAACCTTCAGTTACAATTTTACCTGATATTTTGAAACTAATACCAATAGTTTTATATAGTGGAGCAGATGATATAATTTGTAATACTAAAGGAGTAATTGGTTATTTACAAAAAATGAAATGGCAAGGTTCAATTGGATTTACAGATGTTAATAAAACTTCACCATGGATTGTTGGAAATGAAAAAGCTGGTTGGGTATTACAAGAAAGAAATTTAACATTTGTAAATGTTTTTAATGCTAGTCATTTGGTTCCATATTCTCAACCATTAATTTCAAGATCTTTATTTGATTTTGTTTTAAATACTTTTTCAAAAAAGATTGTAAATGGTGAAACTAATTATATTTCTTCCAAAATATAATAGACCAAAATTCAAGGAATACATCTTGAACACTAGTTATTAGCATACCCTTCATCAATCAATTCATAAAGGTCTAGACTTAATACATATGATGATGTATATCTATATACAGTACTTCTATTATTATTTATTGTTTCAGATCTGCAAATGTTTCATAAATTTTCTATTTTCAACTTTGTAAGATTTACATAAAAAATCTAAGAAAATCTTAATCAGATGATATGAATTGTACATATTTAGCAACATTTTATATCATTATTTTTGGCTGACTTATGCTCTCTTGTTCTAAAGATTTTTATCCAACATTATCCAAAGGGGCTTCACTTGTCATAGCTTCAGCCTTACTACTAAAACAATTTTTACAATTAACAACGCGACTGAATATTTTTTTTGACACAAAATTGAAATTATAAAATAAGGTACCAAAAATTGTCAATTCATTTTCGTTTCACTTTTATTGCAGATATCATATGTCAAGTTAAAACTAGCAAATTACACCCTATCATTATAACATTTCTTATTTTCACTTCAAAAGCTTCACTATAGCATCACCATCAAATGTACAATCAATCATACTACTACTAGATAAACAAACACCTCATTACAAACAATGGCTGATCAGAAATTGAGAGATCATCTTGATGCTGATCGAGCTATAAAGAAATATGATTTAAATCTATCAACTTTCAACATGGTCAAAATAAATGATTTCCATAACTATAATTGCTCAACAATATTTTGGTATTTTTATATGTGGATAATAATATTTTTATCTTTAATTTTATTAGCAATTGATATATATTCATGCTTAAATATTTTAGTATTTCATAAATGGGGAACTGGGGATTATAAACCTTATGCTTATTCTATAGCTAAATGGATTTTCACAGGATGTATAATATTTCAATTCATTTTATTAATATATTATTGGATTTGGGCCATTCATATTTATAAATCAAAAAATATTGCATTAGTCTACCTAAGTTCAATTTGTAAAAAAATTTATTCAATTAAAAATTATAATTATTTTTGTTTATTTAATAGTATTGATGAAGGAAAATTCTTTGATGTTTGCTGCTTTTTATCATATTATGAAATTTATGAAAATGCTTTACAAATATTAATAGCTGATACTCCAAGACAAGTTATCAATGTCTTGACTTTAAGATATTATGCCACTGGTGGTGAATTAAATAACGATATATTGGGGAATATTCAAGAAATTGCTAAAACAAATTTGAATCTTTCAATAATTTTAAGTTTTATGTGTCTTTCAGTTTTCATTTATGCTATTTTCTTTTTCAAATTTTTATTTGGAATCATTATGTATATTCCTTTGAAATGTGTTTTAGTTGAAGGTAAATATAGAACTTTAAAAAGTTATTGTTCATATTTAATTAATGAATCAGTATCTCAAGCTGTAATGAAACATCATAGATCAAAAAGAGAAATGCTTGAAGAAGGAATAGTTAGTGAAGAAAGATTTAATAAAATCATTCAATTAGATAAATATCCATCTGATTATAAAGATTATACCAGAGTATACCATTATTCAAGAACTGATTCTAATGAAAGTATTCCAATGAATGATATAACTAGTTCAAAAACTCATTTATTACAAAACAATAATGAAACACAACCTTCGTTACATCAAAAGCCATCTTATGATCATATTCCACAATTTACACAACAACAAGAACAAGTATTTTCTACCTTAAGCAATAATAAAGATCAAGTTCCATTTAATAGAAGATTAAGTCAATTACAAGAAAAGAATTATTCAAGAACAAATAAGAACGACTTAAGAAAACCTTCAAATTCAAATTCAATACAGTCGCAATTTCATAATAATGACCAACGAAATCCATCAAATTCAAACGCATTTCAATCACAAGATCAAGTTCAGGATATCTTTCAGAACAATCCAGATCAATACTCGCACACAGGATATAATCCTCAATTGATCAAGAATTTACCAGGAGAAACAATATCGTCAATCAATCCATTAATTAAAAATCCAAAAACAAGACTTCCAAGTAAACCGTCAAGATCATATACTCCAACGACAATAGATACTTACAATACGAGATCAAACCCCATACTACAAAATAAAAGTTTAGTTGATGAAGGAGCCTTTGAATTACCGGAGTTAGAATTGGATAATTTTACCAATAGTTCACTGGTAAAACCATTAGTCAAATCATCAACTGAACAATTTCATTATAACAACAATAAAAGTAAAAATGTTAAAAATTTACAAAGATCATGCACTGATGAATTAAACTATCAAAAAACAAATAACGTACTAAATCATTCAATTCCATCAAGAAAAGTTCCAAATCCATTTAATGAAGAAGAAGAATTATTTTTTCAAGAACCTCCAAGAACTACATCAAATCAAATAAATAATTCACCACCAATAAGTAGATATGAAGATGAGATTTTAGACGCTTACGATTTAGACAACGAGTTCAATGAGTCGAATAAAGATGTCAACGGTAACAATTTGAGTGTTCAAAATAATTCAGTACCGTACCCAGTAAGAGGTGTTTCCAAATACTTTGATTCTGAGAATCAAAGATTTTAATTAATTGCATTGGTTTGAGATTAGATTTTGAATAGATTTTACATATAAATATAAATTATGCATTAACTTTAGTTTTTTATTCTCATTATACCCATGTAACTTCATTTTAGTTACCTATTTACAAGTTTATGAACATTTCCAACTCTTAACCCTTGTTTTTTTGATGTTCAAGAGTTTCCTTCCCTTGAATAAAATCTAAGATAAAAATTTGAACCCAGACTTCAAATCAAGCTCTAGCACTCCAAGTTAGATATAATTATTTCTTTTCACCATATTGTTGTTGTAATTTACTTAATTCTTCATCACTAATAGGTGGAATAGGAATATCTGAAAAATCATCTTCTGTCATCTTATAAAAAGTATACCAATAAACAGCTAATGGAATTCCCCCAATTACAAATAATCCAATAGTATTTCTCCAAAAAAACGGTTGTCTAACTCTATATAATGCTGGTGTTATTTGATGAGTTATTGGATCTCGATAACGATCATGTCCTTTTCTTGAATAAAGGGAAAAAAGTTAGTATAAAGATTTGAAGAATGAAGATATTGAAGTATGTTGTGAGGTACGTACGGTGCTCCTACTATCTTTCCCATTAGTCTTAATGATCCACGCATTTTTTGTATTATATGGTTTTTGATGTTTGTTAGTGAACGGTTGTATTAATTTAGTTGTAATCTTTATAATTTAGAATTCGTATGATTTTGTTTCATTTTTTGTACCTTTGTTAATATATTGGCTACCAATTTTTGCAACTTCTTGAACTAAAGAGCTAGGGAGATAAATGAAAGACTAAATAAGAATAAGTAATTTTAAAAAGATTGGATAAGGATAGCTAATTTCGAAATAACCTACTTACTATTTCATCTACTTAATTCTCATCTGTAGGCTGGATCATCGTTGACCCTTTTTCTTTTTTTTGATCCTGAACCAAGAGTTGAACTTCCTTGACGAAGATCAACACCATCCACAATGTTAAATATAATTTTTGATTTACGGTTAGTCAATGATCCACGACTAGTATCAGCATCTATATTTATTTTAAGGAATAACTTCTTCAATTCGTTTGCACCTTCTGGCTCATCCACGCCGGTAACTTTCACTAACAATAAAGTTCGTAAATTGACACAATTGTCTAAATACAAGCAAGTCAAATCTTCAATTTCATTTTCTGATAAGTCTAATGATTTCAAACTTTGTGGAAAAGTTTGATTTGCTAGCATTGAATAATTAATTTCATTATCATTCAAATCTAATTCACTCAAATTACTCAAATTACTAAATTCTCCTTTGAATAGCTTCAATTTGTTGTTAGTGATGCTTAAGGAAACCAACAGGTTTGGAAGTTTGTTGAGATCTACTACACTTATGACTGTGTCTCTAATACTTAATTGTTTCAAATTTGTACATTCAATCAATGACACTTGAGATACAAGCAGTTTGTGTTTCCTTGAACTTCCATGTTGTCTTCTTCTTCCCCAAAACCAATTTTTGTTCAGTAATTGCAATTGCTCTAATTTGGGTGCACCAAAAGTCACAGTATCTTTAACCTCGATTTTCCTCTTCTTACCAACCTTTTTCTTTGATACACCAGTGGATGTTTCGAAGTCTTCATCAATACATTTCAAAAGTTCACACAGATCAAGCATAATCATCCCAGTAGGACTGTTTATTTTGTTGCAGTTCAATTCTAAGTTTTCCAATTTCTTTAAGTTGTTGAAATTTGATCTGAATATATTATTAAGGTTGTTGTTTGAAAATACAATGTGCTTCAGCTCAGGATAAAACACAGCACTTTCAACGCTTGATATGGTACATTTTACAATTTCAATTTTAAACATGATTTTTGGCAAAGATGATAATACTTCCTTTAAATCAACATTCTTAATCTGTTCCAACCTTAAGCTACTGAGAGCTTCTAAATTTAAAACACGAACTTCAAGAGCTTCATATTCATCCTTAATCCACAACAGTCTTAGCTTTGGAAGTCGTTTGAGGCAGTGACCAATCAAAAAGCGTCTACCGTCAACGGAAAAATCTGAGTCTTCAAATCGAGTGTTTGTTCCTTCACTCACAGCTCTAAATAATTCAGCAACTTTTTCGTTCAGTATACTGTTTACAATTTTCATTTCTTCCAATGTTTTGGGAAAAGAACTTTTCATGAGTTGAAAAAGTGCATCACAATAGTCTACTGTTAATTTCCTTAAATTAAAATACTGTTCCATATTTCCCAAAACTTGTATGCGACATGAACGTAGCTCCAAATTTTTGATGGTTTTGGGCAATTGAATATCATCCAATGAGCCGACTCCGTTAAGACCATAGCAATAAAACAATTCAAGATTAGCTAATTCACTCAAATTAAGTTCAATTTCTTCACCTTTAAATGAAAGTTTTAGTTTTTTCAATGAATTTGAAAATACAACCTTGAACTGATTCAGATAGACAGTAGATAAGGATTCTAGTTTGCTAGCATTGATTATATCCAAAAGTTTTGCAAACTCTCTTTCTCTGATGGGATGAGTATTTGTTGATAATGAATAATTCTGCGAAACATCTATCAGCACTAAATTCGCATTTTTGCAAATATCCTCAAGCTTAGATATATTACTTTGATAATACAAAATTTCGTAATCAACTTGACTATAATCAATTAATTCATTTTTTGAACCCGAGTTCTGTACTTGCGATCTGGTTCGTCTAATAATGTTGGAACTCCCTTTTTTTTCCTCAATATGTAGCAATTTATGGATGTCCTTTGTGTTCCCAATAATTCTTGTAGGTTTGAAACCATATTGTTTGAACAATGCATTTAGTGTTTGAATCGAACCATCTCTTGTTGAATAGCTAGTTTCATCTAGTTTGAATTTGGAATACCTTTCTTTTATAGCGTATTGTTGTAAAGCTGGAATTTCAATTAATTGTTCAATTTTTGATCTATCATTGATATATTTGATGATTAGGAACAAGAGTTCCTCCGGTAGTTGGAGAAATATTTTCATTGTTGTGATGGGAAAGTTGGTTTGAAGATTAGTAGTAAAAGAAAATGTAATGTGGAATTAAAATTTGGTTGCCATTTATTTTAAAAAATTATATTTTGGACGTGATTTTCGACCAGCTACCATATGACGTTTCATATCTTTATCGTCTAAATTTGAAATTTGGTCAAGCAAGATGCCTACATCTGTCTGGTTCTAAATTAACCACGAGTTATCACATCATTTTTCGTTAGTTTTTCTTTCGTATATGAGTTGGTTCAATCCAGGCTCAAAATTAAACAAAATTAAATTTCACATCATCAACAGCATTAAAAAAACTCTAGGCTGTGGAATATTCACCTAGAAGAAAGTTTCAAATAAAACAAAAAGAACGGAAAAAACGCTGGTTTCATCAAATACTTCGTTCATTGATCCCATACAAATATATAGCCACTACCTACTCTCATTATATGATTTTGCTTAATTGTTTCTCCAAATCTTGCAAGTCGAAACAATCACCCAATTCAGCTCTTTTAATTTCAATACATTTAATACCTTGTGCTTCAAGAAGTTCAAAATCAATTTCAATTTTTGGATCTTTCATGTAAATTAAATGAGTAATAACTTTATCCCATTTTAATTCCTTATGATCATGATTATCATGTTGATTTTTTAAAGAATATTCAGTAGATTCAATTATAACTTTTATAAAATCATATGCAGTCATTCCAAATGTTTCTCGATCTAAACATCCATTTAATAAAAGTAATTTATTTTTACATTTTAAACTTGTTGTTATTGCTTTTCCTATTCCTCTTAATACTAAAATTGGAACTATACTAGTCATCAATGAACCAATTGAATATATTAATGTATCTGTATTTGTGATTGTTGAAATTACTCTTGAGTTAGCAGTGGGACATATTTCTTCTCCGTAAGGTGATATATAAAATATTCTTTTAATTGGTGATAATAAAGGTTCTATATTTTCTGATTTATTAAAATGTAGTTGAGATTTTTTCAATTCTGGATGAATGTATTGTGGAGCATTACTTGATTCTTCTTCATCTGAATCATCTGAGATGGGAGTACTCGATAAAGATTCTGAACTTTGACTATTATGTAATTTACTCATTTCAACTTCATTAATAATAATATTATTTACATCTGAATCCATAAAATAATTAGTTCTTGAAAGATCATCATTGGGAGTAGGTGGACGAGTTTTATCAATAGGTGGAGGATGATTATCAATTGGACTTTCTGAAGGATGTGATATTTGTGATTGACCGGTAATAATCAATCCGTTTTGTAGTAATGCACTTATATGATATGTGAAATTTGTGTTTATACATGGTAATACTTGAATATTTGAATTTATATCAGTTAATTTACAAAATAATTCTATAGCTGAATCTAAGGAGCCAATGAATAATCTTGCACCAGTTAAAAATAAATTCCCTACATTTGCTAATTCATATCGAAATTGTCTTTTAGTAGATAAATTAATTCTTGATCTTTTTAATAATTCAACATGTAAATGAACAAAAAAACTTCTAAAAATTTCTTTAGTACTTGAATTTATTTTATTCCATAATTCAGAAGTTCCTTCAACTATAGAATTCCATTGTTGCTTTGCGATTATGGGGTCCAGTGATAGTCTAAAGCTTAACAATTCTTTAATATGTTCTTGATGTAATGGTATTAATCTTGTTAACCGTGATCTAATATCTCCGATGGCTGGTCCTCCAATTACTCTTATAATTTCTGCTGTTGATCCTCCATTATCTGATATTGGAATTATGTATGATGTGGAATTACTATTTGATAAATTTGTAAATATTGGAGTTAATTCGTTGGTGGCTGTTCCTCCAGATAGTATCGTTATGTTTGGCATTTATATTATATATGAGAAATGGATTAGTTTCTGACAACAACCCAATTACACTAAATGATACTTCATTTAATTCAGAATTGACTAGAACTAATTATTTCATAAAATTAATTATTAAAAGACTCGACGTATTACTGCCGTTGACGGTAAATTTTGATTGTAATACGTGTTCTTGTTTGTTTTTATATGTAAGTAGATCTATTAATGATAGTTACCTCGTAGAATAATACTTCTATTTCGAGTTTAAACTCCGTAAGTATTACACCCAAACTTGGTAGCAATAGTCCCAACTACTTTCAAATATAGGAGTATAACCAACTTTCCTAAAATATCAATTGTTAAACCTGTAGCATCAAAATACTATTCATCGAGTTGTATCAAACATTCAATTAGCTCGTGGCTAATAAATGCGCCAAATTTGGTGGTTATGAAGTTTCAATTTTTTTGCAGCCAATTCTTGTCAGTGTAAACTTTATGTAATACATTATATTTATAATTATCCAAGAATGAGACTGAAGAGTTTGAGTCTGATTCAAACCTGTTATTACAGGGACTAGACGTCAGTGACAAACAAGAGTGGCTTGTAATTAGTGAGTTCTAGCTCTCAGATGTTGATTCATAATGACTGTTTATTCATAACAAGTTCAAGCTTTAACGTCACTACTAACTGATTAGATGTTCTGAAATTTACGCTTTGAAGCGTAAATTATTTGAACTAAGATCAAAACTTGTCAGGTGCACTACTTTATTACTTGGCTACCACTTGTACTTTTTTTTTTTTTTTTTGCAGTAATTAAGGATGAAACAAAAATTTTTCATATTTTTCAAGCTTCAGAATTTATATAATTTTCATTCAAAACTTATCAATTGCATAGTATATAATGTCTGATCAAGAAGTTTTAGTTTTAAGAGGAACCTTAGAAGGTCACAATGGTTGGGTTACTTCATTAGCCACTACTCCAGTCCATCCAGATTTATTATTATCAGGATCAAGGGATAAAACTTTAATTAAATGGAAATTAACTGGAGGTGAAGATAATCAATATGGTATTCCAAAAAAATCATTCACTGGTCATTCACATATTGTTCAAGATGTTACCATCTCAACTGATGGTGCTTATGCTTTATCAGCTTCATGGGATAAAACTTTAAGATTATGGGATTTAGAATCAGGTGAAACCACCAGATTCGTTGGTCATAAAGGAGATGTTTTATCAGTTTCAATTGCTAAAAACTCAAGACAAATTGTTTCTGCTTCAAGAGATAAAACTGTTAAAGTTTGGAACACCATTGGTGAATGTATGGCTACTTTAACCGGTCACAACGATTGGGTATCAGCTGTTAGAATTTCACCATCAGGTAACAACTCATCAGTTATCTCAGCTTCATGGGATAAAACCGTTAAAGTATGTTTTTTTTTACTTTTTACTCTACTACCAAAATTTGGAGAAATTTTTATGATGATTGATTTTATTTGCTACTTCAGACGTTGCATTGGCTTCGAATGAGACATAATTTTTATCACCAAGATCTCTGATTGAAATTTCAATATATTAATTTTTCAAAGAATAAAAAATACTAACTAAAATTTTTTTTTTAGTCATGGGATTTAACTGATTACTCAACTAATGCTGATTTCATTGGTCACACTGGATATATTTCATGTATCACTTTATCACCAGATGGATCATTATGTGCTTCAGCTGGTAAAGATGGTGTTATCATCTTATGGGACTTAAACTCAAACAAAACCTTATACACTTTAGATGCTAAAGCTGAAGTTTCAGCATTAGCTTTCTCACCAAACAGATACTGGTTAGCTGCTGCCACTACATCTGGAATCAAAATCTTCAAATTACAAGAAAGATCATTATTAGATGAATTAAAACCAGAATTTGCTATTGGTGCTAATGCTAAAGACCCAGAAGCTATTTCATTAGCTTGGTCTGCTGATGGTCAAAACTTATTTGCAGGTTACACTGATAATGTCATTAGAGTTTGGCAAGTTATGACTCCATCCGCTTAGGAAGTTTGGAGTTGATGGTTTGTTGTGTAAATTCAATATAATTCTGTACAATATAAAATAGTTTAAACTTTTGACATTTATTATAATTATACAAGCAATCTCACTCTATTAAATATATCTTACCACTTGCACTTCCTCCTACTGCCCAATTTTGAGTAGGATGCAAAGTACAAACAGCAGGAACAGCACCTAATCCATTAGTTAAGTGAGCTAATATATTACCTTTTTCATCGTAAATATCCATTTTTCTACTCATATTCGCGATAATAAATTTCTGAACTCCATCAGCAGGGTTTTCTTGCCATTTTGATTTTATAATTGAAACCCATCTTCCACTTTGACAATTGTGTTTTATTCTATTGAATGGAACCAAATTATCTGGTAATGTTATTACATTATCATCTTTTTGATTTTTATTTTTAACATTTCCTGGCATATACTTATCATTCCATTTTGTAATTTCAGGATTAGAATCATTAAAATTAAAAAGATCGATATAATCAGCATAACCATTGCATACAATATGATTATTTATATTCCAATCAACACAAGAAACAGATAATTTTGAGGTGAAATTACCATACATATGAGGAGACTTTTGATCTTCATATTCTGAATACTCCAGTTTTGAAATATTTCTTAAATCCCATAATCTCATAGTTCTATCTAATGATGCTGTTGCTATTTGATACCAATTATTTGGATTTATTGCAAAACCACCAATTTTTTTATCAGCTAATCTTAACAAAGTCTTGTTTCTTCCACTCGGTTTAGTTCTCATATCATAATTATAAAATAACCCATCTAGTGTAGTCATGTATAGCAAATTAGGGTTTTCACGAACAATATTGATATCACTTATACCTCCTAGACTAGAATCATTTAAGGAAAAAACTTCTTCACTTGATAATTTGTTTAAATCTAATGATCTTATACTTCCATCATATGACGAACTGAAAATCTTTTGTAATTGATTTGGTGGTGTTAATAATTTCGAAATATTTCCTCCGTGAGGTTTTAAGATTGAAATTGTAGGATTATCTTCATCACTTGAATCAGGAATCCAAATACCTAGATTACCATTTGTATCACCGGCAGCTACTATTCTTTCCGTAGTTGATGGATGAAACACAATTGATGTTATCCTGTTATGAGTTAGTTTTATATCCAATGGATCAAATTTGGAATAAATTTTTTTGGAACTAAATTCCTTTCTTTTACTTTCAACATCTTTATCTTGATTCAGTGCTAATTTTTCATTTTTTGTTATTTGCTCATAAAAGTCACCAGCAGAATATTTATTACCTAATGATTGAATTAATTTCAAAACTTCATTTTCTTTTTCCAACATTTTCTCATCTGTCTCTATTTCTTCACCTTCAGCCTTTGCTTTCATTTGAGGTCTTATTTTATTTTCAAACAACATCCCACCCTTCTGTTTATCAGTTATTAAGTCAATCAATTTAAAATCTCCAAATAATTTAGTTCTCTTTAAAGTTTCAAGTTCTCTTTTTTCACGTTCCTTTGCTTCATTTTCCTCCCTTTGCTTCTCAAATTCTTCAGGATTCTCATTTTCTAACTGGATACCTCTTAATCTACTTGATCTTCTTGTTGGTATATTTTTTTCTTTAGGTTCCTTTTTAGTCACTAATTTTCGTTTTTTTGTTGTAGGTTGTGGTGATGGTGATGATCTTTCGATTTCTTTTGATATATTGTTTGATAGCGAGTCAAGATTTAACTTTTGCAAAAGTTCTTTGTTCCTTTGAATATTCTCCTGCCTTTTCTTTTCAAATTCTGATAAAGCCATGATTAATTAAGTTTGAAGACTTCTCAACGTCAACTCCTTAACAGATTGAAGAATTAGTAAATCAAGACGCGTCATGTTTTTAAAGCTACCAACATCTCCATTATCCATTAATATTACACAAAGCTATTCACATATACGAGATCGTAAATTACTTTCAAAATCCATTCTACAAAATATCTAATCGAACTACTTATCCCTGACATAGCGTAAAACATCCCCACATAAGTACAAGCTACCACAAATTATGATCGGTTGATCTTTGAGTTTCTCATTATTTTTTAAATGATTAAAAACATCCTCAATATAAGCATTTTCAGATACAATTTCACTGGTACTACCCAAGTCGTGACAAGATTTTTCGATTTTGGAAATCAGTTCAGAAGTAATCCATGGCATTTGTTCAGGTTGATTAAACAGACTTGGTATGATTATATCATTTGGAGAAACAAGATGTTTTAATATCGAGTTCAAATTCTTGCCCTTTGTTACACCGATTATAAATATTTTAGGTTCATTTGGATAAGTTTGCTTCAAAAATTTACCTAATTCAATTGCTGCACTTTCATTATGTGCTCCATCTAGTAGAATTTTTCTCGAAGTTTGAGGTATTGTGATATATTGCAATCTTCCTGGCCAGTTTGTTCGTTGTATACCTTCATTTATTATTTCTTTTGTGATTTGATTATTATAGTAAGTTCTATTTACGTATTCCACTAACGCTAATGCGAGTGATAGATTATGTACTTGGTATTGACCTTTCAATGGGCTTAATTTTATAAATTCTTCACTTTCTTCACTGGGTTTAACTATAATTGCATTAGACGAGTTAGATTCACATGCTTCCTTTATTACATCAATCACTTTTGTATCATTCAGTGAGTCAATAAAGCACGGTATATTGGGTTTGACAATACCTGCTTTTTCTTTCGCTATTAGTTGAATTGAATCGCCCAATAATTTTTCATGATCCATTCCTATTTTGGTAATTCCAGTTGCCACAACACCTCCGTTTTCTTTTGAATTATATGGTTCCAAAACATTAGTAGCATCTAATCTTCCACCCACACCTACTTCAATTAATGCTAATTCTACTTTTTCAATTTCAAATATTTTGAATGCAGTAGCTGCCAATATTTCAAATTCTGTACATCTCAATTTCAATTCTTCATCAATCTGCAACACGTCCTTATTGACGTCGTCAAATTTCGTTCGAGGGTAAATCTTATTGTTTATAGTGATACAATCATTTAATTCTATTAAATGAGGTGATGTAAATTTACCATTTTTTATCTTATGAGTTTGAGTTAATATTGAAGAAATATAAGCTAAAGTTGATCCTTTTCCATTTGTGCCAGCTAAATGAATTGACTTATATTTAAGATGAGGATTGTTCAAATGAGATAGTAGTTTTGCTATTCGTGATAAGCCTAGATCTATAGGCATCTTAATGTGCTATCGCTAGAGTTTAAATTTACGGGGAAAAATCAGATTTCAATTTGATCAACTTTATCATACATACATACATACATTATTCATTACATTTGATGAGATGAAAACAAATGAAGATTCGAATCAGTCATATATACAAGAAAGATTAAATTCTCTTTCGAGCATAGATCATAAAGTGGTTAATCTAATACAGAATTTTTCCAATTTATTCGAAAATTATTCAACAAACAACAAAGATGAAAATAAATTCATAGAAAATACAAGTAAAATTTTTCAAACTTTAAGTAACGTAGCCATTGATTTAAGAAAAGAAGTTAAAATTATGGATGAAAATATTGGATGTTTTGACAATAATAAAGATCAAATTATGATTTTGCCTATTAATGTTGATCAAAAAAATGGAAAATTAGGAAAGAAGAAGTTGGATTCCGAAATAAATGAGTTAAAAAGTTTACTTGGTGACAGTCGTTCTAGTGATGATGTAAAAATGGAAAATGAGTCAGAAGATACTGGTAAATTGGGGAACAACATACAGCCCATTATTAAGGAAGAGAAGGAAGAACCTAGAGTGAAACCAGAAGTGAATGAGAAAGAAGCCATAACAGTAGAAGATGAACCTACGACAACACCAATTAATGATAATGATATAATAACGATTGACGAAGATATCAAAAATAATGACGACGAAGATGACGATATGGAGGATTTATTTTAACTTTTGAGTACACAAGATTTTACTACTACAATACCTATATCTCTTCAAGATAACCTTGTTGGATCAATCTTTCTACATCACTTCTCCTCACATAAAATTGAGAATCTTTTATTAAGTTGAATGATCCATATTCAGTAGTTACATCACCTCCATCTTTCAAACATCTGACATCAATAAATATTTCAGTAGGTGGTTTCAAATCACCAGTTAAGTCCAAATATTCACCAAATTTAGACTTATAAGTTGTTATTAAATTTGAATAATTCTTGTAAAAGTCTTGTTCATAATGATTCAAATTATTAAGATCTAATTGAGTTGTATAATTCGGTATTAGTTTTTGTTGCTGTGGTTGATACTTTGGTTTTAGGTTATTATTATTGTTGGATGAATCTGTGGATTGAAGATTTGAGTTATTATTTTGCGTATTTGTGTTCGTGTCTTCATTCATCACATTGCTTCCTGAAATAGATTCAGTTGGATCAATATTCAACCAACTGAATTCGATCAATTTGTCACTCCTCAATTTTTCATAAGCTAATAAACACCTTTTATTCCTCCTCATTGATAAATGAGTTACAAAATTTTGACATTGGTTTATCTTATAATCTTCTTCTACATGCTCTTCTGCTATTTCTCCACCACCGGCTGCTCGATCTTCTCTTTCTATTTGTAAGTTGTCTCTGATAATGGATAAATATTCTGCGTCTTTATTCAAATCATTTACTTCTTTTATTATATTTTGTACTATATCAGCCTGATAAATAGGAATGCTTGGTAAATTTGAGAATCTTTTTGCTTCTAATATCAACTTATTCGCCTGGTCTCCATACATTTTGATAATTCCAAATTATTACAATTTCTGAGTTTTTATAACTCGCTAAATCTAGGAATCAAAGTAATTGTAGATTAAATTATGAACAAATTACTTCGTGATGTATTGTTTATCATAGTTACAAAATCATGTTATATATTTACACGCGATCTCAATAGGAATTTTTACGCTATTTGTGTAATGACATGAAGCCTGTTTTAGAACACCAAACATGCGACATTAAAATTGGTAAACTTTTGCTTATCAACAATCACTTAGGCTAATATGCAAAAATCAGGAACATTGGAATAAGTAAAGTAAGATTGATGATTCTATGGGAGAAACAGAGATACTTTGAATCAGCGTGCCTTTTCATACAATGAATACACGACAAATCGTTTTCTCAGATAATTATAATTCCACTCAAGAGCCAATGCAAACTTTTTTGTCAATCGATTTACTGCTGTTCTTCCTGATAATTGCAGTAATTACATTGATAACCTTTATAAATTTATCCTGAATATAGAGACTTCGCAAGTTACTTTGTTGATGAATCTTTAATTAGGCTAATTAATTTATTTTTTTTTTGCTCCTAATTTTTACGACAACAAAGAAAAAGTTAAAATTTTGGTTAAGTGTTAATTACTATTCATGATAAAGAGTTTAATATTTCATTAATCAATTCAACAAAACATTTAGTCATACTTCATTGGACAAGCAACATTTCATAACACTGGTTTTATCTATTCAAAAGAACAAGCATAAATTCAAAATACTACTGACGTTTTCCAAATTCAGATATTTCATTTCCCTTACATCCATTCCATTCTTCTCCACAATTTTAATTATCATAATACTTGTTTAAGCATATTTTTCGGATATTTGGTTAATAAAGTTGATCCTTATTTTCAAGTTTAACTTCTTTTCAATTCTTCTTGTTTTTATTTCATAGCATATAATGGCATTTACATCTGAAAATTCACCTTTATCACAGGATAATTTATCACCGACTAATTCTATTAGTTATTCCTTGGATTCTACTATAACAAATCAACAACAATCACAATCGCAGCCACTTCAACCCTCACTAAATAATCTAGAGTCGGATAATGTTAACAATAATCATAATCACACTGATGAAAACTTCTTTTTACCTGCGGCATATTGTTTTATATCAAATCAAAAAGTTTATTTTGAACCAATTGAGGACGAATCAGAAGAAGATGAGGACATAAGAAACAATATAGCTGATACTTTCAAGAAAATATCCATCGTGAAAGATGATTCCGATTATTTACCAGATAAATTATATTTGAAAAACAAGAATTTTCTATATTCGTTGAACAATCCCTCTGTATCTGATGTTGAAACAGACACAAACAATAATAATAATACTTCAACAATTAACTCAAGTGGAACCTATTCAAATGGTAATACCCTCGAATTACCAGCGGGAAACAATAACACAACTTTTGATTCATCAGCAAACCTATCAAATTCATCATCTCCATCTTTAACAGAAAACTCGAATAAAAATTCAACATCCTCCATATATTTCCCGAAACTAGTTATAAATCTATCAAAAAATCTTGAGAATGGATTTATAGAACTAAAAAATTTAATAATGAAAGTATTCCCCAATTGGACAGATTCATCAAACTTAAAAATTACTCAAGTCACAGGTGGTATTACCAACATGTTATTATCATGTAAATACGACAATGAAACTATATTAATTAGAGTGTATGGTCATGGAACAAATTTAATTATTGATAGACATCGTGAATTTATAAGTCATTTAATTTTAAATTCAATAGATTTAGCACCACAAGTATTTGCCAGATTTAAAAATGGTTTAGTTTATGGGTTCTTGTCAGGTCATTCATTAAAACCAGAAGAGCTTAGTGATTCAAACATATACCCGTTAATAGCTCAGCAATTAGGTAATTGGCATAAATCACTTAACTATAAACTAATAGAAGAAGGTGTTGATAAAATTCGAGCATTGAAACTTAACAAAAGAAGAAATTCCTTCAGTAAAAAGAAACCAAGTAAGAAAAAAAGATTTATATCTAACATTTGGGAATTGATTAATGATTGGATTGAGATTGTTCCTATAAACCCGGATTTGATAGATTCGTTCAGATCAAATTTACCCGGAGTTGAAGTTAATGAAAATAATTTAATTGAAGTTATTAAAAATGAGTTTAATTGGTTAAAACTGACATTAGAATCAGTAAAATCACCTATAGTATCTAGTCATTGTGACTTGCTATCAGGTAACGTCATTATTCCAGATAAGTTAGAAGATTACCAAAATTTACCGTCGATAGAGTCAAATCCCGTCAAATTTATTGATTATGAATATATGCTACCAGCACCACGAGCGTTTGATATTGCTAATCATTTCGCAGAATGGCAAGGTTTTGATTGTGATAGAACCGCCATTCCCGAACCATCTATAAATAATCCAGTCATTGTTAAATGGTGTAAAAGTTATTTAAATAATTCGATCAATTTCGGTGAAAAAGAAGAGGAACAAGAAATCGAAGAACTTGTAGATGAAATTTCAATGTTTTATGGATTACCTGGTTTTTATTGGGGTATTTGGGCAATGATTCAAAGTGAATTATCAAATATTGATTTTAATTATTCAAATTATGGAAAATTAAGATTAGAAGAATATTGGGATTGGAAAAATAAAAATAAAGATAAATTGAAAATTATCGACCGATCTAATATATAATTTCACTTATTTGTATTATATAGTATGTAAGAAAAGACTTATTACTTCGCATTATCGTCTTAAATCAACAATTGTAGTGTAATGAGTTCTTGAAGAAACCAAAATACACCATTTATGACCCTTTAACAGTTCTTTCACTAAATTATTTAAAATATTCATTGCAAAAGATTTTGGTAAATTATTAGAACTGAAAACAACTTTTCTAATCCACTCATCTTGTTGATGTATTGAAGTTATACTAATCATATCCAATACTTCATCTCTTAAATCAAATGTTAATACTGGACCTTGAGCTAAACTTTGTATAGTTTTGGAACCTATTGATTTTGCTTTGTTTTCAACTTCCCATCTTTCTCGTTTATTATTTTTACGACCTCTTGGTGCTTCATTATTAACAACAATAACTTTTTGATTTAGTTCTATCAAGTTTGTGCTTTCTTCTGTCTTTGTTTCATCGTATTCAGTTTCAATTTCATCTTCATCGTATTCTTGAACTACTGTTTCATCTTCACCTAATTCGATGGATAAAAATTGTACCAAATCATCATAGTTATCAAAATCTGCGTCTTTCCCGGACCTTAGGCATTTGATTTTAAGTGGTTTGTAGATGGATGATTTTTTACTATGCTTTTTATTAACAAGTTGTTGAGATTGTCTTATTAATACAACAAATTGCGCCCCATCCAAATGAGCTTGGTGAATTATTTCATCTTGAGTTCTAGCATTTAAAATATCTGCACTAATGTTCTTTGACCATAATTTTCCAAGTATTTCATAACCACAAATATCAATATTATCTTGTTGCGTGGAACTTACAATTACATCACATCGATTACCTTTCCATCTAAGTAAATCAATTTTATTTGGGATCTTTCTAGATATTATGTTTTTCATTAATGTGAATAAAAATGACGTTGTTAAGGTGAATCCCACGGCGTTATATTGTTTTGATGAATTTGAACTTGTTGTGGTAACTGAAATATCTCTAAATGAATTGATCAATGAATCAAATCTACCGCCTGTGATAATTCTATTAAGTCTTTTAGATTTTTCGCTTTTTAGAACAGCTTGGAACATGAGCCCATGACGATAATACTGATTATCATAATTAACCAATGGATTGAATAATATTTCACTTTGTACTTGAAATTGTTTGAGTATCTCTAATACTTTTATTAAATATGCAAAGGACTTTTCAACTTTTATCAAATGTGGTGAATCTATCATTAGTTTTTGAAGTTTGTGCCTGGCTTCGTGTATGGAACAAGTAAATTTAAAATTCCCAATTAAATCTTCAATTACAGTTCGTGGTATTTGAAAGTCTTCTCGTAGTATCTTTTTCACCTCATTATTAGTTTTATCAATACCCAATTGAGATAGCACTTGAAAGACGTCTATTTTCTTTTTATCCTCAATTGGTACGTTTTCAAATGCAAAAGAAACCACAGAATTCAAAATTTCATGACTATTGATTAATATTACTTTCTGAACTGGTAGATCTGGTATCATGTGTAAAATTTCATCAGCAATTTTAATACATTCGGCATCATTATTTATAATATCACTATCCAAAGAGCTAATGATATTAAAATTCATAGCACTATATTTCTCTGGCATTCCAACACCTCTCAAATTTGGTCTGTAAACAAATTCATGTCGAAAAAATTTTGATACATTCACCTCGTTTTTACTAAGAAATCTAGCAACCGGTAAAATTAAATCATAAGGCAATGTAACGACTGATCCACTTTTATCCAAAAATTCATAAACTTGATTTTTTTGTAAATTTGGAATCTTTGGTAGAACTAAATTGGTATTAATATTTTCAACAGCTCCATGTTTATGAAAAATTCCGACTAGTTCATGCACAATTTTATTGAATAATAAATAATCACCAGCCAGGTATTCTGAGTACGTATTTCCACTGTCAAATAGTAGATCTTTTGCTAGCGAGTATGGCTGATTGAATAAAGTTTCTCTAACTTGTTGTTGCCATGGCGATGCGGGATCAGCCAATGATTTTAATGCTTCTCTTATTACTTGGTCTTGATGCTCTATTGGTAAGTTGCTACTTTGTAATAGATCGGATGCACTTGGTCTTTCCTCTGGATTATGATTCAACAATTGTTCTACAATATTTTTCTCTAATGAATTCTTCCAATTTGAGGGATACACTTGTTGTCTCAACTTATTCAAAATCATTGCTCTTTCCATACCGGTAGCTAATGGATAACACATTTCGAAAAAAATCACCCCTAAGGAAAACATATCAACCTTGTCATCATACCTACCTGATGCTACTTCCGGAGCAGTATACAAAGCAGTTCCAACAACAGTCGACAAATCACCACCACCATTTTTATTTGCAGTTTTATCAATTTGTAATTTTTGTTGAATCGATGGTAAGAATTGTGAATTTTTAGCGAGCCCAAAATCTCCCACTTTTATATTGTTTGATCGATCTATGAAAATATTCATTGGTTTCAAATCTCTATGAATAAATCCTTCTCGATGAATGTAAGATACGGCTTCCAACAATTGTCGAAATAGTCTCCAATACTCATTCGGATTTCCTGGTAAGCCTTGTTCAATCAAGTTCATTAATGTATTATTCTCACAAAACTCCATTTGAATGTAAAGTATAGATTTTGGAAATAAAACTTGTTTATTTTTAGGTGAATGTGTCACCACAGCTATATCATTACTTGATGACAGTGCCGTTGTATCGGCATTTTCCTCCTTTTCATTCGAATTGTCTATGTCAGTTGAATTTGCAAAAACAAACCCATCTTCATCATCGTCATCTTCAAATCTATTACCAAATGATTCATCGTCAAATTCAGTATTTGGATCAAATGATCTTGAAATGTAATCCACTTGGAATGAGCTATTATACGCAGGCAAGTAGGAAGAAGAACTTGTAAGTTGCAAATTGGAGGTGTCATTCTCTTCCGCTTCTATGGCCTCTTCATCCACAGTTGGAACGACAGAAGACAAATCAGAGTCCTTATTGTTATTGTCTAATTCCTCATCTTCCTCAACCCAGGTACTGTAATAGCGTACAATATATTGATGATTTAATCTCGCCAAGGACAATACTTCACTCAAAATTGAATCCAATTTATTTGCTCGATGCTTGATTTTTTTAATAGCGTAAAAAGTTCCTTCCATTCTATTACGAGATTTCACCACGTCACCAAACCCGCCTTTACCCAATCTACCTATCTCTTCAAAATCTCTATTGTACCTACTGTTTTTTTGTTTTTGTGACTCTGAGTTCAAGCTATTGGTTTCTTGATTTTTCAATTCATTTGAAAGTTTTCGTCGCGTTTTCATTGTGGGCGATCTTGGAAATTTATTAAGGTAATGCAAAGAAGGATTTTGCTTTAGGACAGGTCCATCACGTAAAAACTTTATCGCATTCAATTCCATCAACGTTGGTCTTTTGGAGGATTTCAGCTGCAATAATTTCAGTAAAAGGTCATATACCAGCTCAGCGTATTCTTCATTCTGGAGCTTCATTTTCTCAACGAAATTTTTATGAAAATCATCTGGTGTTGGAAAGTCTTTGATTAAAGTGTCTTTGCCCATGAATAATTTCAAGAGTAACACTCCCAAATCCCAAACATCTGTTTTAGGATTGTACATGCCAGTATTTTTAATTTCTGGAGCCTTCCATGACTCTGGTAACTGAAATTTATCTTTCAAAAATTTGCTCAGACCTTCATTTGGATAAGTTTCAATCATATGGTTCAATTTATAACCGTAAGATGGGTGACATAATTTGATGATTTTAAAGTCATTCAAAGCAGAACTATTTGATTCCGAATAAGCACTATTGTCAACAATGGTTACGTCATCAAAAATTACGACGGTAAGTGAACTGATCAGTTTGTGTATGATTCCTGAGTTATGCAATTGCTCTATAACGGGTATCAAATCCATCAACCATTTCCTAGTCAAAGGTAAACTCACGCCACCTTTTGAAGGTATCATATCATTCAACGACTCAGCAACAAATGAAAATTCGTTCAATAGTCGTACTTTCCAGCCTTGCACTTTATCAATTTGAAAACCTATAAGCTTTAAAATATGAGGATCCTTCAACTTTAAACAATTTTGAAGTTCTTTTTCAAGATCTTGAATTTCGTGTTTACCTTTATCTTTTTGCCAGTGTAAATTGGTCAAATCAATCTCCGTTAGTAGGTAAGTCAACTCAAGCCCTTGTCTATCTGCTAATTGTTGGATCTCTTTCGTAACAAAAGGCTTCACTATCATTTGTCTACCAATTGAACTAAATGTTCCCTTTTTAGTATATTTGATAAAGCCAGAAACTGCTCTGAACTTGAACTTGACTCTGCTATTGGGTAAAGAATCCTCCATTTCATTCTCAAACACAAAATAATTTTGTTGATCAACCGGTAACGGAACTATATCCTCAATATCATCTTCGTCATCTGATTCTTCTACTAGCTCTTTTTTGATTTTCTGGATTTGTTCATTCAATTCTTTGCTTCTTTTTTTAGTTGACAATTCCTTATCTCTTTGTTGCCTTGCTTCTTTTTCTTCTAATGCTTTTCTTTCATTTTTCAATCTTTGTTCCCTCTCTTCCTCTAATGATAAAACTTTTCCTGTCGTTGATTGGATCTCATCTAATATGAACTTCAGTTCGGAGATAATGGTAAATGATACTTCTTCTTCTTTATATTCTTTTATTAATTCATCGACCTTTGATTTTAATTTGGCAACATGAGCCTTCAACAAATTATTCGGATTCAAAAACTTGACTTTTGGAGAGCTTAATGGGTATGTTGGAGTAAACTCTATATCCAATACAATTGATACTTCAGGATTATCAGGTACTTCATGTGATGATAAGTTTACTTGAAAATGAGGAGGTGGCTTTCTATTCCATATTAGATCCTTGGGAGTTATATTTTTGAATATATCACCGTAAATTGATTCAATACTATTTAATTCATCTTCTTGTCTATGTTCTAATTCCAGTGAAATTGACTCTTCCTTCATATATTAGATGATGATCTTGGTTTCAATTTTCAATTTGTACCAGCTCTCAGTGTGTGTGTCTTATAACTTCTATAATAACCGTAAGGGTAATGATTCTCGTTAATAAAATGTAAGACTGTGATGTATGATTAAAATTTTTAAGTTACTCTTTTTGGTCTACTTGTTTAAATCTGATGTAAATAGATAATGTTTATCGATTTTGTGTGAAAAAATAAAAGTTGATACAAGTTTCATATTTTTATAAGGACGTGTTTCACCTCACATTTTCTTTCTAAAAATCAACCTTTCCAATTCCACATAAATGCCATTAGTTGATCACATAGAAAATGGAGAGGATACGATTAGAATTCTACTAACGACTGACAATCATGTTGGTTACTCCGAAAATGATCCTATACGAGGAGACGATAGTTGGAAATCATTTGAAGAAATTACCCAAATTGCCAAAAACTCAGATGTGGATATGATGATTCAAGGTGGTGATTTGTTTCATATAAATAAGCCCTCAAAAAAGTCATTGTATCATGTCATGAAATCTTTAAGAAATAATTGTATGGGTGATAAACCATGTCAGATAGAATTATTAAGTGATCCAAAATCATGTCTATCTAATGGTGTTGACGAAGTTAATTATGAAGATCCTAATTTAAACATATCTGTCCCTGTATTCGCTATTAGTGGAAATCATGATGATGCGACTGGAGATGGGTTACTATCAGCATTAGATGTTTTAGCTATTTCTGGTCTAGTCAATTATTTCGGTAAAGTCAAAGACACTGAGTCTATTACAGTGAAACCTATATTATTACAAAAAGGAACTACAAAATTAGCATTGTATGGAATGTCAAATGTTAGAGATGAAAGACTACATAGATTGTTTCGAGATGGAGGAGTTAAATTTGAAAGACCCAGTGTTGATCTCGATGATTGGTTTAACTTATTTGTCATACATCAAAACCATGCCATGCACACTTTCAAATCAAGTATTCCTGAAAATTTTCTTCCTCATTTTTTGGACTTTGTATTATGGGGTCATGAACATGAATGTATAAATCATCCAGTACACAATCCAGAAACCTCATTTGATGTTTTACAAGCTGGTTCATCAATTGCTACATCTTTATCTGAAGGTGAGGTCGCAGATAAAAAAGTATTTATCATGAATATAAAAGGTAACGATTATTCAATTGAACCAATTGAATTGAAGACTGTTCGTCCATTTGTACTCAGGGAAATAGTTTTACTGAAAACTGATTTAATTCCTGGAGCAGCTTCAAAAGCTGATGTTATTGCATATTTAATTGACGAGGTTGAAAAATCAATTGAAAAAGCTAATTTATCATACAAAAGAAGTCATCCAGATTTAGCAGACGATGCTAAGATTCCATTACCTTTAATTAGATTACGAGTTGAATATAGTGGTGGTTATGAAATTGAAAACGTACGTAGATTTTCAAACCAATTTGTTGGTAAAATTGCAAATGTAAACGATGTGGTTCAATTTTACAAGAAAAAGGCATCCTCGAGTGCGCCAATCTCCAAAAAGACTAGGTTCGATGAAGAATTGATAGAAGAAAGTATGAATGAACGAACGAATGAGATTTCTTTGTCAGATATTGTCAGTGATTTTTTGAAACAGACACAATTAGCATTAATTCCTGAAGCTGGATTGAATGAAGCTGTGAAAAAGTATGTAGACAGTGATGATAAATATAGTCTCGTCCTGTTTTTAAAAGATGAAGTGTCAAAAGAATCCAAAAAGTTACTAAGTATTGATATTGATGAAGACGAATTTCACGGAAAAGATGAAGATGGTAAACATGCTAGAAACGCATTCAAACAAATTTTAATGCAAGTGAAAGGAATAGATAATTCTGCTATAATTAATTTGGATGATGGACCAAGCACCAATAAAAAAACAACAAAGAAAAAAACACCAGTTAAAAGTGCCGAGATATTGGATTCTGAAGATTCTGATGTTGAAATTTTAGACGATCAAGAGGTTGTCAAACCAAGATCTAAAACTAGTAGAAGATCCAAGTCACAAACACAATCTTATGCCGAAGATGAAGATCAAATGATTTTAAGTAGTGAAGATGAATACAATCCTGAGCCAGCTAAAACAACAAGAGGCGGAAGAGGCGCTAGAGGTGGTAGAGGTGGTAGAAGCAGAGGAAGTAAAAGTAGTCGAAAATAGTTGAATTAATGAGTTGATAAATTTTTAACGTATAATGTATAATGATTTAATGAATAAAACGAGATGAAGGGAATACTTTTAGCTATTAGGCTTGACTAAAGTTAGCTTAAAGATTTGTAGTTGAATTCTCAATCAATTTTTCAACACTAAAGTCATCACTACCTTCATTAAATTCTTTCAACAATTTTTCTTTTTCAGGAAATTGTCCTCCATAGAATTGTTGCAAATTCAAAACAAGTAAATGTGCTTCTGGCATAGTTAAACCACTTTCCTTCTCACAAATACCATTCATCAAAACAAGGTCTTTATCATGATTGAATTCTTGATGGAATGTTAAAATAGTATGGGGTCTTGAAAATTCTTGATTAATCTTGTATTCAGCTAAAGTGGTGATTAAACAATGGGTAGTATTTGGTCCAACGAATGCCCATTGAACAAATTCAAGCTCGTGACCATCTTGATGTGGTTTTGGTAAAGGTAATACAAAATAAGGATATTTATGAGCATTAGCGTAAATATCAGCAAATTGTTTAGAATCTAACGTCGCATGTAATGATCTATCCTTGTTAGCAAATCTGTGTTTCCATATTTCTTTAATGTCATAAGTTGGTAAATCTTTGGCTTTATCAACATCAATAAAATCGTTTAAAACTTTAAATGGTAATTGTTCTTGTTCTTTATTTGCTTTACTAATATTAATTACCGATCCGTCCTTGGGCTTTTCTTCATGTTGTTGTTTTTCCCAATCCTTAAACTCTTTCAAAGGATCAACACCACCTAAATTGAATTTAACTTTTTCAATTTCATCTTTATATTTTTCTTTCAATTCATCTAAATTGTTAATACCTAATTCTTTGGCTTTTTTTTCCAATAAATGCTTGTATTTATTTATAACATCAGAATTGATATTTTTCTCATTCTTGAATTGATTCAATAAGTTTGCACTTTCTTCCTTTCCTATTTCTTTAGCTTTTTCAGCTTGTTCTTTTGTTGTTTTTGTCGCTTCATTAACTGCGTTTTTGACTGGTTCCTTGACTTTATTGAATATATCTTTGGCTTTATCCCCAATTGATGAGTTGTATCTGACCTGGGAACAGACAGTGGTTTTAGCTCTAGCTATTAATGAGTATCTTTGAAGCATTGTAATATTAATGTCGGTAGCAAACTGTTGAAAGATGTAAAAGAAAAGTAGTGATTGCTTTCATAACTCATTTTAATTGCAAATATCCGGTTTTTTGCAACAACTTTCATATAATAATTTAAGAGAGAGAAGCTTAGAATTTTATGGAATTTACTTACTTAAATGGAAATAACGAAACAATAAAGCAATAGACGCATATGTCGAAGGAAATATTAAATCAAAAAGATCAATAAATAATAGGTAATATATTCAGAGTTGTGCTATGAAGTAATTGAGATTAATCTTTTTTTGTATCTTTAACAACTTTATCATCAGATGGAGCTTCTAAATCTAATATTTTCTCTTCTTTAGGTTTACTTTCATTAGCAGTTTGACCAGTACTATGTTCTAATGCTTCAGGTATTTTATTAAATTCCAATACATTTGTATCAATCAGTTGACCTTCACTTTCTAAGTAGTCTTTCAAATTAAATTTCTCATCTCTAATAAATCCTAAATTATCAGCAATCAAATGTCTACTTTTACATTCAGGACATTGAATTAAAACTGTACCATGTTCATAAGCTTGTTTAGACATATTATGTTTTGATCTTGTATCACACACATTACAAGTAAATTCAATTAATAATTCTCCTTGATCTACGTTTGGATCTGGTTGATTTGGCGAACCACTGGTTGACTGAAGTCTTTTGAAATTTAACGTTGTTGTGGAAACTTTGAAAACTGAAGTTGAATGCTGAGAGACGTATGATTTTGAAAAGGTACATACTTGCCTCTTAGTCGTTGGGATCAATTGTTTTTTGGTGAGTGATGCTTTAGCATTATTGCTTATACTTTTAAATATTGAAGATCTTTTGAACATTATTGCTTGAATCAATTGTAATTAAATGAAACTCAGTATAAAATCAAAATTACAAGATGAAGGAAGAAAGATGTTTCTTTAACAATTTTGTATCAATTCTACTTAAATAGCAAACTAAATATTCGAGATTTTAAGAGAGTTCCTTACATTATTATTCTTTGCTAATACTTGTAAGACTTGTCTCAAATTCAATTTATAATTCATTTTAACTCATGTTACATATTCAGATTTTTAAAGCATCAAGTTTCATAAATCGATTTAGCATTATAAATTAATTGATGAATTCACCTTGTACAACGCCACAAGTAATACGACGATTATTCGAATTATATTCTGTTCTATCTACTCATCACACCTCATCCTATGCTAATAAATACATTTCAACTTATTTACAGAACACGTCAGATTCGTCATTAAGAAATTCAAGATGGCTGATTTTAAATAAAAATAGAGATCCCAAGCGATTTGGTAAACACAGTAGAGATAGAGATCAATTACTATGTTCTAATCCAATACAATTTGGTATTAATGAAATGCTAGATACAAAATCGCTATTTAGAACTAAAAATCAATTCCATACGAGTAAAGAGAATTTAATTTCAAAATACCCCAAAGGTAGGAAGAATGATAATGTATACATAAATGACTTGAAATCGCTTATTGAGGCTTCATTCAATCCAAAGAAATCAATACCTTTGGTACAAGGACTTAGACAAACTTTCAAATATTATATTCAACGACTAAATAGTAATACCAATACTATGATAATTTTCAAACAAAATCAGAGATTATTTTCTTCCTCCGCATTAGATAATTGGAATCAATCATATTTGGAACTAAAAACTTATATCAATAAATTGAACCTTGAGAATGATGTGAAAAATAAAGAAAATTTTGAATTTAGTAAAGTTGTACACCCAGATATTTTGAATTTGGCTTTGAAAAGTCATCAATTATTTCAGGAAACTAATAATGTTGATAGAAAAATTGATCAAGTCTCATGGAAGATCATAGATGAAACACCGAATGATTTAGCGGGGCGGATTATTGACAATCAGAAATTCACTCTAATTGAGCAGAACAAAGTAATTGATATGAACCAAAACACGGGAAAGCTCAAACTAGAAATCGGTGATGTCTTTGATCTTTACAACAAGTTTGGAAGTCACGACATGCAATTTCTACTTCAAGATTTTGACTATGATTTACTATATAACCAATTTTTTATGTTGAATATCTTGAATAACACCAAAGTTGATGAAAAAAAATTATTACAAACGTTGGAGGTTAAACTCCCAGATTTTGAACTTATCGGGATCAAACTGAATAAAAGTATAGAAGTAGGTTTAAAATAGAATCATGTAAATATACAATTACTTTCATGGCTCTGATATTGAACGATGGGGGACAGTCTTATAATACTGTAGTAATCATTCTGATTGTTCTGTCTTCATGCCATCACGTCCATCGACTTAATCTATTAGACTTCGAGACGATAGTTTGAGCGAATAGTGATCAACTTGTAAATTTTGTTCGCTGAAGAGTTCCTTTCACACTTGATAATTTTAATGCGAAGAACATCACGGAATTTAGTTCTATGGTTTTTAAAAATATTTGATCTAACAGTAGTCACATCAAACAGAAAACTATGTCAAAACAAACTCCTAGTGAACCCGCCAGTACAACCACTACTACCAATGAGAAGCTATCGCCTGTGATATTCTGCATTGGTATGGCTGGATCAGGTAAAACTACCTTCATGCAAAGATTAAACGCATATTTACATCAAAAGAAACAAATCCCATATGTCATCAACTTAGATCCAGCCGTATTGAAGGTTCCATTTGGATGTAATATAGATATAAGAGATTCAATCAAGTATAAGAAAGTAATGGAAGAATATAATTTGGGACCTAATGGTGCAATTGTAACATCACTAAACTTATTTAGTACCAAAATTGATCAAGTTATAAAATTAGTTGATAAAAAGCAAGATAAAATTAAAGAAGTAATAATAGATACTCCCGGCCAAATTGAATGTTTTATATGGAGTGCAAGTGGGTCTATAATAACAGAAGCATTTGCATCAACTTATCCAACAATGATTGCTTATATAGTTGATACTCCTAGAAATACAAATCCAACTACATTCATGTCAAACATGTTATATGCTTGTTCAATACTATATAAAACTAAATTGCCAATGATTGTAGTGTTTAATAAAACCGATATTCAAAGTTGCGAATTTGCAAAAGAATGGATGTCTGATTTTGAATCATTTCAAGAAGCAATTAGAGTGAATCAAGAATTAAACAATGAATCTTCAAGTGGATATATGGCGTCATTGGTCAATTCGATGTCGTTGATGTTAGAAGAGTTTTATCAAAATTTGGATGTGGTTGGAGTTAGTTCATACACTGGTCAAGGTTTTGAAGAATTTTTGAATGCAGTAGATAATAAAGTTGACGAATATAATGAATATTATAAAACAGAAAGAGATAGAATATTGAAAAAGAAAGAAGAAGATGAGAAAAAAAGACAAACCAAAAACTTAAGCAAATTGATGAAAGATATGGATATGAATAGTAAAAAGAAGACAGCTCAAGATAGTGAAGTTTTATCAGATTATGAAACGGATGATAATATTGATGAAGATTTGCAAGGAGAAGTTTATCCCGATGATGAAGAGGAAGGATTGGGTCTTCCTTCAAGAGAATATACTTTCCCCGAAGATAGGTCAAGTGAATTGAATGAATCGACTGATGCTGATTTGAAAGAAAGATATAAAAAGGCACTAGAAGATAAAAGTCAGCCTATATCTTCACAAACAGCAGAGAACATTGCCCGTTATATAAATAGAAGTCAGTAATTTATTTGAATGCATTTTATGATTAGCTGAACGAACTAACAAATCTATCAACAACACCGTCGTATATACTTTCATGATCTAAAATTTGCAAATTCTCGGCCTCTGCTTTAAATACTTTGTCGGCTTTCGGACCACCAGGACCACCTAAATTAGGAATTGGCAGCTGCTGTTGTTGCTGTTGTTTGATCAACTCTTCTGCCTCATCTGAGCCCATAATCAATGAATAAACTGGTCTTAATCCCATTAAACTTATAAAATACCAAGATATGGATGATACATACCTGACATTCAAGTCAGGAGTCATAATTCCATTTTGTAACATAGATTTGAACCCGTCGGTTAATGGGAATGGTAATTTCATAATAACAAATCCAGCAAAGAAGTAATTAACCCATCCCATAATTAAAGTTTGAGGGATAAAGTTCATTAAATTACCTTTCGCCATTGACATTATAGCATCATTATTTGCTCCATCGAAAGGGTTCATATTTTCTTCCTTTGTTTCAGTTGATTTCTCTGCAAAGAATTCGTCAGTGTTTAAATTTGATATAAGATAAGTTTTATACGAATTGAATTCTTCTTGAGTCAATACTTGTTGATTTTCCCTAAAGCATTTCACTTTTTGCAAAAATTGACTAATAGGTTAGTAAACATGTTGAAACGTGCTATTTATATATCAGTGTTACATACGCTTGTCTTACTTTTTTGTAATCTTGAAGTTTTTGATTTGGTTGTATCAAGTATGTTATATTTGATCTTAACAACCCAACAAACACCATCGCTATAGATATAGGTAGCAACACCCAGTACTTCAATTGAGGATCTAGTAGTAAATCAGGAACTATCATATTTGCTGTGTTGATGATTAAAGGTTCAGTGTAGTACGAGTTTCATGAGAAATAGAAGAAAACATTCAGTTCGAATCGAATATTAAGACCAGAAAAGAAATACGAGGCTACCATGTCAGTTCGAATAATTGTTGCAACTTTGAAACACAAAAAAAAAAAAAAAAACATTAATTAATCGTGAAAATATTTATGCATTCATTACGTCTATAAATATACCTAATAGTGATTTAATCTCCATAAGGTAACTTTACCTGCTTCATTTCCTATTGCCAAAATTTCATTATTTGGTGAAAATGTAACACTTGTAACTTTTCCCAATGGGGTTCCACTTGTGGGCCAATTACTATATACAGATCCTGTTTGAACATGTACAAGTTTTAATGCATCTCTTTTGGCTCTTGATGCAATTGCTAAAATTTGACCATCTGCGTTGAATATTAATGTCGATATTGATGTGACCAAATTTTCGATAGTTTTAAATGGTTTTGGATTTGAGATATCAGTAAATAACGTTCTATCATATAAATTGATATAACCATTATTTGAACCAATGGCAACCCATCTTGAGTTTCTGCCTCCCAATTTTATTTTAGTAATTCCTACTCCGCCATCATCTGACCATTTTTTCAAAACTTTATTCTCTGATTTTGAAGTTAACTTCTCAGTCAAAGAAAATTCCCATACTTCCCCAGCAGAATTCACGACTACTACAAATTTTTCATCATGATCAAAATCAAAATCCACAACTGTACCTTCTATCTTAAAGCCTTTAATCCATTGACCAGTTATACCATTTATCAAATTGAACCAACCCGAATTTCCTATCATTCCAATATACGTTCCCTTATTACTAATCTTGAAACTTTCAAATGATTTTTGATTCTCTTCATGTCCATACATCCTACTGATCTTCTCAATTTCTCCTGTTTGTAAGTTTATTTTATTCATATATTTCCTTCTACCTGCCGCATATATGATCTTCTCATTCGGGTTCGGGTAAAACTGACAATTCATTATGGGACAATTTTTCAAGTAGTATGAAGTTATAAAATTATTTGTTTTCCCGTCTATTTGGTAAAGTCGTATAGTTTTATCAAAACCTGCGGTCAAAAGTATGGAGTGAGTTGGATGAAAAGAAAGTGCTTGTATGGCTGCTTTTGAATATTTTTGATAATTTGCATCTTTCAACCTCGTGATTGATATATTTGATGGTGATATTAGTTTTAATTGTTTTGTAGTTAAAAATTGATGAGTTGTTGATAAAAGTTTATTAAGTTTCTTAGTATTTGTTTGGGCATTTATACCTATCTGTTCTTCATCCTCTTCAGCACCGTCAATGACTATGTCGTCATCGGAGCTGTTCTCCTCATTATCTTGACCAAATTTGTCTGCCCAAAGTGGTCTTGGATATATCTTTTCAAATTGAGATCGTAATCTTATAATATATGATTTTCCAGATATATTATTATCTTCAGGAGTCTTCCTTAATTTTTTCAATCGATCAGACGATGTTAGTGATATATTAAATGTTTCATCATCACTATCCACCCATGCATCACCTTCTTCATAAAGTCCATTTTCTTCTTCACTTTCTTCATCCTCAATCTCATCAACTTCCATATCGTCAACTTCCAGATTATCTTCATTATTTCCTTCATCAATGAAGAACAAATCTTCATCCTGTACGTCGTTTATGTCATCGCTTTCATCTCCTGAGTTCTCGCTATTATCCACAACTTCTTCCTCATCTTCATCATCAAAATCGAATAGACTGCCAACTTTTCTTAAATTGTTTTCGAGTCCTGCAATATCTCCAAAAACTAATTTCTCCAATTGTAATTCTTCTTCGTCTTTAGGTGGATACGGTACCTCATCTCCACTCTTGTTCTTAGGCATATTGATGGCGTGGTGAACTCTTGTTCCTAATTCAATATTGATCTGAAAAATTAATGCATCTAACATAGAGATGAGACTTCTGTCACAAAATTTTGCTACCAAACGAAATCAAGTCTTGATGAGTATTTTGAGATTTTTACCTCTTAACTATGTTTCTGATAAATCATTATAATAACATCCACATTCCTATAGGAACGACTAATCTCTCAGCATTTTTTGACCAGCTGAATATGTAAAGAGGTACAAAAATCTAGACGTAAAATGTTCATTAATTATATCAGTCCTATAAACGTTACAAAGTACTTTTTAAAGTCCTTAATATCCAAGTTGATCAAGTTGGAGCAAAAATCATTTAATGATTCTGAATTTAAACCCATACTTGTTAAATAACTTGAAAGATATTCTATAAAACTTTGTCCTTTTTTCAATTGATAAGTTTTTAATAATGTAGCCAAATCTTGTGCTATGAGTCGATATTGAGCATCGCCTAATACAAATTCTTGCTTTCGAAAAGGTAATTCAAATGTTAAATTTACTACTTTTTCCATTAAAAACTCATCAATTCCTTGAACAGCTGGTAATGATTGTCCGTATTTGTCTCGTTCATCTGTGATTTTACCACCGTCTCCAAATACATTAACTAAATTAACTAGCTGAAGAATGGCTAGCTTGGATACTGCTGTCTCACTTAAGTCATATGCATATTCAAATAATTTAGAAACAACCGTAGGGAATTCATTCTTATTACTTTCAGTAATCAATAAACTAGATAAATTATTGATTATAATTGCACTTAAGAAATTGAGTATGGCTTTTTTAAGTAAGGTTTTATCTCTTAAAATATCTGGTCTTTGACTTTCATCTTCTGAAACGGGTAAATCCAATGATTGAAAAACTTTGGAAAATAACGGGGTCAAAAAATTGTTTAGTAATTGATAAATATTTTCATCAGTACGATAACTATGAGCAATTTGTCCCAAGAAACTTAAAAAGTCACTAATTTCATTAATTTTCAAATTTGATGATGACCAAATGATTGTGATTAATTTTGTCAAATGCCCACTGATAATTGAGCTGTTTAATATGGGGATGAATCTTGCAAACGCAAATCTGGAAGCGTCTCTTATACTTTCAAATTTTGAGAAATTTTCCAATGTAATTGAAACTACTTGAGCTGCATTGTCCACTTTTTCAACTACTTCAGGTGTAAATTTCAAATTCAGTTCATAATCATAACCTCTAGCTATAGTCCCTAAAGCCATTAAAGAATGATGAGCTTGTAATACAACAATTGGTTCCTTGTCCATTGAAATACATTTCTCCAAATCATTAAAAATTGGTTGAAATAAAGCATCAATTAATTTAACTTTTAAGACACTTAAATCATTTGGGATCAATGAAACTAAAAGTCCCATTGTTTCAAAGAGATATTGTTGATTACTAAAATTTCCATTTTCAACTACATCATCATCTTCATCTCTAGTTGGCAATTCCGCTTTTATGACAAGTAAAGGTTGTAATTTAATGACTATTTGTTCAATTAATTGTTCATTATCCATTTTTGGTTTAGTTAATTTGAAAAATCTGAAAAATAAATACCAACTTCTCAATCTCACTCTTTCATTGTCATTGAATAATCCAAGTGGTGATGTAAAGATTTCTAAGATTCTTAATATCAAGTCTTGTCTATTAGCATGGGAATTTAAGAAACTGTAATGTTTAACTATTAATTCAAAAAAGCTTGCTTGAATTTGTGAGTGATTGACTTCAACTATGAAAGAAGAATTGATAAGTTTAATTAAAAAATCTTGAAAAACTAAATATGGTTTACTTTCATTAATTTTATTTTTTGGTACATTAATTAAATTCATTTTTAAACTTTCTGAAAAATTACTTAATTCGTAAAGACCCAATTCCAACTTATTCCAAGATTTATCCCCTCCTGTGAATAATGAATCATTGATGAGTACTGGTATGGCCTCTATATACAAATCTGGTGCCAACACAGCAATAAGATCTTGAAAATGTTTTAATTTTGTTCTAAAGTCTTTGAACTGTCTTTCTGAATCCTCATCGTCATCTGCTTCATCATCATATTCCATTTTTATAACAATTTTGTTGAGTAGTGTTGATAGAAGATCCACTGAAAAGAGTTGTGAATCCTTTTTGCATGCCGTGAGAAATGATTGGATGAATGGAAAGACACACTGGGAGATATCGTCATATTCATGACTTAAAAATGTTAAAATAATTGGCCATAATTTGAATAAATGTTCCTTAACTTGATTGTTAATATCTGTTTGATTTCCTAATGCATACAAAAGTTCTTCTCCGATCTGATTTGCTAATTTAGCAAGATGCTCAACAAAGTCCAAATCATCAGACATGTCAATTGATGATATAATATTTGTTAAGTTTAGTAATGAAATCAACTCTAATTTATTTTGTGGTGGCATTTTTTTAGATAAAATATGAATCAATGTGTCACACGTAGTGTTTCTTTCCTGTTCTCTATTAAGATAGCCTATAATAGTATTGATGTATTGAGGAGAAACAAACAAACTAATATCCATCCAGTCAACGTATTGACCTACAATATTTAAAGTGTTATCTAGTATTTCTTCAGAGTTTTTGTCTTGAGCCAAGATCCCAAACCAACTTGATACTAGTTCATTCATGTCCTTATCTCTAATTGCATCCTTCAATAGCATATTTCTTTCCGCTACTTCTGGTAATCTGGCAATATATTTATCTCCAATTTCTAAATGAATATTGATTAAAATTCTGGTGTAATAGTCCAACGTTAGCTGATTATTATTTTGAATTATTTCATGAAGGTTTTTGAGAAAGTCGGGATAAATATTCATATATACTTGAGTGAAAACTTTCCCAAATATTTGACCAAATTTATTTCTTAAATATGATTGATCTTTGATGTCATTGGAAATTAATTCAGATAAGATTTTAAATAATGATTGAACAAGTTGATGGCTTTCTTCTCGACTCAAACTTTGAACATTTTCTTCAATCACTTGATATAGAAAAAATTTTAATTCATTATTGATGTTTGATGATGTTGATTTTGATAGCAATTCCAATGCTGTATTATATCCACTTTTAGAACTTTTGACGTCGTTTAAAAATTCATATGCTTGTAGTTGTAGTTTTTGATCTGAAGTACCACTTAATGCTATTTGAACAGCATTGATGATTTGATCTTCCATTAAATTATGATATTATTGTAATGCAAATATTCTCGTAAAAAAAAAATAAAAAATTGTTTTAAATCAAAGGCAAAAGTTTAATGATATAGGTGCTAGACGGATAAAATTTGTCAAAAAAGGTGTGGGATAAGTACAAGTCACAGGAAATGATATTTTGAAAAGAAATGAAAGGAATGATATTGTCTGTGTTGATATATGTAGATAATGGTTGATTATTTAAAATGAAGTAAGAGTAGTAAGATCAAAAAAAAAATAGACTAGAGAAAAAATGTGAAAAAAAAATCAGTAATTGTTATTTACACGACTTGAAGTATAAGATCAAAGATCTAACCTGAAACAAAATTTGTTTCAACCATGCAACATAGATTGTAATGAATTTTACTCACATGCAATTTATGACAACTATATATTTTAAAATAACTTCAGTCTAGTTTAATCCAAAACGGCGTATTTTTTCAAATTATCTGGAATTGCATCATATAAACCCTTTTGCTTTAACCAAGATTTTGAAAATATTCTATCAGCATATTTATGAGCTGAATCAGCTAATATTGTAACCACATTACTTCCTTCAGGTAAAGTCTTAGCAACTTCAACAGCTGCAGCAACATTCAATGCTCCGGTACCACCTAAGTATAATCCTTCTTCATCAAGTAATCTATAAACCATTGTAATGGAATCTTCGTCTGGAATTTTTAAAGCGTCATCAATTAATTCAACATCGTTTTTTAAATTATCTGTTACTCTACCTTGACCAATACCTTCGGTAAAAGATGATCCACCTCTTTGCATTTCTTTACCATTTGATTTTATGTACGAATATAAAACTGAACCTGGTGGATCAGCCAATACACATTTAACTTTCCCATTACTGATATCTTTTAAATACCTAGTAACACCGGCAAAAGTACCACCAGTTCCTGTTGAACAAGTGAAAGCATCGACATCTCCATTTAATTGTGCCCAAATCTCAGGTCCTGTGGTTTCTATATGTGCTTGTCTGTTAGCGGTGTTGTCAAACTGATTTGTCCAAACAGCATTTTCCAAACTATCTGCGTGTCTTTTAGCTTGATGATTATAATTTTGAGGATCAGTGAAAGCAACGGCTGGTACTGGATGTACTTCAGCACCCAATAACCTTAATGTCTCGATTTTTGATTTTGATTGAGTATTTGGCATATATATTACACAATTATAGCCTTTTGCTCTACAAACATGAGCTAATCCAATCCCTGTATTTCCAGCAGTCCCTTCAACAACTGTTCCACCAGGTTTTATCAAACCTTTCTCTTCGGCATCCTTAATAACATACAATGCTGCTCTATCCTTTATTGAACCTCCTGGATTCATGAATTCTGCTTTTGCATATATATTTCTTCCAACTGATTTTGATATATTTGGTAATCTTAATAATGGTGTATTACCAATGGCATCAGGAAAACCATTTTCGCTTACTAATGGTACAAATGGTAACTTGACTTCACTATTTAGCGATATTGATATAAGTCTTTTAGATATTCTGGAAAACATTTCCAATACTGAGAAAAGGGTCCAAGTTTTCAATGTTTCCATTCTAATCATAATTTTTCAATCGTTCTAGCGACTTTTAGTTTGTCCTAATTCACGTGATCGGTGAAAAAATACAGGAATATTCAATACGAAATTAGAAGTTCACATTGACATTAAACCATTTGTTTCAGAATTACAGGTGTTAAGGGTCTGTAAACCAGATGAATTTTAATCTCTGTGTTTACCTTACATGTCCAGGTTTTAACGTTCATTTGCATGGGGTTTAAAAATATTGTTTTTCATTTCCTTGAATTAGATGTTTATGAAATTGAATTACAAAATTCTTCAAAATTTCCATACAAATAGTGTTTGAAAAGAAGTTGTAGTAAAAAATTTAATAAATTTGTAAGAAGATTAAAATTGAACTGATGTTATGGATAAGTATGAAATATGCTGATACTCAAAACATTTCGGTTTTATTAGTGTCTATTCCACTGCATGTAATCTTTCACAGAGCAAAATAAATTCTAACAGCTTATTGAGGATAAGGTACAAGAGAAATTTTTTCAAGTTTGCTTCTCTGGGTAATTTAAAAGCTCACCAACAAAACCTTGTTTCCATTCATAAGCAAATGTCTCTGACCTAATGCATGTACAATGAAATAAATTCATATATCAAAATAAAAAGCCTATGGAAAAGAGAGTTTGCAAGGAGAACTTCGGTAATTACTCATCCATCATGAGCATTGAAATTTGAACTTAGAATACAAAATAGATCTATGTCTCTAAGAATTTGTTGGACTCACAGTATTAAAATCCAACATATTGAAATTAAACGCTTATTTATGTTGCACCCAAAGTAATAACATCCTGATAATACCAGTGAAATCCTTATATTGAAGCCACTAACTGAAAACTGCATCTTACTATTCTTGTTCAAATTAAAACATTCGGATCGTGCTACTATTCACAATAAATTTGTATCCTGGCTTGTTCATGTGTTGATTTTATATTCCCCACATTGAATTTTAAGTTCTACAACATTATACATGAAAGTCAACATTCACAACATGATTTTCTGTACTAAGAGTTAATCCTGAATTGGACCGAAATGCATTTTTTGAAATCAGGATATTTTTGCAAAATTGACAAAATCGTAAGCACATTAAAACTGAAAATTATTGCTAATGCAGCAGTTTGATTTAACAAATTCCAAGTTGACATCATTCAGGGTTTGTGATTCAACAGGTCGAGCCGTTTATTAGTATGCAAAGTATTTATTGCATACTCTTTCAAGTTATCATTAGCCTTTTTTGAAATCTGGTCTATATTGAAACCAGTAATGTGGCTTGTATAAAAAATTGACCAACTGAAATATTACTGAACAAACATACTGAGACTCGAATGCTACTATTTTCACACTAAGTATTTTATTTGGCGTTATACTTTTAAAAATAATTTACGATGTAATACATCAAATTAAGGCGGTATAAAAGTTTGAAACGCGTCAAATTTGATTGAGATCAAAACCCTAGCTTGATGTCACCACCAAAATTTTCTCCTATGCTGGAGCAATCATATTATCTAGCACATTAGTCGGCGATTAAAGACAAGATAGGTTTTAGACAAATTACAGAGATCGCCATACCCCAACTAAATAAATCGTAAGTAAAACAACAATAAGACAGACTTGATATTGAATTAAATTAAGTATGTAATTAATAACCATAAATTTGTTCTTATTGTCAAGTTGATTACTAAATCTATGCGCATATTTTTTCATAACAATCAAAATCTCGGAATTTATTCGAATATTTCGTAAAACGTAATTGTTACCTGCAGTACAATAACGTTTCATAAAATTAAAAAGAAATTTTATCGTTTTGTGCAACCTTTGTTGAAAGACTTTATACCCTCAAACTCCAATTAAAAGTATTAAACCAGACACGAGAGATTAAGGAAGGAGACGTTGATAATATGTATTAAAGATAATTTTCGGTTTGCGATTTCCGAATGATTTGCGGAATTATTGGAATCCTTTGAAACATTTCTGAAGACTGTTGAATTATTCAAAAACAGATATTAATATACTGACTATATTCGACGATCATTGATCGACAAAACACTTTATGAGATGCATGCAGTAACCCCCCAACAAACTATTTCTTTTAAACAATTTGTTAATCTGAAATTTGTAAAAAAATTTAGTCTAAAATGAGGAATGAATTGAGGTTAAAAATAAACATGATAGCTGTGAATGTTTAGGATACGTTAAAAACCCTTGAATCGATTTCTAAATTTCTGGTTCTTATCAAAATATTGAATCCCCTACTATTTTGTACATGATTTTACCATAAACAGAATAAATACTTTTACAAGAACACAAAAGCGTATATTCACTTTAGTTGTTTATACGAATTTCATTTAGCATCAAGTACATGGTTTTTTCAAAGTGTAAATCTATTAAATATCAAAACCAGGTTTTTCTGCACGTAGTAAACGTCATAAAATTAAAATTACAAAATTGGTTTGTAAAATTTTTGTCATCTTGTTTAAATTTTTAAAAAATATTTTTAATACATGGTAAGTTTTCAAATATAGGAGGTGTGTCCTTAAAGAAAACGTATCATTTGAGGTGAGTGACAATCAAGCTTAATTTTACAGGATTTATTCAATGTAAACTTCATGATAGACAACTACTTATAGTTATTGAATTTACCTCAAGATTAAAATCATAAGATCTCCACTCTTAGTATTCATGAAAAATGTGCTCGAAAAATCATATCTAAATTTGGTATTACCCATAGTTTATACAACACAGTATAAATACCTAACACTGTGCAATTATTTATTTTAGATTCAGCAATAAACGGTCAGGATATTTTTCGATATCGTTTAAAAACATTTCCCTATTGTAAACTCTCGTATATTGTCCAAAAGAAATAAATCATTCTATTGTTCTTGAGGTTGAAATTCGTAAAAACTTTTATTGATCAAAAATCGGGATTGTATACCCTTGGATGAAATATATAAAACAAGTTGTTCAATATCAAATTCAGATCAATAAGTTCGAAACCCTTCAAACAGTTTCCAGTTAAGTGTAATGCATTAAATCCGTAGGTACTGTCATAGGTTGCGTAATAGCAACGTTAAATATCAATTTCATAGCTAAAATGAGGTATGAATTAAAATTAGTTTGCAAGATTAACCTAAATTTACAAACTAACCAGAATCACAACTTCCAAGAATAGATAAATTAAAAATGAATAACGTGGCTTCATTAATCTGTTCTGATATGGATATGTTAAGAGTTAGTCCGAAGACGTTTAGTTTTGAGTTATCACAAATAATTTAAACTTTGGTATCACAACCATCGAATTTTAAGAAAAATTAGAGTTGACTTACATGATTATGAATAATGGGATAAATAAATTTATATCGATCAAGTCACATAAAACATCAATAAGTATTTTTCTTGTAAGAGATCGAGGACTTACCTAGCATATATTAAATCGCGTCTTTGATCAATTAATTCTTTCTCATCAGGCATTTAAGCTTCCTTACGTTTTATAAACTTACAACTACTTTGAACTGCGCAACTATATGTATTAATGAAAGTATTGTTGAAAGTGGATTCCTTGCTTCATTTATTTAGTAATCTTTGACCCCCATTTTGTTATAGAAGAATTTAAATTTTAGCCTGCTCTACTATTGGCTAATTTATTTATAACCGTTCTTGACATTTACGCTGTATTCTTATCGAGATGCAAACCAATATTAAAAAACCTTATAATGATCCAATAAAAATCGGAATCTATCTAGCGTTGTTCAATGCTTAATTGTGTCACCCAAAAGTTGTCAGTATAGATGAAATCGTTGGATTTAATTGCTAGATATCCCCAGTAAAGCATGATTGATGATGAGTACAAGGTTGGTTACTGCATGAAAAAGCTAAGTAATATTCAACAATTTTGTGTATTCTCTTACATAGTTTTTGTGTCAGTATGATTACAAATTAAAATTTCGTTTAGAGAAACTAGGATCAAACAGTTTGTCAAACAACCGTTGAATTATTGCAGACCTTAGGCTGCATGTCATTTGTAACCAAGTAAAATAAAGTATTTTTTAATTTAGGGTACTTTGGTAATCTACTGATGTGATGTGTGCATTATGCAAATATCCATTTTCAATTCCTCTCATTTTCAGAGAAACAATTTTTTATAAATTTAGTGAACTAAAGCAAAGTTTTGAACTTTATTTGCCAATAAATCCATTTATCGATGTCTCAAATTAAAGAGGATCTTCCAATCAAGCATTTGCAATCCTTTTGAAGTGAATTTAAGTTCCTGCTTATTTAAAAAATTTTAGGTAGACATCTGATACATAGATTTACACACAAGCAATTTTTTATTAGACTAAAAACAACAAATGTTCACAAACAAATAGTTTCATCATCAACCCAATTACTAACTCTTTCAATGCTACACTTAAACGTATATAATACTAAAGAGTTCATCAAGCTGTACTTGTCAATTCCAGTATGCATTAGTAGACTAATATTTGAAATTAACAGTTGCCGTATTTGAACCATATACATGAATTCCCTGGGTAAAGGTTCTTCATTCTGCAACCAAAAAGTCAAACCAACAATTAATTTGATCTTTTTTCTCAACTATGGGTTTGCTATCATACTTCATCGATGTTCTTCTTGAAAATTTTAAACCCAAGAACAAATGATGATAATAATAGCAATAGCTTTCTTAGATACTACTAAACAATTTCAAAACAACAAGATCCATAACATCACATTCTTCAACCAAAATACATGAGTACAATCTAGAAATGGAAACACTTTTCCGTTAAACATCAAACTTAAACTTTTTTAATGAAAAATCTAATTTTAATTAATTCCGAACACGTTGGAATATACTTAGAAAAATATATGCCTTCACAATTGTACTTTATCTATAGCCATATCAGAATATAGACAAATATCAACATGTAAGATGTGTGGCTTTGGCCTTTCATTGCAAAAGTGTTATCTGGGACAGAGTTGATCTTGTCATATCCCAT